TCTGTGAAATTTCACATTTTCAAGTGTTACTGTCTATGAGTTATGATTTTTTCGAAGTGGTGCTGTAACTGTCAAATTTTCCAGAAAAAAATTAATATCTCCAAAACTAACAAATTTGGGTCTATGCATTGTTACACGAAGTGGGCCTAAAATGTGCTGAGAAATTTAAAAATGTAATAAAATACAGGGTGTTCCATTTGAAATAAGGAAGTTGCCCTTAACTTCCGGTATAACGGAAAGAGGCCGGAAGTTGAAAATAATTTAGTTGGGAAGGCCATTTTGTAAAACCCACCACGAAATTTCAAGTTTTTATTTTGAATCGTTCTCCATATATTTCTAACGAACGCTCGTCGTGAATGACCCTGTATTTATAAACGCGCAAGTCACTCACTTAACACTGTTTCTCCGTACTAGTAAGTCCTAGGAAGCTAAAATTTGGTATAAACGTCTTAGGTGTGCACTAAGAAAGGATTTTCAAGTATTCCAACTGGGGCGCACCACTCACATATATGTATTAATTCGAAACTTTACTAGAAAGCCACATAGACCATATGTGTGGGAAAATTTCTTCCAAGGTTGGCATACTGTGTAGAGAAGCAAAATATCTACCAGTAACGCAAATGAAGGCTCTCTATATGTCATTTGCTGCGATATAGAGTAAAACTTTCTATAATAAATTGAAGCCGCTGCTGGTCCTAAAAAAACAGAGCCAATGTAAGATATTCGTCGTTCAACTAACCTTCTCTTCAAACCAAACATTGTTCTGGATATTTAGTCACTTACTCAGACTTGTGTTTTCATACATAACTTGTCGTAAACAACATTCATTCAACAAGAGAAATTACCACATTTAAAGCAACTCATAATTATAGCACTATAATTTAAACACACCTTAGGACTTTATTGACCAGAGCGGCTGCAGATGCCAAGAGTATATTTTTTGGGGGGTCAAGATTGTGTAACAATTTACTGAGTAATATGAATCTGATCAGCATTACAGCCTGCAAATTCGCTCTCACGAAGTATTCGGTACAGCAATTGTGATCAATTGTGTGTCAAAGCTATTTTTCGGATTTCGTCTACTACTGCGGTTGACATCAAGGCGCAATTGTTCCCAACTGCATTGGGAACACCAACTGGAGAACTTCAACCAATACCTCATCACCTTTGATAATGTGTACCGCAGTAGTAGACGAAACGTCGGACATAAAAACCTGCAGACCTGTCGTCTATCTGTCCGTCCGTCTGTCCAAGAAACTTGTTTTTCCATTATCTCTCGAACGAGTTGGGATATCAATCCAGAATTTCACACAGTTTTAATCCCACGTAACTCAGATCCCCCTAGTTTTTGGGAAAAATCGGAAAACGAGGAAATAGTTTTTCCGGCAATTTTTCGAAAACCTCCTGACCGAGGTTCAAATCAGAGAGTTATGTGTATCGATGAGTTCTACAAAAATGTTCTATTTTTTAAAATTCCGACGATCGATTTTCACTTCCTATCGTCCAACCCGTGTTAGGAATCACACGTTAAAAGGTGAGACCTCGTTAGTCCTTAGCTCGCACAAGTTTTTGCGCCTTTTGGGGCGTAAGGGGGCGACATGGTTAACGGAAAAACAGATTTTAACACATGACAGATTTTAACAGAGTTATATAATTGACAACCAGTGATAGTTTTGGGGAACGAAAGTTCTGAACTGAAATCGCTACTACTCCGTTCAAGTTTAGTCAGAGTATTTACACAAGAGAAATCATCTATTTCGGAATTTACAAGCTCTTCGATTCTGTTACGTACTGCTCGTTAACTTTGATTTTATGTGTGATATCTTATAATGAGACTGTAATGTCACTGCAATATTTTCAGTTTCTATTTTTTTTCAAATCATCACCTTTTTATCTCCCTATTAATTCAATGGTTCAAATTTTTTGTATATTATTTGTTATGTACAAAACCCATGTAGCCATGAGCTCTGGGTCTGTAACTTGAACATTCCAAAATTATAGAAATAGTCTCTCAATTCATAATGCATCACTGAGTAGCCTGAACCTTACAAATCACAAGGTATTCATGACTTCAGATATCGTCACTCTCTCTGTCAGCGTCCTCCATTTGTTTGTAAAAGCTAGTATTGATTTATTCAAAATATTACACAAACATCGTTCTCCCTTCTACGTCACTGCCTTGACGTCACGCCAGGAAAGCTGATGTTTCGGATTTGAGAGCTTATTCGGGTGCATCCAACCTCCCACTTTCAGTTTCCAATACACGAGCAAATTTTAGGAGGTGTATCATCGAAAAAAAAAACGATTCTATTTCGGATAGAAATATCGTATTATCTGTTCTGCTGTCATACAGATTCTCTCTTGGATACGACTACTGCAGCAGTTTGTGTGTATATCAAGTACTACACACAATTTGATAAAACATCTCGATTCAAACAGGAGATCAGTAACATCAGAATTCTTTAATTTTTCATGCGGGATGAATCGAGCTCTTTGAAATCCATGTTGCTGGTTTTCGAGTATTCCAGCCTCTAAGAAAAAAGTAATCAGTTTCTCAGTTATGATTCTTTCCATGCATCTGCAAGGTAAGTGTGTGAAACTGATCTGACGATAGTTTGAACGATCTAACTCATGTCAATTCTCAAAAATGAATATAAAATATTTCCTACAACTAATTCCAATGGAAATGATTAAAAAGCGCTTCCCATTTTATTCCCCTATTCTATCCTCTGTACCTTGGATCTTAATCCGGTCAATCTAGACATAGGAAGGTACATAAATTTACAACAAGCTGCAAATGCTTGTAATGGTTCAAAACATAGTTAAAAATGAGATTTTAAAATTCAGAATGATTGCGATGCCTGGAAAAAAAATTATTCGAGGTCAAAGGCAAATATCTTAGGAAAACAGTAAGTTTTATCATAAAATAACCTCAGATAAAAATTGTAGATCATAAAATTCTCTACAAAAAATGTATCGATACTTTTTTTTAGAGCCACCGTTTCTGAGATACGACGAGTCAAAAAGTTGTACTCGTCATTATATGCACACATTTCCAAGCCACCTATATGAGGTAGTGTACTTAGCGCGTTTTTTTTACCGTGATTTCCTCAGTAGGCCTATTCCACATGTCTGTTGTGATTCTGTCAAATTGAAAACTTGCATAATAAAATATATTAGGAAGGGTTGGAAATTATAAAAGCGATTGAAATTAAAAAAATGTAAAAATTTATTCATCTTAGTCATAACCTTCAAATACTTCCTATTGATCTTCTTCTTGATGTTCATCTGAGGTGTAGGAGAACTGCATCAAGAGTTCGCTAGGGGGTTGAAGGCACAGGTAGAAAAATACATCTAAAATGTGTCCTCCTCAAAAGCAAAATTGACCTGTCCGAGCATTTTTGCGTTAAGTTACAAAAAAAGGAGAAAAGCAAGCTGCATACTTTTCGTTGGACCACTCGATATGTTCTTTTCTATTTGTAGAATAATCTTTTACGATCCCGGAAAATAATTATTGATCCACGCTATCCTTTGAACTATGTATATGATTTGTTTTGCCTGGTCTATTTGCTTGATTACTTAGACTTATACCTCATATAGATACAAGTGGTTTCAATTTTGGAATAAATTTTTAAACCGGTACCTGTTGTTTCATATCATTTGCTAAGTTAGTGGTATTGACACATTTAGGGTGTTTGTGATGCAATTTACCTGGCGCCCCTTTTTTTATGAAATCTAAATCTTGAAATATTATCCAAGAACCCCTCCCGTCTTCACTGAGACTGTCTCGGGTTAAGTTGACAGGTGACTTGTACCCTTGTCATCGATTGGTAAGGTTACAGGTGAACAAGTCACTAGGAGACATCTTCTTTATATTGGCAGGTGTAGGCCAAGACTAGCCGAACGCACACTCTCTTTGGCAACCTTGAAGTCTCTTACGGTGGCCTCCACGAAGGTTTTGGAAGGTGCAGCGATATTACTGTCGTTGTGGGAGGGAGCTTTCCTGCAGGGGCAGCCGGTTCCTTGCCTTTATTCAAGGCGGAGCTCTTGGCGCCCGCCGCGTCTCATTCCAAGCGGTAGATTGGGGTGGATATTTCTGTTGATCCCCAGCCACCGCCTTAGATAGAGGTGAGCACTTCTGTCTAGCCTCGGGATTGGTTTTTGTTGTTTCTGTTTTTGCGTTGTTTCATTCATGTGTGTTCCCACGAGTAGCAAGGGAAGAGTTGGTCACCTCTGGCAGAGCCCGGCATTACCAGAGGTAGGCTGATTACAATGAGGTTTCGTCCAGTTCCTCAAGGGGATCGTTCGTGGCTGCATATCATGTGGTCATTCAGCTGTCGGCAAGAATCCTCACACCTTAGCTTGGGTAGGCTGGTCCACATTGGCATGTTTTGCAAAGGCTTTTGGGGGGGTTTTAGTTCCCCTCACCCTACTTATTTCTGCTACTGACCAGGAGTCCGGCGACCCCGTCTGTTAGGCCACATTGGCTTCCCGGACAGGGCCTCCAATCCCCTGGCTGTTCTCCTATCCGGCACCTGAGGACGCGCCCGATAGGTAGCCCAACCCACGGGAGCTTTGGAAGTATATTTGGTGATAGAAACTAATTGTCCACCATGATCAGAAATGCCGGAATCCGATATTCCCCTAATACACTCACTATCGTTTAAGGTGGTCATAATGTTATCTATACAAGTAGAACTTTTGGAGCTCCTTCTTGTAGGAATGGTTATTTCTCATTATTCTGTGATCTGGCCACTGAGATCATGCGATTTGACCAGGTAAGATATTTTTTGTGGGGTTTTCTTAAGTCGCAGGTGTTTGAGAATAAGCCACAAACAACATCGGTCCTCAAAGCTATCATAACCCATGTCATCGGTCAATTCAGAGTCATTGGACGATGATAACTTGAACACACTTTGTATTCTTCCCTTCATTAATATTTTAATGTTGTTATTGATTTTTTCCTTTTCAAAAACTCATTTGTACCTTTCTGTTTCCAGTTTGCAACTTCGTGGTGCATGATCGCTGCCTGAAGACTGTGGTCTCCCCGTGTTCCAGCGTAGCCGCCAGCCTTATCAAGGTAATAAATTTCGTTAATCCAAAACCAACCATTTTTCTGATTAAATAGCTTCACCCGAGTGTTAAGCCAGTAATTTATTGCGGAAAAGCACGCATGACATAAGTTTCGACGCCCCCGCGTCAGAAAGAAGGCTATCGAGATATGGCGTTGATGGATTTATGTCGTAGAAAGTGCTGATAACTTCGGTGAAACGCAGAATGCATTTTGCAACTGGATCTGGAATCATTTCGAAAATTCAGATTCTTAATGAAACACCAAACAGTTCCCCAGACATGAAGGATTCTCTGCTGATATTTTCTTCTCCTTTGGTGCCTTGCAATTGCTCCGATAAGTTAATACTACATGGACATGGACATTTGATGATATTCTACTTCTAAGTTTGTGACTTATTGTGCGAAGAGTGATACTACTTTTGTTATTTTCAAAACAATGGATCAAAAACAATTTTGTGTTTCAATTTCACTCTGCGAAACAATAAGTGTTACAAGCAATCCGCACTATTAGAAACGACAATGGGCTTGTTTGATGATTTTTGGTTTACAGTTCATTTGGTAGTAATTTCAAATTGAAAAATAGTCTACTTTGTTTTAGCTCCCTAAATAGCGTTGTTTTCCCGTAATTAATTATTAAAAATCGGATTTTATAGACTCGTGACGTCACGGGCATAGTCCCGCTACTTGTTCGATTGACCAATTGGAACATTACGAATAATCAACATTGCCAAATTGTAAAATTCACGGAGCTTATAAACAGTTTCTGATTCATTCGTGATTCCAAGTAAAATCACACTCACTTCTGACAACTAAATCTAAGAAGAAAGTGTAAGAAATGCATTGGAAAGGAGAATTATTCATACATGGGATCCAAATAACACAAAACACAATAAAAACGTTATGTTTGAAATATCTCCGGCAGTAGACATTTTCATGTTGATATCACAGAAATTTTAATAATGGAAGTGTATATGACCCCGTTAACGTTTAAATTCATGAAAAAATTCTCCTTATGAAATAAAATGTGCTTGAAAACCATGGTTCTAAATAGAATTTACCGAGCTTTATTTTCAAATGGTTCTCAAAAGCATTCATGCCACCCACCAAAAGTAAGAAATTCAACGTTATATATTAGCCATATTGCCACCCTTTTAGCTATCTCTCTTGAATGTATGAGACAATGTACTTCTCTCTCTATCTCTCTCTCCATTTTGGATGGTCGTTGCTTCCTATCGTCAGACGCATTTATTTGTTGGTTAACAGGAGCTTCGTCGGGGTGGCGCAGCGGTCTTGCACGAAGCAATGCTGCCACTCATTTTTTTTTTCGAACTCTATATAATTAACATAAAAACAATTTGATTTTTTAGGTCGCCTCCTGCTTGGGAGACCTTTTGGTATTTTTCCACATATATAACCCCCTTTACGTGGTTATCCGAACCACCCCGGCCTGGATACCGGCGTGAATAAAGCTGGACACTTACTCACGATCTATTTTATTGTTCAACAGACACGCGGCCAATTTAAACACTTGCTTCTCGCATTTTTCTTTTTTCCACAAATATCTGTTTAAAAATCTGTTTAAAATCTGTTTTTCCGTTAACCAGCTGTCGCACCCCTACGAACGACAACCCTCAGAAGTAGAAACTTGTGCGAGCTAAGGATTAACGAGGTCTTACCTTTTAACGTGTGATTCCTAACACGGGTTGGACGGTAGCAAGTGAAGATCGATCGTTCAGACTAGGGCTTGAACCACCGACCAACACGGCAGTCAATTCGAGTGAGTGAACAAAGCACCCACGCCGAACCGCTTGGCTACTGACTGACCATATAAATGAAACAAGCCCATTGGAAGTTGGTTTGCCCACTTCAAACGTGGTCGTAAAAACATCCATGATGCAGAACGCAGTGGACGTCCAAATGAAGCAGTAAATCTAGAAAATATAAAAGAAATCCACCAAATCGTTTTAAATGATCGAAAAGTGAAGTTGCCCGAGTAAGCCGACATTTGGCTATGAGAAAGCTCTGTTCAAATTGGGTGCCGCGTGAGCCCACTGTTGACCAAAATCAAGAAGGTCTTGACGATTCTGAGCAGTGTTTTTGGCCATGTTTAAACATGACAAACCGAAATATTCGCGTCGATATGTGACAATAGATGAAACATGGATCCATCACTTCCCCCTGGAACTAAAACGATCGCCATCTGAGCGGCGAGCAACTGGTGAACCTCCTCTGAAGCGCCCCAGAGGACAACACTCGGCTAGAAAGGTTATGACCTCGGTATATTGAGATGTGCTTGGTGTAATATTCATCAGCTATCTCGAGAAGGTAAATACCATCAACAGTGAATATTACATTACTGCGGAAATACTACCCCATTTGAAGGAAAAAAACGCTGCTTCATGAATACACAGTATCATGAATCAATAAATACGATGGCAAAATTGCATGAATTGGGCTTTGAAATGCTCCGGCATATACCATATTCGGCAGATTTAGCTCCCAGCGACTACTGGCTGTTCGCAGACCTCAAAAAATGCTCACCGGTAAGAAACATCGTTCGAATGAGAAGGTTATTGCTAAAACTGAGGCCTATTTTGAGGCAAAAGATAAATCGTTCTACGAAAGTGATTTTGAAAGGTTAGAGCAGCGCTAGAATGATTGTGTAGCTCTTGATGGAGTTAAAGTTGATGAATATGCCAATTTTGAACAAAAAAAACGCGTTTTTTTCTTAGGTCCGGGTCTTTTCATTCCAGGTTATATCAACTCAGCTGAGGTGTTTATCGATCAGTAAGTTTACAATTCCATCACTAAACAATTTGCACCCCACTATTCATAATACCAGAAATAACTTTCCCAAAGCAGCCCGACATCAACAAAGCTTCCTTGAACTTTTTACAGAAATGGGTTTTTCCTTACTGTTGGTAGACCTGTAAACCGCTCGAGTTCGAAAGGACAAAAATAATGTTCCTAATAACTAGATTAGGTTAGGTCCAAAGTGAGTGGGTCTATTTGACCCTCCACCGCAACCCGCAAAGGTTATTTGTGGCTCGTACCTATTCACATTCGACCAAATAAAACCATCTTATTAACGAAACCGATTAGTTTGTATGGTGAGGGATCTTTCAGGCCAGATGGTAAGAGTACGGCTCTGCCGAACTCAAAAAACCTGATTCGGTCCTTAGCGGGGCAGGAACTGAGTACGTGCTCTGCTGTTTCATCATTTTCCAATCAGAGGCGACACAGACTGTCTTCCGACAGTCCGATTCTCAGCGTATGATGATTCAAATGACAGTAGCCTGTAAGAAGGCCTGTTAGACATCGTAGTTCATCCCTGCTGTAGTCCAACAACTGTTTGGTATCAAGCTTTGAAGGGTGGATAAACCCCTTGGAGTGAGCCAATCCTGGAAGATTCTGCCAGAAGTCCATAAATCTTCTGGCCATCCAGGTTTTCAATCTTTGTTTGGCAAAGCCTAAAGCGATGCCAATGAGAGGTTCTGGTCCGATGAAGCTGATTGCAGCACCATCCTTTGCAAGAGAGTCAGCAACCTCATTGCCTATATATAACTAAGAAAATACAGGTTTTCAGTATTTTTCAGAGTTTCACTCTCCCCTTCGAATCTGAAAGACTATTTTCCTAATCGGCTTCTTTAAGAAACTTCCCTAATTTGTTCGAGTTTCAGTTGGTGTCAGTCATAATAAACCTTCTTGAGTTACATTCTAGGTTCTAATTGGCTCCACTTTCATTGAATGTACTTACTTAGTTATTATTCGGGCTGTTTCGGCAGTGCTTTGGTTCAAATTGAACTCGTAAAGTTGTAAACACAAGATCTATTAACTGAAACCACAAATGTGTGGCTGGCTCCTGCTGGTGGCTCCGTGCATTTGTATTTCTTTCTTCTGGTAACCAAGTGTTGCCCATCCTTAGACTTGGCCGCACCATACTGATGATAGGCCAAAAGCCCGAAACACGTGTCTATGGTTTGCCACTTTCTTAAGTGCTACGTTCGATTAATAACTTCTTCATTCACATATGGAGTGAGCCAATCTTGGAAGATTCTGCCAGAAGTCCATAAATCTTCTTGCCGTCCAGGTGTTCAATCTTTGTTTGGCAAAGCCTAAAGCGATGCCAATGAGAGGTTCTGGTCCGATGAAGCTGATTGCAGCACCATTCTTTGCAAGAGAGTCAGCAGCCTCATTGCCTACATATAACTAAGAAAGTACAGGTTTTCAGTATTTTTCAGAGTTTCACTCTCCCCTTCCAATCTGAAAGACTATTTTCCTAATCGGCTTCTTTGAGAAACTTCCCTAATTTGGTCGAGTTTCAGTTGGTGTCAGTCATAATAAACCTTCTTGAGTTACATTGTAGGTTCTAATTGGCTCCACTTTCATTGAATGTACTTACTTAGTTATTATTCGTAAAGAAAAATTGGCCGAAAATCGCATTTTTCAAAATTCCCCAAAAAATGTGAAAAACGTGTTCGTATCATTTTACCTGGCTCCAATGAAAAAAAAAGTAATGTTCTTCTTGATATGTAATTATTTTGTTGGTGAACTAATTCTCTGAAGAAAATTATGCTGCACTGTAACAACCTGACAATTTTCAGATAGGTATTTCTAACGATGGGTCAAAAAAAGTATCCCATTGATTTGAAATCGACGCCTGGAAAATGATTTACACTAATGGTCAGAAAAATGTGAAAATATTTCCTTTTTTTCAAGTAATGCATAGTTATATGAACACAGAACAACACACAAAGCATGGACTAATATTATCCATACACACATGGACACTATAAACCTCATGCAGTTTCTACTAGACATTCCATTGTTACCATTTTTTAGCTTTTATCTTTATACATTTTATCTATATATTATCTTTTTATCTTTACATATTCTACAAATACGAAAGTTATCAAGTGTCTTCATAAAGATAAAAAAGTTATTAATCGGACGTAGCACTTAAGAAAGTGGCAAACCATAGACACGTGTTTCGGGCTTTTATCCCATCATCAGTGTAAGGATGGGCAATACTTGGTTACCAGAAGAAAGAAATACAAATGCACGGAGCCACCAGCAGAAGCCAGCCGCACATTTGTGGTTTCAGTTAATAGATCTGGTGTTTACAAGAAAACTATCAAAATCACCACGGACGCAGCTGAAGCTACCTGCGTGACATCCAGGTCCAGGAAATAATACAAATACGAAGGTTATCGAGTGTCTTGATATAGATACGGAAGTTGTTAATCGGACGTAGCACTCAAGAAAGTGGCAAACCGTAGAGACATGTTTCGGGCTTTTGGCCCATCATCAGTATGGTGCAGCCAAGTGTAAGGATGGGCAACACTTGATTACCAGAAGGAAGAAATACAAATGCACGGAGCGACCAGCAGGAGCCAGCCGCTGGTGGTGATTTTGATAGTTTTCTTCTCAACACCAGATATATTAACTGAAACCACAAATGTGCGGCTGGCTCCTGCTGGTGGCTCCGTGCATTTGTATTTCTTTTTTCTGGTAACCAAGTATTGACCATCCTTAGACTTGGCCGCACCATACTGATGATAGGCCAAAAGCCCGAAACACGTGTCTATGGTTTGCCACTTTCTTAAGTGCTACGTCCGAATAATAACTTTTTCATTCACATATATATACACGCACCCGTCTGCTTAGCTGAAACTCATCTATTATTTTCTATTTTACTATAAATGAATGAATAAATAAAAAACGACCATTTTTTAAAATTCACTCAATTATTTCGTCTCAAATCCACTCGAAACCCACACAAACAGCGCTTTACGATGTTATAGGTTATGTTGATTATTTTGACGTTCGTTTTATTTCAGAATCCGGTAGCTCATTGTTGGTCCGAGTCACTTCATCACAAGAGAAAATTTTGCAACGTCTGCAGGAAGAGATTGGATGATAGTGAGTCGATCCACTGTGAGAGTAAGTCAAATTTTTCAGTAATATCATTAAATACCTATTCGTTATGAAAGTAAAAATCTCGTTCAACTATCTATTCAAATTTGAATAACGCAAGCTATAACTTCCACCATTAATACAGGGAGTTTCAACAAAAACTTGACCTCCGCTGTAAGTCAGAAACGGAAGTGTAATCAAAAATTTCAAAGAACACGTCAATTTTTATTTCCAGGGGGACTAATACTGATATGAAAATCGTACCCGAAAGTTCACCCCTCTGCGGTCAGCAACTACCCCCCCCCCTATTTTCTTCAATGACTTGGGGGTAGAGTGACACATCATTTGAAAGGTCTTTTGTTTCTCTATTACTTCTGTTATTTTTTTCGAAATTGGTTCATTCGTTATCGAGAAATTAAATGTTGAACGTTTTATTTAAGAAAAAACAGAAAATGGAAACAAAATCTACGGATAAATTGTTCAAAATGACCTCCACCTAGTTCCATACAATAATACAGTCTACTCTCGAAAGCGTTCCGTACATTAATTTTCCAAATTCACTTCGAAAAGTATTCAAATTGATGTTTCAAACGTTGGGTTTCAATTTTTAAAGGGATTTGTTTCTAATTTACATATTGGCAACAGCGCCTATATCAAGTTGAAATAATTTATACGTACCTAGATATTTTACTTTAATAAAGGAAAAATTATCTTTTTAAATCAAAAATTAAGGCAAAATATAAATTATAGTTCAATACCACCTCCACAAGCCACATAAACAACAGTTGTTTTGTTATTTATTTACATAGAGGAATATAGGTTAGGTGCACAAAATGTCATATGTCACAGAATGTCTCGGAACTCGGAACATAAGTAAACAGAACAGCACGCCTCTGAAATATGTCATCTTTGTTTGTCTCATACAGGTAACAGCTTCATTGTCCTCTATTAGCTATAACCGATGTTGCCAAATAGTGAAATAGAAACGAATCCCTTCAAATGTTGAATGCATTATTTCATTCCTCTTTTTTAAATATTTAAATAATTTTTTAAAGAAAACGGTTGAAATGATAAGTTTAAAATGCGTTGTTTTAGAGCTCTTTTATGAAAACTACTTGATTTTCGTCAGGAGGAACATTCTCCATTCTCTGTCGCAGGTCTTCTAGATTTGTACGCTCAGTAGAGTACACTGTCGACTTCAGCTGTCCCCATAGAAAGAAGTCCATCGGTGTGAGGTCAGATGATCTAGCTGGCCACTCCACTGGACCCCTCTTACCGATTCAACGCACCCTCAATGAAGAATGGCCCAACAATATAATTACCAGGAGTGCCGGCCCAGACAATTCAATTTTTGTGGAGTTTGTGAATGTGTTTCCATCACCAAATGAGGATTCACATCGCTCCAGTAACGACAATTACGTCTATTTACTTCACCATTCAAGATGAAAGAACTTTCGTCTGAAAAACATGTACTGCATAATAGGTTTGGGTTATTGGTCGATTTCTTGCTGAACACCTCACAAAACTGAAGTCGGCGATCAGGATCATCTTCGTTCAATTCCTGAACTAGCCTTATTTTGAAAAGATGGGATTTGTAGGCTTTCAAAATCCGAAAAACACTAGACGCTCTAGCGATTGTCGATTATCCATTTGTATATGTCCTAAAACTGCAACTTCAACTCCGTCATTTCTGACAGGACAGAATACTTCATATTTTCTGTTGTGAAAAGAACCTGAAGTTCGAAACTTATCCATTAACTGTTTAACGAATTGATGGCTCAGTTGTGGTCTGGATGATTCGTATTATAAATTCTTGCAGAAGCTTTAGCAGACTGGATTATTGACAGCTAATTCAATTCAACATATATAGCTTCAACAACATAGCCGTTATCAATTGTCAAAGTTCAGAAGTCCCTGTTAGTAGACCCTATACTTAATAACCCCTCCATTTAGCTATCTAATGATGTGCGTACTTTTTCAGTATGCGAGTACTTTGTACACTTGGAATGCCAGGATTTTGCGGTCGCTGATTGCAAGGAGAACGCTACTTATCTTCCGGGGAAACAGCTGGTCTACGTCCACCACCAACACCATTGGCGGGAAGGAAATCTTCCAAGTAACTCCAAATGTGCCCTCTGCAAGAAAACGTGCTGGACCACGGAATGTTTGTCTGGATATCGATGCGAATGGTGTGGAATGACGGTAAGATTTCACTATTACTTAAATATCAGACTAAACTGATTGCTCCCCGCCTGCGTAAAACGACGGAGCGAAGTTCTAGATCCTTCTTAGCAGTGTTCTCCATCCTCTCCAGAACAATTCACTACCGCATCCAGCGCAGACTCATGAGTTGATAGCAGACACCACCAATGCTAAACAACAGTGCTGGATTCGTAACAATACTTGTATGAATCATGAAAAAATATTTACACAATCTGTCGAATATTTTATCAAATAAGTTTGGGTTGAAGAATGGTTTGAATGGGCTGAAGAACTATATATTCACTACAAAATATTTATTGGGAAAAAAGTTTTTGGCTTTCTACTACTTCATCTCCAAGATGGAGTAGTAGAAAGCTCCATCTCCATCTCCAAGATGGAGTAGTAGAAAACCAAAAACGTTCTTTCCCAAAAATTAATCACTCATAAAAAAAAACTTCAATGACGCCAGATTTTGGAATGATGCAAACTTCCCTTTTCCAGAGTCACGCGACATGTCACGTGAACATCAACAGCGAGTGCACATTTGGGATTCTGGAACCCATCTACTTGCCACCGCATGCCGTCAGCATACCAAGAACCGAGGTACCCATGGAAGCCATCATCGGAGTGCAAGTCAGACGGAAGGACACGCTGTCTCGTGAGTATTCGTGTAGTAAGTGTTGCTTTTGTACAGATGATGTATAGATAGTAAGGTGGTTTACTACCAATAGCAGTGTTGATGTTTCTTCAAAATGATATCAGAAGGGTTGAATTGGACACGTGTCATGTCCAAAACAAGTTCTGAATCAGGACTCGTTTGCATATGCCTCTTTTTGTTTTTTTTGACATTTTACATCTACTCTTTTGTATTAGACCAATATTTTGTAAATATATTGAGCTTATGTTGAATTCCATGTTCCACCTTTTGAATTTATGCCAGAAAAGAACTACCTCCCCGAGTTAGTACCAAAATTGAATTATATCTAACAGGCATTCGTGCAAGCTTCCTCATATAGGAAATTCTTCTCGTTCATCTAGCAGCAGGGCATCGCTAAAGTCAATAGAGTGATCACCTATGGACTGGTTTAGCCCAGACAAAAGTTTCTTCAAACATTATCTTGAAGTGAGTTTTATGGGAACACGGAATTCTTCAGTAAAAAGCGTTACTATAGCTGTGTGAAGCTAAGGCACTCAGATGGACTATTTTAAATGCCCAATGACTTATGTTATCCCACAAAATGAAGAGGTAGATCAAAACGAAACAGCAGAAACGACATCCATTCGAAAAGAAACAAAAAATATTCAACTTCCTACAGACACAGATCGCTAACACCAGCAAGAAGGCACAGATCTCTCAGGCGTTGACGACGACAAAAAAGACGAAGTGCCAGATGGGAGCAAGAAAAGTATACGTACTGCCTTCGAAAGGAGGTTGAAACGGATCCTATAAACAAAAAAGATTTCGCAGAGCTGGCAACTCAGAAGCAAGATGAAAAATAATGGTCTGAAGCTGGTCCAACAAAGAAGTTAGACCAAATACGGTGCGATTCCCAAGGCTTCCTGAACTCAGTGGGATTTCCAATTTCTCCGCGATAGTTCATTGCATCGCAAGTAGAAGTAAGTAGCACCAGCTGGTAGTACCAAGAGTACACGTGATGTGCTGGCTCCATAGGAGTAAAATCGAACACTTCGGCATCACCACTACTGGCATGAGTTGGACAAAGGTATTACTGGATCAATTGCACCTCGAAAAAAGGACATACAGTGAGTTCGTTGGGAAAACCATAGAACGAATGAAGAATTCGCGAAATCTTGAGAAAATACCCACAGATTATCAGTGACGATAAACTGAAAGACAAAGATACGTTGTGTGGTTATACCAAACCCAGAGGAGATAGAAAAGTCCGTACTTCGTGACCAAACAAATAAACAACTTGTTTTATCGTAGCCAGTTAACCTCAAGGCGAAACCACTCCTAGTTCACATCAAAAGGCTAGCTTCCTATAATGGTAATGACCGTCAAATAGTTAAGTTACTCGGGGTGGAGTAATTTGAAGAAGTGGCGATGTTACGCCTAGTGCAAACAAGTCATCCGACAACGTACCGTGCAGATGTCACACTGACAGGCGCGCTACGCTAGCGTCAAACTCGTTAGAAAAGTCTGAAATGAGGAATGAGATAATTTTAATTAGAATAGAACGCAGATTAGTTTGGACAAGCGGTAGTGATGAAGTACAGTGTTCAGCCGTAATTCGCGTTATTAAATACGTTATCAAAATCAAATAACCTCACCAGTTATTTTATCATAACTCTTAGTGACGATAGCTCGTTACACTATTTTATTTTGTATGAATCAATGTACCGTCTGTGTTTTGTCAGTATATTATTTTTGAATTTTTATTGCTTATAACTTTGTTTTTTTAATTTTTTATTTTAAGATATAAAGGGAATGATTTTGCAGTCATCAGTGGGGAAAATGTTAGACGGAGTGCTTCTTTATCAAGTGTTCTCAAGCGACTTTCTGTTGTTTTGCCGAATTCTTGCCAAAGCAAATGCCAGCCCCAATTGTCGCCTCCATACTTTCGAGGTATATTTTGGTTTGCAGTTTCAATTATTTTTTTGCCATGTTTGTTTTGCTTTGCTATTTGTTTTAATCAATTCGCGAAAGAAATTACTCTTTTGAGTTTGAAATTTTTGTACAGGCATAAATAAATACTAAATGTGTTGCTAAGAACTCCCCTCGCCTCTTTCTAAACCACCCTCAAGCCCCCGCCAGTAGTATTTGAACCCGTGATAAATTTAGAGGCTTTGTTAACCACTCAAAATTTGCGAAAGTTACAACTTTTTTTTAATAATACTGACCGATCGTAGTCCTTAGAATCGCCAAATCAGGATGCACAAGAACTGCATGAAAATCCTCAATACGCTTTGAGAGTGCGGCTTGTGCAAAAATGTCTTATTAGTTCAAATATGAATGTTGTTGAAGAAGCTTTCAGAAAATGTATTCTACAAGGATCCTGATCAACATGAACCGTTTTCGGGAAAATCAAGTCAGTTGAACCTTTCCCCGCTAATATATCTGTGGAAGAGAGTCAAGTTCTCATATTCTTTTCTATGTTCCCGAATACCAAGGATGTTTGTGATATTTTTTCCTCCAATCAGGGGAGTGATCTATTTCTTTATAGAATCTGGTAGCCTCCACCAACTTATGTCGCAATTGATAATATGAATATACAAAAAGCGGAGCATAGATACATCATCAGGATCAGAGGATTTGCTGATTAGCGGTAATCCAAGTATGGTGCAGTTTATCAAAAATAATTGAGCTCATCAGGATTTCCTATACTTGCGTAATAGTTTAGATCAATTCTGTAGTAGCCGAACAAGGGAGATACTGCTAGATGAACAGTCGCCTTTTTGTAGGGGATTGATGCAAACACTTTGGGAAAAGCTCTTCAACGAATTTGTCGACAAAAAAATCCATGAACTTAAGAGACTACCTCTAAAGATCACTAAAGACCAGATGAAGAGCATTTAGACATCGATATGGACACTCTGCAAAGTAGATGGAAATGCCTCTACGTAGTGGAGAAGTTAAATGGCTTGATCCAACTTATAATAACGAATATCCCAATCGTTTACAAAAGAACCAAGAAGACGAATTACTCCGTCTGTTACTCCATTTGGAACCCTTGTGGACTGTGTCGAACGTCTTCTACAATCAACCAGAACTGCTGGAAGGCTCAGTAGTAGGTCAGGATTTTCGAATGGTGGTGGTCAAGGAAGGCTAAAGATGGGAAGAGCAATTGGGTTTTCTTGGCATCATGCCTGATACTGACCTTTGAGGTTAGAAGTGTAACTGTATTGAATTTCAAATCTTTAGTTGAATGTGATGGCGAAACAATGTTTCAATGTCCTAATAATTGTACCAATATTTGAACCAATATAATTTGATGTGATGAGAAACTAAGTTGACATATGCTGTGCCATATACAGTGGGTAATTAATAATAATAGGGTTGTATTGATTATCAAAGTTGAATGGAAGTAGTAGAAATAAAATCCAACAAATCTCCTTCTGGATCAGCAAAGATCATGGCAGTTTATCTGAATAGTAGTAATAGCATTATTTTGGTAGAATCGTGTACATATGTGAAAAATTTAATGAATATCATGAATTAGAACAATATGTTAGACTCAACATCTTTTTAGAATAATGGCATGTTTATCGTAACACTGACAAACCAAACATTAAGATGCGAATAAGACAGCCGATAAAGATTGTGAAGTATTGAAGTGGAAGAGTGGAACTAAATCCAGCTTTATCTTTCAAAACAGTCGCATAACGAACCATTATTTCCACAATATTCGCGACATAAACCAATCGTAATCCAATAATATTCTATTTTGTTTGCAGCACGGAGTATCTCGGAAGAATTCAGCAGCGGTGACACTGGTCGCTACAGAGAGTCGGAGGAATATGCCCAGTCACATCCACCGGGCAGGGATAGCCGGCAAGACAAGCAGAACAAAAATCAGGAAGAAAGAGATGAAGGTGAGTGTATACCAGGGCCCCCACATCAATATTCATTCAGATGCCAGCGTTCTTGATTCCCCCCGCTACCTGCAGGCAAATCTGCTCTTGTCACGATGACAATAAGTAAACACCCTCATAGAGTTAGTTCATTCCAGCTATGTGAATTTCATTTGTCTCTTCCGGTGACATAAAGTCATAATGTTATGAAAGAAACGAGTACTTTGCCTTGTGGTGTTATCCAAAACCGTGTAGATGAGGTGATGAGATAGATGAGTGACTCTATATCTTTATAAAGAGATTCATTAGCTATACACTTATTTTTTTGTTTTCAGAAGTTATCAAGGTTTACGATGGTAACAACTCGCTACGAAGAAAAATCTTCCGGATCGTCGTCGTGTCGAGGCAAGCGTCCTTGAAGCAAGTCTTAACCCAAGCTTTGAGGGCGTTCCACATCACGAAAGACCCGAATTCATTCCACCTCACGGATCTCTATTCGCAGGATGAAGCCGTTTTGCAAGATCCTACTCCTGTGCTCAGTCTGAACCGAATTGAAGGAAAACGAGCATCAGTTTTTCTTCGATTCAAGTGAGTTGTCTTAGTATCATTTTTATGTTCAACCTCAATGTAGGTTCATACATATACCAATTATTAATATGTTTATTTTTTCAGAGACAGAGATAATGATTCGGGAGAAGTACGTGTTTATCCCGGAAAACTCCAGGTATCTCAGGCACTCTGCACCGTGCCTGTGGATTCCAATACATCTGTAGGTGACCTCATACGTGAAGCACTTAAACGTTTCGGATTGGAGAGTTACAACGCTGAAGACTATCGGTGTAGTGAAGTACTTCTAGATAGAGGAGGTATGAGACTGATTATATTCATTATGAAACGTTATAATCTGATGATGTGTCATCTTGAAGAATGCAAAAGTATATTATGAAACAGAATAATATAAATTCAACTTCAATTATTTGAGTATATATGTATACTGAAATACAATTGCGCAATACTCGAAATTTATCTAAATTTGTGGCGTTTGTAAGTCAGTGTGACATAATTGAATTTTTCAAAAAAAAAAAAAAGGAAACTTTGAATTGAAAGTTATATTGAAGTAGCACACCCCACACCTGACACCACTTGTCGCAACCGCTCAGTACATTGTAACTGTCATTTCAGTTACCGAAAGAGTTTTGTCGTGGAACGAAAGACCATGGGAGATCATGAAACAGCTTGGTAAGGACAGTATCCGACAGATGGAGTTGATGCGATTTTACCTTCAATTGAAACAAGATCCTCATGGACCAAATCTAGCTCTATTCGTCGGAAATCTACCACCCAACCTATCGGAACGAAATTACGAAAATATCCTCACTGATTTTTTAGGAAGAGGTAATATAAATTCTCTCAGAGGAAGTTACATGATGACACAAGGTTTTGAATTTTTTCTAGAAAATAAATTTTCCAAAATCGGTCCGATCTACTACGAATACGGATCGATGGTAATCACTTACGAAGACTCTGATAAAGCTGTGAGGGCACTTTATACGCTACGCGAATCGAAATACGAAGATAAACAACCTTTGCTTGGTAAGTTCTTGATCAATATTATTTGCTGTAAATTTAACAGCGATAGATACTTTCAGTGCATCGCCGATCCACTGTACTTGGTGGTAGTTATTTGTAATGGTACAAGTCCTTTATAGCGCAAAATTTACGCATAGGTGAAATTTAGCATAATTCACGTTTTTCTTAGGTCGGGTTAATGGCTAGGTCAGTTTTTTGCAATAATTATTTTGCGCGATATTGTTTTTCACGGAGATATATTCGCAGTGATGAGTTCGCGTTTTATTTTTCGCTTGAAGAATGGGATTCCTTGAAAAAGTCCTTCATATTTAAAATTTTGGCCTGTCCCTAAATACCGCGCATAATTTTCCGCAATAATGAATATGCCATTGAAGTAATTTGTGCATTTTTGTTTGGTTAGATTATTGATTAGGTTAGTTTGCGCGTTTAACAAAATTGCAGTGTATTTTTCGCTGTAAAGGACGTGACTTGAAATAAGCCTTGTACATAACATGTAACCAACAGACTATTAAAGACACAAAGTAAGGTTCAGACAGTTTCTTTCTTGATATCATGTTCCATTGAAATTTTGTTCAAAACCAAGTATCGTAGATATTGTTCGACACTGCTTTGCTTGAAAACAATATCTGAAAAACATGTTTTTCTTTCAGTTATGTTATTGCCCAACATCGAACCCTCAATGATACCCGAAGGTGTACAACCTCTCTTAGTTTTCGTTAACGTAAAGTCTGGAGGATGTCAAGGTTTAGAACTAATATCGAGCTTCAGAAAATTACTGAACCCTTACCAGGTATTCGATTTGGATAACGGCGGACCATTGCCCGGGTTATATGTATTCAGGAACATCAAGAACTACAAAATACTTGTTTGCGGTGGAGATGGTACAATCGGGTGGGTGTTGCAATGCCTCGACAATGTCGGACAGGATTCGCAGTGCTCTTCTCCAGCGTGTGCCATTGTACCATTAGGAACAGGTGAGAAGTAGATTAATATGCATACGAACGATTATATGACAAAAGACCATTGGGAGCATTGGAAATTGAAAATGAACAGAACATTTGGTTTTTGGTGAAATTCGATAGTTCATATTATTGTTAAAATGTAAGGAACTGGAAAAATACATCAAGAGCAAGTGCTACTGACGGACTGAGATTAGATGATCACGGCTATTGGAAAATATCTGAAATTTTCTCTCTTAAAGTTCAAAAGAACCACAGGTACACTTGGAGAATTGTGTTATGTAGAAAAGAACAGTGCTGTTAAGGACTGTCCTGACAAACTGAACTTAATTTACCTCGATCCCAATATTCTGCAGAGGTACTAGTTGACGTAACCAAGAAAACAAACAAATCTTGAACAGAAACTTGGGTGATGGAGAAAAAAAAATTACATTCTCAGATGGAATTCAATATTTCAAAATAATTGTTATGAAGGAAGGAAAAAGACTTGTGAAAGAGGTGCTGCTGATAGAGTTAATAAACTGGGCTACCACGGAATCCTGAAATATTCTGCTTGATAAGACATTAGCGCTCCAAAGAGTTGGAATCTCTCTTCGACCGGAATTTTTCCCTGCGAGAATTCATCTCATTGAAGGTGAATTAATTCTACCAAGTAACATAGCTGACGAGACTTCGAATAGCCAAGATGCTCCTATGATTTCTTGGTGGCTTGGGGGGTTATCAATACAGCCTACCCAGAAATCGAGGCTAATGACCTTATTATTCGATGTAGACTACTAAGGTGGTTAACTGTATCACAGTCGTTGCAGGAAAAGCTGACGGATGATTCCAGCCTATATGCAGATGTATTCTCAGATCGTTGGCTGCGTCAGCCAGTCGTTACAGTACAAAGGAAAAAATGGAATCGGCGGAGATGATTCCAGCTTGCTTGCAGAGGTTAAAGAGCTTTTAAAGTCAAAGCAAAAGACTGCGCTCCTCCAAGGCTTCGTTGCTCTGATGAAAGACTTTCAAGGAGTGATAGGAAGCAGCAGGAGCAGATGGTGCAGGGGCTCCCCTCCAAGGTTTGGAGTCTCTATTAGTTGGCCAAGGAGGGTAAGGAGACCAGGCCGTGATAGGATTTCTGTTGAACACTATCAGGAGAAACCCAAAAGGCAAAGACCTCCAGCCAAAAAAGCAGAAGCAAACCCGACTCGGAGTTCGATTTGGCCATACAGGTGCCACTAAAGAGCAGTTTTGTGGGTTACGGGAGAGGCAAGTCCAAGAAAGGAAACTTTCTGGACTAGCTGTTTCTCATCATGCAGACCAATAAAGGCCAGAGGCTCTGAAATGGACAACCGTTTATGTAGTCTGAGATGGAAAAGTACGCGACCAGTGTTTCGGGCGTTGTAAAAACTATGAAACGATACTGGAATCTAGCATCTTCATATGAATTGGCAGACACAATCAAAATGAAGATTATTGAATATTTGGCTAGTGTCAATATCGTATGAGAGACGAAAATTTCAAGATGCACTTGATATATGTGTTTCCAAAATTGCTGCAAAAATTTATGTAAATCGAATCTTTATAGGTAATTTATTTTTCAAAATAGTTGTTATAAATTCCATAAAAAAATAAAATGAAATAATTTTCGAGGAAATTTTAGATACTTACATTTAGTTGACCAACGACATACAATCACACAAAAAAAACAATGGAAACATTTCAGGTAACGACTTGGCGAGAGTATTGAGATGGGGCCCGGGTTATACGGGAGGCGAAGATCCTTTGAACCTCCTCAGGGATGTAATAGACGCCGAAGAGATACGCTTAGACCGATGGACAGTGGTTTTCCATCCGGAGGATAAACCAGACGACAACGTTAATAAGCAGGTCAACTCCACCGGTAAGAAGAGGCAAAAACTGTCCAAAATGAAAGTGACCAATGAGCAAATTAGAAAAGCAGGTCAATCATATGTGTAACTAGATGTTGTTTTGCTGTAATGAGACTAACGGGTACCGATTAACACGTATTGTAGTTTTGATGAGTCACACCCACGACTCTGATTAATATTTTAGGCAGTTTTTATTCATCGTTTTGGTGCATTTGGAGAAGAAATTGTTGATTATTATTATTCCCCATTATTCTATAGGATAATACTGTTGGGAACATCTTATAGGACACATAAATACCCACCACCTCTTCTTAAACACTTTAATGAGTTAGTCAACGTTTCGGCATTGCTATAATCTTCATCTGGTAGCTAAAAAAAATCTGTTGAATTGAAAAGAACCTGTTTCACTGCATTCATCACAAGACTTGCAGAAGAATTATCTCTATTTTGTAGGTATTAAGTTACCTAATCAAAATACATAAAAATTATATAGGTCCTCTACAACTATTTTTCAAGTCTGCTACCTAGTTTTCTTTGAATTTTCTTCCAAATTGAGGTTCTACTAGTTGCTGAAGTAGTTCGTTTCTTTGATGTTCAAGTATGTCATGATTTTTTTTACTTTGTTTTTGAATGACATCTTTTACATAAGGAATATCTTCACCAATTGTCAAGTTTTTCAAGTATTTCTCAATAAACTACACTTGATACAAGAAACTAAGGTTATGTTGAGTGACGGATAGTTTGAATGAACTTTAGTACTTTTATTTAATTGGTCGTGCTGAAAATCGCGGGTTAAAAAGAAATACCTTGTTAATTCTAAGCTCTATCTCTCACGAGTTTATATTTTTGAGGGTAGCTCTCAATGGATGGGTGACATATGATTAAACATAAACATTATTTAAAATTGTCTGCGACAAGAAATTTCATCAACGCTGTGACGTAGTATATGAAGTAGAATAGCAAGAAATGCATTTTGAGTTGAAATAGTTTTTCAAAAGATTCCACATCCACATGCACCAAGACATTGAATTATCTTTACCGAATATACAATTTCATTTTATTTATTTTTTTTTTATTAAAATGCCGAACACTAAAAACATGCCGATTTTTTAAAATATGTGAATAAATATTCGTTACTCAGGTGATTGAAAAAACATATAATATTTTAGAGGTTTTTATATAATCAACAATTTTCCAGTTTTTTTTATCACGTAACTGTGCGTTAGGCACAAATAGACTCGTTTGGGGTTTTTCGTACATATAATTGGAGCATAAACAAATTTATGAAGCCATTTTGACATATTTCGTCATATATTACTAACGATATTTTTCTTTGGCCGAATAAAAATAACAAACCATTATTTATTGACGTTTGATGAAAGACAAGTGACATTACAATGATTTTTACATGTCTCTTTATTGTAATAAATGAAATTGGAAAATCGCTAGTCTAAATACCATTTCAGAATTTCATTATCCATTCTGAAAATTTTGAATTTCTCGTATGTGCAAAACACTTTGAAACGATTGAGCCTCAAGTATTTCAAATCTATATGCACCTGACGGTTGTCAATTCGCATTCCCTCTGTCGACGAGACTTAAAAATATTCTATTAAAAAAACGCTTAATCAGGTTCCTAAAGTAGACCCATATATTTAGAGTGCATGGCTTTTGGTCTAGTTCTTCAATATAGATGCAAGGAACTTACGGCAAAACAACATTTTTTTATTTAAGAGCGCTGGATTTCATCGACTATATTCCATAATATTTCGTAAATAGCAAATTTGTCTGTCTTTTTCATCGCTATTTTGGATTATTTGTCACGAAGAAAGCATTGAAAATTTTCATGTTGCAAAGAAGGCATTCGATGTTTTGAGTAAATATTTTATTGAATATTTCAACCTCTCTGTTAATGTGTTCAAGGGTTACTAAAACACTGCAGCTTCATGGGCATTGCGTTTCTGCCCCCCCCCCCCACTTATTTCAACAATCTTGTCCCCTGTACCAGTTTGTACAGGTCCGTTTCTGAATGTATGTTGTCCATGAATTATTTGTGTCTAATGAACCAGTGTCAAACATTCGCATTGAAAATGTCCAACTGTCTTTAGTCTTTGTTCCATTGCCTTCCTTTGGCAGCAGTATTTTGTTCAGGTGTTCTCTCAAAGGGCAGTGTCCACTGAGTAGTCCTGTAACTGTTCTGCGTTGATCCCCCTTTATAAAGGTTTCACCGTGCACATTACCAGATATATTTTCCTTATTCTTTATCTTTCGTATATACCCTCTCCTCAATCTAATTCGGTATCAGAGATTTTGGTAACCGCATAGCTGGAGTTAATGATGTGTTTCTGAAATACTCATCGGCTTTTTCGTTTTCTGTGCAAAGAGTCAGTATAGAGTCAATCTATTCATGTCAGCCAGTTTCCTCAGACTAGTCTTATGTCACTTTTGGGTTCATCAGTGCTGTCTGTGAAAGTATTGCTCCGTTTATTTTTTAGAGGCCTCATACTGTTTCTTGCGCAAGATTGCATACACTTCAGCCCAGAAGATAGACGTGTACTGGTCGGGCGGACAACTGTTACTCCTGTTACTCCCAAACATGAAAATGTTTGCACTCTGCTCAGTTTATAAACAGTGGTCGTTTGATTCATCTTTGGCTACGAACCCTGGATATGTCCCTGTTTTAAATTGTCTCTTACAACAGTCAAGGGTTACCGATATCCTGTTTTAATCCCTGGTGCTGCAAGAGGAGCTAGTCTTAGACAAGAAAATATTCAGTAGTTTATTCTCGAAGACTTTGTGATAGGTTTGCTGCTGTTGCTAGCCTTCGTTGAAACCGGTGTACTCTGCCCAAAAGGGGACATATGTGTATGCTCAAATTTATACTTCACTTTGTACACCTGCTCACTTTTTCTTTCTTGTGTTCTTTTTCATTTCCTCATCCCTCATCGTTGATTCTCCCTAAATCTTTTTAGATCCCTCTTACTCTGCTGCTGAATGTATTGGCTTCATCCCAAACTTGATCTCATCTCGAAGATAATATATTTGGACTTTGCACTTTTTGGACTCCACTAAGAGGTCTGTTTTATTGCTTCTCCACTTTGCGCAATGTTTGCTCTTTCTCATTCCTCTCCTTATTACCCTGTTTCTTATGTATTCAATCGAACAGACGATGTCGCTTGCAAAAGCCAAACGAGGTTCCTTAAATATTTTTGTCCTTCATGGTTTTTTCGCGGGCTCTTCACTCTTGAAACGTGGCACGATAGGCTCGAAAGGGAGACTGTAGGGGGCTGTAGAGTTGCAAAGATCTAAATACACAGAGTATTCCGCTGTAAACCACAATTGATGCATGAGTTATTCAACGATGAATATTTCAAAATAGCGATGAATTGATTTGAGAAAGCTTTCGAATCCCAGATTTCCTTAACCTGAATTCCTTCCGCAGTAGTGGCAGGTTCGACGAGCGAGGACAATTCCCAAATTTTCGTGATGAACAACTATTTCGGGATTGGTATCGATGCGGACCTCTGTCTGGATTTCCATAACGCACGAGAGGAAAACCCTAGCAAGTTCATCAGCCGGTTGCATAACAAGAGCGTTTACGTCAAGATGGGTCTGCGGAAAATGGTGGGGCCAAAAATGTGCAAGGACCTGCACAAAGAAGTGAGGCTCGAAGTGGACGGCAAGTTGGTGGAGTTACCGCAAGTGGAAGGGATAATTATTTTGAATATTTTAAGGTGAGTACGATTTCGTTATCCGACCGTCTGAGCGACTTCTACCCAACAGTAGTATCATTATTAAACTCTTTGGGTTACTTCATGAGAGAATTCGATTTCTTTCCAGTTGGGGTTCTGGGGCAAATCCTTGGGGTCCAGAGAAGGATGACCAATTTTCAAAGCCAAACCACTGGGATGGGATGTTAGAGGTTGTAGGTGTCACTGGTGTGGTCCATTTAGGACAAATTCAATCTGGCTTGAGAACAGCTATGAGGATCGCACAGGTGAACAATATTACTGTAATACTAATTCGGAGGATCTATAGATTCAAGAAAAACATTCAGATAAGGAAACCCACACCTTACAACTGGCTATTATACCTTCTAATTCACTGAAAACTTTCCATTTCGCAGGGTGGACACATCAAAATTCATCTCAATTCTGACATTCCTGTTCAAGTGGATGGTGAACCGTGGGTACAAAGTCCTTGTGATGTTGTAGTATTAAAATCCGCTCTGAAGGTAAGTTCATCAACTTGGTTTTTGTTTTATTCCACTAGTGAATGAAAATTGAATTCTCTAACAGAGAAATATTGAAATCACTTATTCGGTATTTTTCGTGAACACCTAATAAAGTGTTGCCTTAAGCTAAATCGATACACAGATGTCAATACTAGAGGAGAACAAAAATTAAACAGCAAAAGTATTTCAGATTCACCAAGTATTGGTTGTTTCGAAAGTTATATGGATGAAATTTGTACTCATGAAGGATCCTGAAAAAATTTGTACGACTGATTCCTGATTCTCGAGATAACTTAGTAAGAGAATGCGAATTTTCCATTAGTCCAACGTGCCCTAAAACTGAAGTGCAAATAGCTTCATCGTTGACAACTCCTGAACGGTTATGCTTTTTAATGTTAACAGATCCAATTTCCATAAATTTATTTAATAATTCCGAAACGTATTTGTGCTCTAGCACTATTTCCATTCTGGTAGTATAAAACATTGCTTCTCAAGAATTCACAAAAACAGAAACACCAATTGTAACTTCGCCTGGTAGGTAATCGTTATTGTAGAGTGAGGCAAATACAAAATGAAGAGAGTGTCGAATTCAAACTTAACCAGGCAAAATAAGACTTTTTTGAAATATACTTCACAAAACACCTAGGTAACAGGTTGTACAGAAGTTCATTCAGGGTAGCTCGTTTTCAACTCAAATAGCTTCCAAACTATGAGCTTCAGACCATAATGTAGATCAAATGTGAATATGTTAAAATGTGTCACCCTGTATACTATGGTAGATGTGTTTTTTAATTTTTCCTGAAAATCATTGTACCAAAAGTTATTCAGAGTGGCTCGTTTTAAATGGAATGCACGGTATTTATTGAGATATAGCGCTACAAAAAACACATGACATTAAAACGTAAAAAACTTTTGAAACAACCAAATGCCTTTTGGTATTTGTAAAATTAGTAAATGTTGTATTTTTGTTTTTCTCATCACTGATGATTTTGTTTTTATTGAAATAATATAGAGAGATGGTATATTTTTCTATGAATTTTAAAGGGATTAAAGTTTACATTGCCTGTCAAAATCGATTAAAAAACCATTCTGGCACCTTGTAAACCATCTGATAATATAAGATATTATGAGTTTTCCTTTTTTCATTAATTATATGTGAACTTCATAAAAGTCTTCTCGAAGTATTCACATTTTGAATAATTTTAATAGTCATCTTGAATTTCAACCTGAAAAATTTTTCTCTGTTAGATAATTATGCTTTCACAGATTACCAAACCTAATATCTACTAGTACAATTAACCTACTCATGCATGAAAATAGATTTGCATCAGCTTTTTTGTTCAAATTGAGCTTTTCTAATTTTCTGTCAATTTTTACTGAAAAAACCTGGAAAGAATAACAGTAGATCCTGGCACTTGTCAGATTTAATTCGTATTTCGATATACCTTTTTAATGGAAAATATAATGAAGTTGTGAACTGCAAAGGCCTAAAAATGAGGAGATTAGAAACCTAAGAGCAAAAATTGAAAAATAATGATTGAAATTAAAAACACATAATTAAATTATAATAGCCATTAAAAACAGAAAATCTAATATGGAGATCATAATTCCAATTAGAGGAAGAAAGTAGAAATTTTTTTGATTCCAATTTGAATTTTGTTTTTTGATTTACTTTCAATTTCTCTAGAAGATTATTAATATATTTCAACGCCTAAATGAAATATTGATTTTTCCCAAAATTCTGAAGGATATGATCTAACTAGTAGTTGTTTTGTTCATCTTGTATTATAATCATGGATGGTATTTATTTTATTGAACTTCAAATTCATAGTTTGTGAACTTTTCTAACAAAACAACAAATGAAGAAAAGAGAATTGAAACTTTCAATTTTTTTTACCACTTTTATTTGTAACTAACGTTACTGCAGTTTCGTCCTATAAGGACATTTTCAAACTTATACATTAAACACGTTAGTTACAAATAAAAGTGGTAAAAAACAGAAATTATTTTCAATTCTTTTTTCTTCATTATGATTTCCTACCACGTAGTAACGGCTACATCCATCAATTTATTAGAACAACACATTTTCAATTGAAAAATAGATTGAATATCTTGAAGATCACGTGGTATATATAAATGTGGCGTATTTTTTTCAAAGCTTTGTGATCAAATTGAATGAATTAATAGTTTTTGTTCGAACACATATCTATCCCACTTCTGACACCATTAAAATATGGTAGGGTTTCCTAACATAAATATTTATCATTGCCCGTATGTCTTACATGTTCTTATACACAAAGGCCAGCCTCCACCAACGACTATTCACCACCAAGCACTCTTCAAAGTTTTGCTTAGTACAAGATGCATATCATTCTTTGAGGTTAGATTAGAATGAGTGTAAATGTTGTTATACCTATTTTAAACCTTAAGAGGTTTCTAATCTATTAATCATTTTATTTAAATTAGCTTTGTAATAGAATATATGAAGAGTACCCTTAACACCTAATGCAGAGTGATAGAATCCAAAAATGAATACAAATTTGTTAACACTATCCTAAGAGTGTCGGACCTACTGTTATTGATTCTAGATATTTTCCTACCATTCAAAACTATTTGATGAAGCGACCAGAAGGAAAATTTCTATTTTAACATATCTCCCCTTCGTCTAATATGATATCACGGTGTAACATTGTAGTTGAGCTTCATTTACGAATTGCATGGTATGTGCTATATCTGTATCCTACCCCTCCCCCAAGCTATACACCAAATTTGCTTTGTACAAAATAAGCATAAAAAATACTTAAACTGAATGGGCTGTTAACGAAAACTGAATGAATTATATAATGCTGGAACTAAACAAAAAGACAAGATATTCATCGATAGAAAAAGCGATAAAAGCAGTTCAGCAATTTTTTGAACCGATTCCCTGTGCATCATTTAATTCATTTCTTGACAATCCAGCCCACAAAACACATTTGAAGAGCATTAACACACCCCCCTACGCTAAACGTGGTAAATGTTTACACAGTAGCTGTTGTACACAATTTGAAAGCTACTTATTTTGAACCCGTCTGGTATTGCTATATCAAAATTTCCGTTTCCCGATAACTTGAAAAAGGCATTTCAGAAAGAAGAAAGTTTCAAATGGAAAGAAAGTTCAGATTGTTCTATTCAAATAACAAAATATTATTGTTCCCAACATAGTTATTCAAGGACGCCCTTCATATTGTTTTCATAAAATTTTATATGGTTATACATTTTTCCTGCTTCCATAGATTTTTGACGTTCATTGTTGAGGTCTGTCCTACTTTTAATAGAGCCACCTCCATTTCTGTCACTGAAATAGTAATAGTATCTAACTTCTGCAAAAATTATACCTATATTGGATCAATATAAATGAAAGATAATTGCATATTCAGATTCAGTATCTCAAACACTCGTTTTTGTACAAAATATATTCGAAAACTCAGAAAACAGTTACTGGCTTTCAAGAATAAATGGTTCATCCGTCCATGCAAAATTGAGATACATGACAAAGAAGAGACTTGCAAGCCGGATAATTGTGCTCTATAGTCAGTCTATACTGCTACTAATTATAGACCATTTGTGATCAATTTTCAAAAAGTTAGCCAAGTTGGATTTACATTCAATCAAAGTAAACAAATCCATAATCAACAAAACGTAAGGAAATATGGAAAATATATAACCAATGAAGTAATATGGATTTGTTGGTTATTAAATTGGATACCGATATATACAATCATCTTACTGAAAGCAAGGACAGCTTTTCAGGAACTAAAACACTACTTTCAACTACAAATATATGCATACCACAACAACTTTCAACACATTATAGAGTTCAAATCAGACCTTTAAAATATTGCTCACTTACATGAAATGCCGGCACAAAGCATAACTTGAAGCAGCTAGTTTCAATTGAGAAAAGAACCATTTCCCAAACTGGAAACCCAAATATCAAAGGCAATTTTGAGAACCTCGATCATCAATGAACGGTTGCGAGTTGCGAACTTGTCTCTTTTCTATTCGGGAAGACCACGGGGTGAGCGACATCTAGGTATAATGAATCGAACATAAAGTTTTAAGGTTACATCTATCTATTTTGTAATTCATAATGGGCTTGTTTTGGTTCTTTACCCGGACATGCCCGGACTGTTCCTGACAGTCAGAAAACAGTCACTCAACTGAATACTGAGCATGTTGTCGCGTAAACCTTTTCAGTCCACAGACTCACTGATTTTGGACGATTCGGATAGTGAATCGAGAATGTATCATTGCACAGCTTTCTGTATGAGAAATGGGAAATTATGCTCAGAATCGGCAAATCAATCAACAAATTGTTTACACTCCGAAAGAGATAATGGCAAACGGAAATCAACACAGTTTGAAAAAATCATTAATTAACAGGGATTCAGTTCAGAAATATGAATTTTGGAAAAACAAATGGGTCATTTCAAATGACATCTAGAATTTTGTGATTTCATATTTCTATCTAGTTTTTCCGAAGCATGCCAAGTATAAATACCAAAATATCCATTTGAAATACTTTTCTCTCTAACAATGAATTTTCAAAGAGCCTAATTGCATTTCTCTTTTGACTTCGAAATAGCAATACCACACAGAGTCAAAATTTTCTAGCTGTGTACCCACATTTGCTGGCACTTAATAATTGTGAATTACTTGATTCAGGCGACAATGCTGAAGAAAAATAAGTTCAAGCGTCGGCCTACAGAACCAAATATACTACCGGCCAACGGGGAGGGGGGCAAGAGTACAGACGACTAAATTCAAAACTCGTTTCCAATCTACACACCTATTTTCACAAACTTCTGTATCTTCCCGAAGTTATCATCATTTCTGTATCGTCATCGGCATGATTTATTTTGCTTGACCGTCATATAATTGTAACGTTACTGCTTTATGGTTTGGTTCCAGTAGATTTTTGGTATAACGATGGTTTGTATGAGAAATTTTCGTATTTTAATGCGCCCCTCCTCAGGCCACCATGTTGAAGAAGATGAAAGGTAAAATGAAGAGGCGTAACACCGAACCGACAATGCTGGTGTCACCGGGGGTACAACTGGTCCCCTTGCCTTCTCACGATGGAGAGTCCCCCACAGACTCCAACAACACCACCTTTTAAGTGTTGCTTCGACATTCGTTTCTTTCGTTTCGGACTGTACGCCCAAGGGACAAGGGCGATTTTTTTTCAGTTAATTTTAGTATTTACATAAAAAATATGTATTCGAAATAGTTAAAACATGTAATATTATTACGTTATAGTATGGTATTGTTACCAAATTACTGGTGAAAACAAACAAGTGTGGGGCTGAATGCCTGTTCGAGTTTATTTAATTTTAAATAGTTTGTTTTGAGTACAAGTAATGTACTCGATATTGTAAACGTGTTATGGTTTTAAAAGTTCATTTACGAATAAAAACAAAGCGTACTCTGCGCCTGCGCAGATACCTTGCGTGAGCAACGCTCGCGCTTATCCGAAAATATAACACCATCCTCGAATCTAGTTGGACTACCACCGACTCCAACCAAAAGATGACTCCGATCACCGACGTTTCTGGCAGCAGCTTTCAGTTTGAAAAATCCATGGAAGCGAGGACAGAGTGCAAGAGTGACGAAATACAAGTTGGAACTACTTAGTGTAGATGTGTGTTTTGTAATAGTGATAGCTTTCGGATGGAACCGAGAGATGTAACCCAGAATGTGATGATCGAAAGTAGGCTATGCAATCTTAGTCACCCATCCCAATAGAAGGAAGCCACACGAGTGGCAGGTGTGTTGTTTCGCTACTCCAAGCCTTCAGGTTACTGTCGAGGAATTTCTCCACAGTTCATCGGTCGGGAAGGTCACTTTCTCTAAACCTCTACGACCCTCCTAACCGACGAGCCTTTCGAAGCTTCCTCGACGGTAACGAATGCTCTTGGAGTGGTTTGTTTCGTGGGTAGCGTTTGGTCTTACTATCCAGGAAGTGACGCCTAACGCTGTCGCTAATCTGCCCCTGTACTAAGGGCTCAATTCCTCATGGATGCTGACTGGAGCAAAGTCCATGGGGAAAGTACTCAGGGCAGATTTTCGCGCCATTTGTTCCATAATTTAGATGATATCTTAATTATATCGATGTGCTATATTGTTTGTAATTACTTTTCCCAAGGTATGTATTTAAGGTGAACTCGCAAGATCATTTTGTCTGTTTCATCAATCGGAAAAGCTTCGATCAGCTATTTTTTGATGTTTTTGTGGTAGTCGAGAACTGTCTTTTAGACCTCTACAAAAAACTCAAGCTCTTGATCGGGTTTTGTAGGGATCGAAGTTTTTCTCTGCATATAAAATATATGTATATGTGAATTATAGATATATTAAAAATTGTGAAATATAGAAATATTAAATGTACTAGTTTTTTTTCTTTTGAAATAAAGGGAGGACATTCAATAGCTTGAATGTTATCATTTCTCCACGCAAAAAGTGGCCATCATTTCAGGCATAAACATGAGAAAGAGTTGAACTTCTTCAGTTACAAGAACATGGAGCAAAGGGTCCCCACATCTGCTCCCTTTAATTCTAAGAGACACAAGTTAGTTTGCCCTAAAATACTAATTTGCCTAATGAAGGTGATCACTGAATTGGAACAGAAAAAACAACTGAGACATAACTGTCAATAAAATGATACTAATATAAATCCATGATTAATTTTTTTTCAAGTTTCAGTTCTGATTTATCTATTTTTTTTGTGTGCTCTGTTCGTATTTAGTTATGTTATAGTTAGTGTTTTGAATTATTGTTTTTTTCCTGCTATGAACATTGTATGTTTCTTAAGAAAATTAATAGACCAATAAGCAGTGGTAGTAAATCTGCAGTGCAATTTTTGAACTCATTCTGTCCTGCAAAGATCCTTCTTAAACTTTCAGATTTGGTCAAATAGGGTAATAATAATTATTGTAATGACTTTTTTCTATACTTGTTCTGACTATTTCTGGTATTAACAATAGTCTAGGAATGTGTTAGGTTGTTTCAAAAGTTCTGTAAGTGTTAATGAGTCTTAGGTTAGGTTAGGTCCAAAGTGAGTGGGTCTATTCGACCCTCCACCGCAACCCGCAAGGGTTTATTGTGGCTCACACCTATCCACACTCGGACAAACGAACCCAGCTTCTTAACGATCCGATTAGTTTGTATGGTAAGTGGTATTTCAGTCAGATGGTAAGAGTACGGCTCTGCCGAACTCTAAAGACCTGATTCGGTACCCAGCGGAGCAGGCACAAAGAATGTGCTCTGTTAATGAGGCAATCGGATAGTCAAGTTGAAAGATTCCCACTTTGATACCCACGACAACCACGATACCCAGCTACACCTAACGATGCCTTAGATTCAGCTGTGTAGGGCTTTTTCGCCTCCGGTTTTGGTAAATCATCACTTGAGCGCAAACGTTTGCTAACCTGCTCATGAGGAAGGTCTGTTGGAGTCGTAAACTCGACATCCATCTCCTCTGTAGACTCGCTCCTGAACTAAATTTACAGGGAGGACCGTTGGAGTCTTAAACTCGACATCCATCTCCTCTGTAGACTCGCTCCTGAACTAAATTTACAGAGGTCAGTTGGAGTCGTAAACTCGGCATCCATTTCCTCTGCAGACTCGCTCTTGAACTAAATTTACAGAGATCAATTGGAGTCGTAAACTCGACATCCATCTCCTCTGTAGACTCGCTCCTGAACTAAATTTACAGGGAGGTCAGTTGGAGTCGTAAACTCGACATCCATCTCCTCTGTAGACTCGCTCCTGATCTAAATTTACAGGGAGGTCAGTTGGAGTCGTAAACTCGACATCCATCTCCTCTGTAGACTCGCTCCTCAACTAAATTTACAGAGGTCAGTTGGAGTCGTAAACTCGGCATCCATCTCCTCTGCAGACTCGCTCTTGAACTAAATTTACAGAGAGATCAATTGGAGTCATAAACTCGACATCCATCTCCTCTATAGACTCGCTCCTGAACTAAATTTACAGAGGTCAGTTGGAGTCGTAAACTCGACATCCATCTCCTCTGTAGACTTGCTCCTGAACTAAATTTACAGGGAGGTCAATTGGAGTCGTAAACTCGACATCCATCGTTTGTGATAGGTCAGTCTCCACCAAGATCCTCAAGGCCTCGTTCTGAATAACTGTAGGTCGACCACTTCTGGGCTCATCTTCCGAGGAAGATGGAACGAAATTTCGCAAACCAACGTCGAACAGTGCTTTCATTGATCAGTATTCACAACGACACAGTTGAATAAATATTTATTGAGATAGGGAGCTATAAATACACATGACATTAAAACGGACACAAAATACTTTGGTAGGAAAGACATTTAATAAAAACTGCTCGCAATAAATACATTGAAATACAACATAAAAAATTGATACAAAATAGTAACTTCAATATATTACTCTGTAATAACAATAAAAACTAAATTTATCATAAATATGTGTATATCCTAAAAATTGTAAAATACGAAGATGAATCTGAATTAAATTATAAGATCAAGTATTTAATTCTTAGCAATAACTAGTTACTGAATACTCCAAAATTCATTTAGGTGAATCGTCAGCTGCCTTTAATTTCCATAATACTGATCTTATTGAAGAATTTCTAAACTTTACAAGAATCCTTTGCACAACTCTAGTTCAATAGATGCGTTGATCGTTCAAAAGAAGTGGAACCCAAAAATGAGATTTAAAATTTCGCAAGGTGATTAAATTTGTAAAAATATCATTATAGTTCAGATATCATCAACATAATCTTTTATATCACTCTATAAGAAATAAGAGCCATGCGACAAATTCATAGTTTCTACAGAAGTTATTTCTGTAAAAAACGTTTTCAAGATACAGAATGTTGAGATATGAAAACAATTTCACATAATTCTTCTACTTCAGAAACTGAGTTTTAATTCAAACTTCTGAGTAAGATTCAATTCAAACAGGAAGATTCAATTGGTTCCTTCATTAACTGCGTTTGATTTTGGCTCGATTAGGTTATAGGTTACATTTCGTTATTTCACTGAAAGTCACGTGATTAAAAAAATATTTTGTTAGAAACGTCATTTGCCATAAAAAATTCACAGTGACCACTGTTTGTACAGTATTTTGTAGTCATATAAGCATATGTAATTTGATCTATGACTTTGTTATTAAAATCTTTAGTCTTAAGTGAACCCAGGTAGACTCATTATTCGTAGCTCTGTGGCGGTGACCACAAAAGATTTTAAAAATGCAGAACACCGTTGAAAGATTGGGAATAGTGTATTCTTACTACTCGGCCCACTTGTTTCGAGAATGCAAGTGGCATTTTTTACACAGAAACTACTCTCGAAGCACCTTTTAAAGATTTTTCTACACGCTTCCACAGATTCATTAAAAACATTATGTTTTCTGATTGATTCAGCCGTTACTTGATGAAGATCCATAGTAATTTCATAAACTACACCTTAATATTTGATCTTCACAAACTATTTAAAAAAAATATCACTACATGTTTCGCTAACACAATAGCTTTTTCGTAGAAAATAAAGTTTTTTAAAATAAAGTTTGTGTAGAACAAATCGCAAGGCGTAGTTTATGAAAAAACATGTTTGTTCTCGCAATTTATCCATGGAGGAAATTTTTCATATTGAAAGTTTGTGAAGCTTTTCACAAAGAACTTTATACCCTCTCGTAAACCCAAATGTTCTTTGGTGAAAGTTACAAAGTTGGGACTTCCATTATCTACCTACCGAAGAACGAATGAAACAAAAACGAAAATAATCGGATAGAAATATTTGGTTGAATTGGAGAAAGCAAATCGTTTTGACTTGAAATGAAAATTACCTGAAAATGGGTCAAACAATGAGTGGTATGGTACAAACGATAAAAATACAATAAAATGGTCAAAATAAATGTCGAAAGCATAAAATGAGAAAAAGATTTCAAACCAGATTACCGACGAAACCGACGTTTCGGCTGTTAGTAGGTCTCCAGTACCTAGATTTTTTTTCAATTATTCTTCGATTCGAGAATATAGGTGCTATAATATTACTTTGCAGCTAACCGCAATTCAAACAGCTGTGGTTTTTCCTGTGTTCAATTGAAAAGCCATGCACTTTCTTAAAACTTTAATTTCAAGATTTTTGTTTTACTTCTCCCCAACACCGTATTATTGTCACTTTTTTCGTATACATTAATTTTCTCACAGCAAGATCAAATTTTTTCAAAGTCAACCTCCGGTGATTTTTGACAACGCATTTAAAATTTGTCACCCTAATTAAGATGCGGAATTTATGCCTGTGTTTGTATATCGAATCTCGCTAGTGTGCTGCATGAACCAAAAATATTAGCCAGCAACTTTGTTTCATATCCATTGTGGCGTGTTCTGCATTGACATAGCAACAGTCGCCACATTCGATATTCCCAATTTTTGCGATTCAGACAATTTATAGTAGAAAAAAGTGAAAAAATATAGTTCCCAGATATATTTTAATACTTATTTTTCTGACAAATTCGTCATAAATTAGGATTTTGTATCCACTATACAGCTGGTTGAATACGCAATAATATATATTTGTTTCAATTTAACAAAAAAAAAATCTAGTTTTTGATCAATTAGTATCCATGAACTTATGCACAGAAGTAATAATATTTATTCATTACCGAATTTATAGTTGACAAGTGATTCATAAGATTGAAAGTTCCTTTAAACAATCATTACATCTTCATTCTCAACATTTTCCCAAATTTTGGGATCTTCTACTAAGTACAACCATGTTAAGTTGCCCTCAAATCCACTTCTGGATTCCATTCACAATAATGATTTCAAATGTTATATTACAATAATACTGGAAATAAGTGGTTCTCTTTGAACCATTGAAATTTTTAGAGGATCCATTTTTGTGGGCTCTGAATATCAAAGTCCACCCTTTATCTCGACTTATTGTCCCTTTAAAGATTGCAGTGTTATTGTAACAGTATGGGGTTCTCCATAGTATTTCGTTTTCTGAATTTGACAGTTTTGTTTCACAATTCTTAATCTTCAGCAACCAACTGCACTCACATATTCGATATTTCTTGGACTATTTGGCACAAAACTCAATAAAAATTAAATGTTAGTGGTAGTACGCCTCCTATCGCCCCTCATATTACATTGCAATGCTACATATCTTGAAGCCAGGCTTAAAAAGTTGAAAAATAGACTATTGAGAAACGTGAATGATGATAAAACTTCGGAAATATCATCACAAGGTAATATCATCACAATAAAAAATATTGTGCCTCGAATGTGTGTAAGAGTATTGCTCTTTTTCAATGATTTGTGGTGCAGAAAGTAGTACCAAAGCAACTTACTGTTCTAACACTACTTCCAAAGAAATCTGGATATTCATGGATGTTAAAGATTATTTCAGATTTTCTCCAAAATATTTTCAATGGCCCCACGTTGGGCGCCGATTCATTACGTGAAAAAACTAACAAGCAAGCCTGGCTTCTTTCATGTTATTATTGAGCTTAATTCTGCATAATCACAATTTGTTTAATTAATTAAACTAGTAGGCGGACCTCTCATTTTAAAACTTACTGCCCCGCCCCTATAAGATGCAAAAAACCAATTTGGTTCATTTCCAAGATTCTCATTATCGTTCAAATGTCTTGCATACCCTGACAAATTAGGCCGTGACTTCTCGGTCGATTCAGCAGTCAATTTTTAAAATGAAAACTCTTCTTACTTCATCATAAACTTAGCACCAGAGTAATCAGTACAAATACTGATCAAACTTGGACAATGCCGTCTTCATCGAGAATGTCCGATGTATTTTCCACTGAATTCCCGGAACTACCAGAGAAGTTGGTAGTGATGACCGGCTTATTTTTGATTTCCTCATAACCAGGCTCCTTCGAATCTGAATCATTTGTGAGGTGCTCGTAAGGGGGGTCGGTTTTGTCAAGGGATGATTTGTCGGCACTGTTTGAACTGTCAGATGTGTCGTTTCGATCATGAACTGAAAAATGAAAGGTCGTAAGTGGTAAGAAATGCTCATGCGGAAAAGAAATCATCATCACGAGGTTACTGCTTCTTTATATTTCATGAAATATTAAAATCACTCAGGCACTGACTATTTTTCCAAGGAATTTAATAAAGTTATGGTATGAAAAAAATTTGAAGAGTATAAAATGAAGAATTACACAGCCCACAAAAAAAAATTTGTCTTGCTGCCGAAAAAAAATCAACTGATTTTGGTTAAATCATCTGTGCTGATTCCAAAAATACAAACCTTTTCTTTGCCTCATCTCTAGTTTTCGAGATATAATATATTCATCAAATACTTCTGTATATACATTTCTGTATATTTTACCAGTATAATTTCAATATGTTTATAAACAAACTTTACTCAGGAAGAGCTAAGCGATCTTATTAGAGATTTGAACTTTCCGAAAGATTCTTCCGAGTTGCTTGCCTCTAGACTGAAGGAAAAGAAACTTCTTCACCCAGACACCAAAATTACATACTACCGTAATAGAGAAAAAGATCTTTTTCCTTTTTTTTCTCAGCAGGATGATATGGTTTTTTTGTAACAATATTAAAGGACTGTTAGAAAAAATGGGTGTATCGGAGTATACACCAGATCACTGGCGTCTTTTTATCGACAGTTCCAAACGAAGTTTAAAGTGTGTCCTTCTACATAATGGCAACAAATATGGAAGTATACCAATTGGGCATTCTACAAAACTGAAAGAAGAATATAAAACAATATCGCTGGTGCTAAAAAACATCAAGTATGACCAACATCTGTGTTGATTTTAAGATGATGAACTTTCTCCTGGGACAACAAGGTGGATATACAAAATATCCTTGTTTCCTGTGTCTTTGGGATAGCAGGGCTATGGACCAACCCTGGAGTTGAAGAAAATGGCGAAGCTAACGTAGTTGACGAAGCATTAGTCGACCGAGAGAAAATTATATTACCCCCGTTATATATTAAACTAGGGCTGATGAAACAATTTGCAAAGGCCCTAGACCAGAATCGTCCTTGTTTTGAATACTTGTCCAGCAAATTCCCTGCACTCAGTGAAGAAAATTTGAAAGCCGGAATATTTGATGGGCCTCAGACACAACAACTTATAAAAGATTCGCATTTTACAGAATCGATGACTGAAATGGAGTGTAATGCATGGTGCTCCTTTGTGAAAGTTGTGAAAAATTTTCTTGGAAACAATAAATCGGAAAATTACCGGGATTTAGTGGAAGAAATGCTCAACAATTTTAACAAACACGGTTGTGATTTGAGTATAAAAATTCACAGCCACTTAGACCGTTTCCCAGAAAATCTTGGTGACCTTAGTGAGGAACAAGGGGAACGCTTCCACCAAGATATCAAAACGATGGAAGAGAGGTATCAGGGGCGATGGAACACTCACATGATGGCGGATTACTGCTGGAGTTTTTAGTTGACGCCGAATAACAGATTTGTGCTGCGATGCTGGTTAGGTTACATGAAAAGTTCAGTTTTTTGGCAGATATGTGTGATGATTTTTGTAAGTATATTGTTGTACAATAAATATCTTACTTTTTATTCGTGTTTCGTTTATTTGTAGGTAGCGCTGCGTTAAATTACCCTATACTTATATTAGAAATGTGATCTGTTGTCGTATTTTCTGAAAACGATCTGATGGAGCAAATCTGGTGGCATTTTTGGATTGAGCAGACCCAAATTACCTAGAAACAGTAAAAAAATTCCGGCAGCAAACTTTGTGTTTACCAGTGATATTTTCAATTGTAATAGATAACTGTGTCTAGTTGTTGATCTGCAGCTCCCCTTGAAATATTGAAAACACAAGGAAATATTCCAGTATATAATATTTGAATGATTAACAATGTTAAAGGTTCAATTACATCAGCAAGTGATTTCAACATTTGATTATTTAAATTGTAGATATCACGAAGATTTGAATTCAAGCAATGTAGAGGCATTCTAATAAAATGTACCGTCATCCTCAAGTGCTTTACCCTTATTTTAATGTTACGCCTCTTTATACGAACCTTTTTTCTCAATTTTCTCGTATCCGGAAGAATCAGCATTGCTTTTACTGGTATCCTCGTCCAACCTCTCATAAGGGGGGTCTTCCAAATCCGTAACGCTCTCATAATTTGGGTCGCTCTGGCTCACCGACTCGTAATTCGGATCAGACTCGCTGCCATTCGACTTCGCACCTGCATAGTTCGGATCGGAAACGATTTCACTCGGCATGCTTTCATAGTTCGGCTCATCCAGACCGTCTTCGCTATTGAAAGCAGGAACACTGGTCAATTTCTTGTTTCTTTTATTCACTACCGAGTAGCCATCGTTCAAATCTTTTATTTTCGTGTAGTCGGAGCAATCGCTCGCGTTAGATACGCGGTGTCGCAGTTCTTCGTAATTTGGATCGCAGTCAGAGAATGCTTGGTCTTTGAGTACCTCGTAACCGGGGTCAGAACTTTGGATGCTCTCGGGACCGTTGATACTTGCGTATCCTGAGGATTGAGAATGTTTATAGGAAAAACTGTTTCTAATTCGGACTTATTTATAAATTAAGAACTTTAGAAGAAGTGTCAGATTATCTTTTACAGTTAATAATAATAAAAGAGTACTAATCTCGATATTGACTCAAATATTCATTCAAATAATTTGTAATTACTACTTCCTTGCATAATGAACAAGGGGCAATGAATCATTACATATGCTTCATCACAAGCTGACACAATAAAACACATACTTTTATACAGCATCATTTTTTTCTGAAAGTCAAAAGCAATGAAATAGTTATCAATAAAAGAACAGATGCTTTCACGGCCGGAGTTACGAATTAAAGAAAACAAAACCCAAGCTGGTAGACCGTAGTCATAGTACTGCCAATCGTTTTGTCTGCTACTGCAGCAGGAATCATCAGCGGTTTGTGAGTTGACTGCACGAATCAAGGTTACATCTTTACGTTTCAGCAACGACTGGCTGGCGAGCTTCGTGTTCACTCGTGTTTATAAGTTCCAAAGAGTGGGGAGGTGACGGTGGGGTGATGGTGGGGATGTGTCCATGCAAATGCTTACTCTTGATTAGTTCGCACTTTTGCTGGGTTGTTCTGATTGGTCCAGATTGTAGACAGGTACTTTGCTGGCCTTGAATACTGGGTTGGCTGTTCTAGTTCATCTTTCACTGCCTGAACCACTGTGAATGCTGTTTTTGGCGAGTGCTTTGGCTTGGGATGTGGGGGTTGAGTAAACCGGCCATCGAATGCCTGCTTCCACGTAGCCTCAATGAATACGGGAATGACACTTGTGGTTCTGTTGGCCTTCTTACCTTAGCTACTCGTGGGACTTTTATGGACAGAGTAAACTTAAAAAATTCTTTCTGACGCTGAATCTATAGAAGATATGGATGTCGAGTTTACTACTCCAACTGACCTCCCTGTAAATTTAGTTCAGGAGCGAGTCTACAGAGGAGATGTATTCTTGAGCGGCGTACACAGAATCTGTCTCAGGTGGAGGAACAAACCCCCCATCAGCAGGTTAGCAAACGTTTGCGCTCAAGCGATGATTCACCAAAACCAGAGGGAAAAAGCCCTGCACGGTTGAATCTAAGGCATCATCAGGTGTAGCTGACATGCAAAAACCCTCATATGGGACGGTTCTCGCGGGTATCAATGTGGGAATCTTGCACCTTGACTACCCGACTGCCTCATTAGCAATTAAACAGCAGAGCATATACTTTGTGCCTGCCCCGCTGGGGACCGAATTAGGTTTTTAGAGTTCGGCAGAGCCGTACCCTTACCATCTGACCTGAAAGACCACTCACCTTACAAACTAATCGGGTTCGTTAAGAAGCTGGGTTTATTTGGTCGAGTGTGAATAAGTGTGAGTCACAATAAACCCTTGCGGGTTGCGGTGGGGGGTCGAATAGACCCACTCACTTTAGACCTAACCTAACCCAATTTTCATGCTTAAGGAAATATTTGACTTGTGTTACGTTGGCAAAAGTATACTGTTCAATTATTAGAATATATCAAATTATAATACATGACGTACTGTAAAATTATAGATGTATATAAATTATTTATATATGCATAACTATATATTGTATATTAGGATTCCTAAAAGAAAGTCTACTACTTATTGAAAAAATGCTATTATTATCATTTTTATTATAATAACAACAAATTAGTGCAAATCACCACAATTTTTTTTCGCTGGTTGCATGATAAATAGAAGTAAAATTCAGCCAAATAAATTAACAATTCAGTTGCAAAATTTGTTGCTAGCTAATATACATGGGAAATATTGATATTGTAAGTAAAAATGTAATCATATACATCAAATAATATTTCGAGTAATACAGTTTTTGATTACTGCAAAATGGTAATTTTCGGTTATTATATTAAAAAAAATATCAGTACCTGGTTCGTCAGTTCCCCTAATTTTTTCGTAATCAGGATCGCTCGTTTTCCCAAAAGATTTCTTCAAAGTTTCATAGTCGTGCTCTCTATTTTTCATATCGGGTGTTATTGACATTTCCGGAGTGGCGATGTGGTTCACTATATCAGAAGAACAGTCACTTTTTTCTGACATGTCACCGTTCGGCTCTTCCTTTTTGTTTTTATGTACTTTCGCATACAGGTCGTCAATATTTCTCATAGCGAGTAACTTGTCAGAATGGAAATCGAAATTAGTCAAAGTCGGAGGAGGCGGCAACGGAGAATTGACTTTACGTTTTTCAGGCTTCGGCGATCCTAAATTCGCTACAGAGCTGGATGAAGACGCTACAAAATGAAGTTTTCTCATAGTATCACTGTAGAAGTTCAGAAACTTTTGTGACCTCTAATGAGAACGTTCAAAAATAAAACGAACCAAAGACTCATCAGATTTTTCCAATTCTGAAGTTGAAGGCAGATTTTAGCCTCCAAAAGGCTAAGATGAGTATTTGTATAATTTCTTTGCTATTTTTTTCTACAGTGCATTTCTTTAATGCCCCCCCTTTTATTTTTCGAACAGGTCAACTCAAAAAATTGAAATTTGGGATAATGAAAATGAACATTGACATTCAACTAGATAATTTGAGGTAATAAGCTTGAGGTCAGTTCTGAAGATACTCGAAATGGTTGCCTTGAACTTCTTGACATATAAACAGCTTATCCGATATTTCACGCCGAACATTTTCGAACACATCAACGTCAATATCTCTACAAATATTTATTATTCTCTGACGTATATCCAATATTGAAGCAGGTTCAGTTTCGTACACCTTCCCTACGACTCTTGCAATTTCCGAGAAAGCACAGTTAAGAATTTCAATAGCCTTATATAATCCTAAATGTTATGCAAATCAAGCACTTTTTCCAATCACCAGAAATGCAATACTCTTCCAGAGATGAAGAAAACAGTTTTCCTCATTTTCTGAAGACGCCAACTTGGTTGGAGGATACTTTTGCAGAAACTACATCATTATAGAATTGCTGAAAACTGCCTGAAATGATTTGAATCCTACCTTACAGGACGTAGACAATTTGTTAAAACCAATAGTTGTTCAAATACAAAAAATGTGAAAGCAGGAGGGCCCCAAGGATCGATCTTAGGACCCCTACTCTTTCTACTATATGTAAATAACTTGGCTGCTGTACGTATTTCTGGTAGTTTCACCATTTTTACAGATGGTATTCATATGGAAACCACACTAGTGGAAAATAAGATCTCCACAAAATTTTTGGGAATTAATATCGATGAGTGTCTGAAATTCGAGGAACATATAGACATTATAAATAAGAAACTTTCTTCTGGGTGTTTTGCACTTGAAACAGTATCAAAAAAACTGGTTTTACGCAGCAAAACATTTTTATTATGCCCTCATACTGCTTGATTATGTGCTCATCTGTATATATGTTTACATGTATATATGTGTGTGTATATGTACTTAATAATTTTTCAATATTGTATAGTTATACATTACATTTTAGCAGAAAAATGTTTGTCGATAAGATGTATTTCTTATGACATTAAACATATACGTCTCTCTCCCATTTTTGGTGATTGGGAAAAGTGCTGTTTGCGATTCATTCTATGCCAGAGAATCCGGTTTTCACTTTACTAAATGTATCGATTATTTCTTCTCACCTTGTCGTGAATGAGAGAACGTTTGAGACGGGGTCCCGTGCGAAGGCACATGTTTCAAGCTGTCGATGCTAGGAGGATGATGCCGTTCAGGAGGTGGTTCGTAAATCTCATCCGCCGTCTCATCTAATTCGTCGATCTGCGAATGTGAGGAAGGTGGAGCATTCACCTCCACCTCCACTGTTATCGGTAAGGGTGGTATTCTAGCGTAGGTTTCGCTTTCGCTGGTGTAAATTGGGTTATTTGCGTCGGGAATAGTTGTATAAACGTCATCTGTGAAATCAAAAGTTAGACTGGAGATCATGATGTTGGAAGACGTTGTGAACTCTATGAGCAATTGCATTTTGTTACAGAAACAGTTATTTCAACATATAACAATAATGGTCTCTATAATTTATAACAATTTCATTCAAGTCAAAACAGGACAACTTAACTGAATCATTCGGTATTGAGACTGTGAAAAAATGGTGAAACACGTCAACTTTGCTATTCAAGGAGGCACGTTTCTAAAAAAAAATGGACCCCTTGTTAGCCACCCTCTTCCCACAATAGAGCACAATGTCCAAACTAAACAGTAAAATATACCCAATGAAATGCCTACGAAGAGTTCTCAACTTGTCAGTACCTTAAAAAATTTATTATGCTGCAATTCAGTCACGACTTACATACAATAGGATTTTATTATGGGGTTCAGCATGAGCAGCTCACAAATTATTTGTACTGTAGAAAAAATGCCTTAGAACATGTAGGGTTATTCCTACAACTACTTAATTTAGAAACATTTTATTTCTTTATTAATTTTTATTCAGTATTATGAATTTTTGTTAGGAAATCAACTTTTCATCGAGCAGTCGTCCAAAATATGTTCTCTTCTATCAAAACAAAAGTTTATTGTCGAAAAACAGATGAATATTTAGAACAAAATCATTTGGGATGTTTCGAGTAGGTACTAATCGTTAACACTTTCATCGATTAAGGCAAGGAATTCGGGCCCAAGTGGTTGACCCTTCATGACTATATTTATGACCCCGACCATTGCCAGAAATGATTTTTCAAGAGTTACTTCGAACACATTTTTTAGCCGAGGCATTCATTCTGTTCTTATTCTAGAGTTTTGGCCGAGAACTAAACCCGCTCTAGAGTCTCTTCGCTGATCGAGAAAAGACTTAGCGTTAGTTCCCCGAGGTTACCCTGTAATTTTATTTTTGGTGTTTTGTTTGTCGTTGTTTTGTTGTTATTGATAAACACTGTGTCCATATAATTAATAATTCACCTATCACCAGTCCCGGCAAACATTATCAAATAAAAGTCGGGGAGAATCAATCATTTATTCAACGAGCCTGCGGAGTTCGAAAAGAAAAATCTCAATATTTTATCCGTTTTCCTCCTCTTTTCGGACGATATTCGTCTCGCCAAAAGCTGAAAACTCCACGACAAATATCGTTTTGCTCTGGTGGCCGAGAAGAACTAAATCAGGCTTATCAGCTTGTATGAACCTGAGGGTGGGGAACGAACAGTTCCAATAAATTCGGCACTTCTCGTTCCCCACAACGGATTCAATATCTACCGGATCGCAGAGAACATCGCTGTCTCGTCAATACCGTGAGAGTGCCGTAGGTCTCAAGCACCCTTAGGGCCGCGTTATGTCGATGGATATAGGACTATACCGCATATTCTGGACATGCTGACAGCAAGTGTATTGGAGTTTCAGACGTCTCGCGGCAGGCCCTGCACCCTGTGTCAGGAACCTCTATACCAATTACGCGACTGGGGTAGACCAAGGTGTTGAAGACACCCTCCAGGCAGGCTGTGATATGAACCCCTCAGTTTGCGACTTTAGCCCACTCGAACTGAGGAAAGCAATGGTTAGGAGCTTCAATAAGCCGAAGTCTTCAATGTTGTTGAAGAAGAACCCGTGGTTTGGCTTATCCTAATGGAGGAGCTTCAATAAGCCGAAGTCTTCAATGTTGTTGAAGAAGAACCCGTGGTTTGGCTTATCCTAATGGAGGAGCTTCAATAAGCCGAAGTCTTCAATGTTGTTGAAGAAGAACCCATGGTTTGGCTTTTCCTAATGGGCCTACTGCTGAAGGGGTTCCAACTTGGTGACAGAGTTGTGATCACTTCGATCAGTGCCAAAAACTAAACCAAGTTCACCATCTGCTCGGGCAGCTGACCCAAAGAGGAATGCTCCATGCAGAGAAGAGGATCCGAACTCCTGTTATTTTTATTATTTGATCTCAATGACCTCAAAATGGAGATATAACCTAAGTGATAAGTTTATTACTAGATGAAAACATAGCCTAAAAGCATTGCAAACAGTGCTGCCACAGATCTTATTAATGGTACTGGTCGAGTCATGATTGTAACATTTGAACTATTCTGTTCCTGAATGGAACAAACCTAGATAATTGGTGGCATCTTCTTAAGGAGAACCGTCACTGCCGTTTCCTACTCAGGTTTATCCTTTAAGGACAGTTGAGTGTAACAATGCATTCGTGATTCGGCCAAGCACCACTGACGAGGCCTATGGTGGGGTCTAAACAACGCTCTTTGGTGACGCATCACAAATACCTTGTTTTTAGACTCATCAGAACTAGCGCTACCTCTTAGTAGTTAGTAAAACACATGTTGAGAATTGTTTAATAGGAATAGGGTGTGTGTATAGGAATCTCATCATTACACTTTAGAATTTCAAAGAAAACGTAAGAGATGACCAAAATATTGTGAAAACTAACCTGAATCATCAGATACTGTAGAATAGTGGGGGTCTAATTCTCGTTTGTTTTTGGTCAGTTCTTTCGTTTGTGCTATTATATTCGCTAGGGGTTCTCTTACGCTAATACTGGTGTATCCTTCTGAAAAATAAACAAATCGTATAAAATTTGAATCGATCAGAAAAAAGGTATTCAATAATTGAGCATGAGCACAACTGCTGCAAGTACATCCAAAGCATTAAGTCAGTAGCCTCATTGCCTTTGACAAGTATACCGCAGTTGTATGCGAAACGTCGAGCATAAAAATCTGCGAGCGATAGCCAAAAATCTGAAATATAGCTTCGACATACTTATCTTCAAGCGGTGATAGTTTACACTCATTGGTTAACCTCAAAAATGTTCAGCCAAGTGTATCTTCAGTACAGTTAGTCAAATCAAATTGAAGAATGGTAAATCGTATGATTTTCTTGAAAGATGTCTGAGGAAAAGTTCACGCTGGTCGAAATTTTCAAGAATTAAGATATTTTCAGGTATTGATAAGGATAAAGAAGAAGAAAAAAAACTTTCTGGCCTTCTTTTTTTCCATCTTCAAACAGAAAATGTGAGAAACCTCAAATTTCAAATTCAATTGCCTTTTTCTTTGGGAAGTTTCCCACATTTTTTTGTATTCTGATATATTTAGCCAAATGTTCGGAACTCATTATTCAAAAGTAAGAATGATACAACAGATGAGTCGTTAGTGGGTCCTTAGCCCTTGTAATTTTCAAAGCAGCTTCTTCGTATAAACTAAAGAATTGTAACATAAGATCATTCATTTAGGAGCCATTCTGAAGGTTAGCTTCAAAATTTTCAACTAATTTTCAAAAATTTCTTGGAAAGTATCGAAAATATCTAGATTGATCTTTGGAACACATGGTCAAAATGGATTAAAGAATAGCATAGCAGACGATTTACTTGAAAAATATTTAAGAGGTACACTGATAGTGTACTGAAAAATGATATACTAGACGATTTACTAGCAAGACATCTGAGGGACAGACTACTCAGGAAAAAGTTTTCAAAAATTATGACATCTTCAGATATATTTGGTAAAATTTTCGAAATACACTCTAAAAGGACTTAGAGTGATACGTCAGATGGGTTGTCATGGGCTGTATTTTTGATACAGACACAAAAGGAGCCATCTAAGGAATAATTTACATACTTGTGAACCAACTTTCAAAAATTCCATCCCAAAAATATATATATTATTTGTTCTTCAATAAGCACGTTAAATGTGTTGAAGATTAAAGATTCAATCTTAAATACAACAAGTTACATTTACGAGAGAAAAGTTTGAAACTCAATCTTCTAGAACGGTTAGAAATCAATAGTTTTAACAATTCAGGTAATTTACTGAATGACCAATGGAATTAAATAACTCCACGTTACTAAATGTTTTTTCAAATGTGGAAACTGGTACATAAGCACAGGTAGTTTAATTAATTACAAAATCAGGTATATTTAAAACGTTAAATGGCCAGGTGAAACTCAGGTACTTGAAATTTAAGTACTTCAAATTATAAAATTAGGTATATGAAGCATTGAATATGTAGAATTTAGTTAGTTAAGACACTCCTGAAGGAAGCCATTGTATTGCATAACAAGTGTTGCGTTTTTGTAAAACTGGTTAGTGGAAACCTCACAATAAAGTGTTTTTTGGATATGTTATGGATTTTTATCAAGTATCGGCCAATTCCATCATATATTGAAGAATGACATATGACGAGTTGCTTACTTGAGGAATCCTGAGAATCTCCACTGAAATTGACTTGCATTACCGGAGGAGTCATGTACGGTAAGTCAGGACTAGCTGCAAGAACTCCTGCAACGGCAGACGCAGCAGGAATATCCAAGCCCTCATTACTGTGTGACGATGATCTTCGTGATCTCAAAGGATCCGTTAATTCATTAGATGAACTCACCACATCAGGTCTGGAAACAAAAAAAACAAAAAATTATATTCAAGTTTATATATTGGGTTGTTTCGAAAGTTTTGTCCGTTTCATTGTCATGTGTTTTTCCATATTTCAATTTGTTGTCTGTTTTCAGTTATTTGGGAAACCCCTCTTGTCCAAAAAATCGATTTTTTTATTAATTTGTATAACAAGTAACGTAGATCTACTTACCCCACCTGTTCCGACTCGTGAAAGCGTTCAGCGTATTGAACATACTGAATTCTATTATCCGAATAACTTTTTATCTATTTTGACATGTTACCATCGATGCCTAATGCTAGGAACTTAGCCATGAGAAGATCATGATTTACCCTGTCAAAGGCTTTAGAGAAATCAGTATAAATAGAGTCAATATGGTGTTCCTCCTCTAGGTTTCTCAAAAGACTGATTGAATTGCAATTAAAGATATCATTTGGATACAGTAGCATTACAAAATGAATAAAAAAAAATTTATACCTCAACAAAGTAATTCGTTCTTCTGATATCGATCCAATTTCTTCCGTAACAGCACACCTTGACGTGGTAGGCTGAAGTTGTGCGTAAGGATGCTCTTTCGATTTGATTTTGTCATATTTAACCCGTTCGTACGGAGAGAATGTTTCATCTGCCTGACTGAGAGAGCTATGCTGAGATATGCTTGGTCTCTGTTCAACTCCATTGGATAATGTATGCCTCTTAGCTGGAAAAGCTTTGATTCAGTGATAAGACAAATCAAATTCAAGATCGGGAAGAATATTCATAAAGAAAAGCCTCAGCAGAAGCCATTTATGTTTCCACTAACCTGAGTTTTGATACTGGCCAACAGTTGCATAATGCTCAGAAGAGTTGTCACCAGTGGGGTACCAATTTACGGCAGTTCCCTGTTCTGAAGGTATATCAGGTAGACTTCTTCTAGTATTTGTTACTGCAGTCCTGAAAAATGTACTTTCAAGATCAGTACTTTCGAGAAACTGAAGGAAAATATAAGAACATAGGCTTTCAGGGACAGAGTCACGATCAGAGAGAACAAAATCTCCGTTCTGGTAGGACAATGAAGGTAGTATCTTTCAAGTCTCGGCGACGCCTGACTACAGTCCGTGCATTTTTTTGCTTCATACGAGCAGTCTAACTAGTCCACTCCTTCCAAGTCTCTGGAAAACACTTCAGCCTCAAGTGCTCGTTGCGTTTTGCCCTAAATTTTTCATGACAAGCTGTATGTGTCCCTTCGTTGCATTGTCTGCAGCCCAATTTTTTGCAGATACCCTCTCAATGGACAGTGTCCAGTATCTTCACGGCATTCTCAGACTCTTGGGTTTGTTAGTGCCCCTAGTCAGTGCATATACCACTGATGCTGCCGCAGTAGCAAAAGAAACTTTTGATACTACAAGTACCTTTCGACCATTGTTTACCAGCCCGGATTTTCTTCTCTCTAACCGTTAGAAAATGTCTGTAACAAGTCTATGAGACTTAAATGATATTAAATATGTTTGAAAAAATCTAATATCCTGAACAGTTTCCAAAATTCACAGAACTGTACTGTGTTAGAAAAATACGTAATACAGTAAACATATGTTATACTGAAACATAATATAAGGAATATGCATATATAAAAATAAAAAAAAAAGATCTATAAAGTTAAGCACAAGTTATACAAAAAATTGTTTACAGAAATATGTCTTTCATAACTCGACAAATACATGAAATTAGCTAAATATTTGAAGCAGTTTCTGTTTCGCAGTGATCACCAATCATTTGAACCATGCAAGGAATCGCACATCAAAAGGTAACACCTCGTTAATACTTAGCTAACACGGATTTTTATTCAAGATTGTCTTCTATACCTTGCAAAATGGTTAAAATTACTAAATAATCGTTTAAACAATTATTGAGATGCACACCCTCTATTAACAAATGCATGCAACACCAGCAACAGTGCATAGAGCTACGCCACAAAACAATATCAAATCAGTTATCATACCAAGAATCCTGATTCAAGAGGGTTACATAAAATCACAAATTTTTGGCATGAAACAACAGCAATAGCAACATTTTCAAAGGGATATCTTTGATCTGTAATTCTTGTAGTGAGGATCTTGTAACTTTGTATAAGTACAACAGATATCTCTTCAAAATCATACCTTCCATTAGTATCTAACGAATCACCGCTAGCATCTAAAACATCAACAACACACGGTGCAGCAGAATGAAGATGATTGACATTTTCATCAGGATTTTTTTGTGTGACCATGCCATCAAGCCCTTGCCATTCATCTCTGAAAACAAACGCATCAAGCAAAAACGACATACAAAACGAAATCAAAGGAACGTGAATAATAATCTTACTTTGGCGTTTTCTTTCTCCAGCAGATGCAGAATACTAAAGACATTACAAGTACAACACTGATACACCAAGGAAGAACGATAATCCACATTACGATAGAGTCACATGGTTTTGTAAATTGTGGGAAACTCTACCAAATCCACAAGTATATCTATAGTTGTGCTGGTTTGTTCCGTTTGTTGAAATGTATTCCTTTTTATCAACATGAATAAATGTATAGTAGGTATTCAAAGTACATTGGAGTCATGTAATGTACAACTTTTTCAAAAATTGTGGCGACGTTCCCATTTCACTATTTACTGGCCTAAAATGAATCACATGAAACCTCAGATAAAACTAGTTCAAGAAGTGGTATCAGAGTGCTGGTCTTGTCTATGACCTCTCTAGTAAGATAAAATAAAATGTCGATGGGTTTCAATACTTGATTTGGAGTACAGTGTACTAATATGAAATCAATGCGATATTAATAAAAAAATTATTCATACAAAAACAAAAACAACGTCACTGACAAATGATATAACCTTAAAAATGAGTCATTTTGACTTTGACTTTTGACGGTTAATCATTCATCTACACTAGAAATATTAGGTATATTCGGGCTTGGTACTGGGACGATTCTAGGGCGGATCAAAATAGTTTTATTGAACAACTGATTATTCAGACATCACCTACTAAAGTTATATTGAGCGACTCTTTTTCACTGTTATCGGACTCTCCTGATGACAAAAAGTTCACAAAACTACTCAAAGACAGAGGTCGTACATTGTTTTAAATGAGATCCCTGAAAAAAACTCGTTACTATTTCAAAATATACGGGTAGGAATTGGAATTAAAAAGTAAGACCTCGTTAATTCTTAGTTTCGAATTGTGAGGAGTTGTTCGTAAGAGGGTGACAGCTGGTTAACGGAAAAACACTTTTTTAACGCCTAATGAAAACACTTTTCCCACTTTTCTCGACGTGAGTTTTGCTAAGTGATTTTATTCTTTCACAATTCATCCTCACAATTGTGGATTCACAATTATAACTGTGTACTTACAATTATCAGTGTAAATTTACAGTTTCAAGTGTTAACTAACAAATTCACAGTTATAACTGTGAATTATGTCCCTCGGCTAAAGACAAAAAATCCACGCTTGTACCCTCAGTACTCAGAAAATAGTTGTCAAAAAGTTGAATGTATTACATATCTGTTAATGAAACGAAACATAACCAGTCACTTAAACCAGACAAAGCCATATTCAACTATTGTAATTATAACTTGAAAAACAACATATCATTAATAACAAATTCCATTAATTGATGGATGTAGCCGTTACTACGTAGTAGAAAACCATTATGAAGGAAAGAGAATTGAAACTTTCTATGTTTCTTATCACTTTCATTTGTGATTAACGTTACTGCACTTTCGTCCTATAAGGACATTTTCAAACTTATACTTCAAACTACAGATTAGTTTAATGTGCAAGTTTGAAAATGTCCTTATAGGACGAAACTGCAGTAACGTTAGTTACAAATTAAAGTGGTAAAAAACATAGAGTTCCAATTCTCTTTTCTTCATAACTCATTATTCAAAGGTAATTTTGACTTGGTTGGGTTGGATTTCGTCTCATAAGCATATTCAAAAAATTTGCAATGAATATAACGTGCTGACATCTATTATGCTGAGTATAAAGAGTACATGCGAAGAGTTTACAGACGCTGGTCATAATTTATAGTTATTAATTACAGAAAATTTGCCAATGTATAGATAAATTCACATTTTTTGTAATTGTAAATTCGTTAATTTCCATAGTTGTGACCATGAATTGAAAATTGTAAGTGTGTATTATGGAAAATAATTAAAAATTTTGTGGCCATTCTACGTCTTTCTATATCGAATTATTGAATCTACTACGAAATTATATTCCGTAATAGATTCAGCTGTGAGGCTGGCAACTGGCAACCTTGCCTCTGTCACTAATCATAACATTCCCGATCTTTGAAAATAATATTTTTGTTTAGATTATTTTTAATTTATGTATATCAATCAATTTTGAGTTTCCATTTTTTCTCAAGTATGGACAAACCGGTAATTATATCTGGTGAAGCTTCCGAAACAGACAGTGAGGAGGATTTCAATCCAAAAATGGTAGCAGAAAAATTGTATAGGGTTCCTTGATAATTAATTTTTCATTTTTAGGTCCACGATGTAACAAAATCGGTACAAGGTGCAATAATAACTGGCGAAGATTCAGAATCCGAAAACGGCAAGAATATTTTTTTCTTTTGGCTTTAAATAAATAATCAGTTATTTTCAGAATTTGATAGTGTTGCCAGTGCTATTTCTGCTCTTAATCAAGCACCTCAGTCAGACAGAAGTAAAGAAAAAAGTCCAACTGATTCATTATTTCATCAGAAACTAAGTGGGTTGATTTTAATTTTGGTCAGTGCTAAGTGCTTTCCTTTTAGCAGGGTAGCAAATTATGTTTGTCTATAGTTTTCAGTTGTTGATTGTCAATGAAAAGTACCTACAGTTATAGTTATCAGTTAACCAGTGGTTTTTTTTACAGGGAAACAAAATAGCCAACTCCACAATGATATAGAAAATTTGTGCCAAAGTACTGTAAACAAAGCTCGCAAAAATCTGAATGATATAGACCAACAACTACTCCGTTCACAATTTACTGTGCAAAATGCTGTAACTTCTCTCAAATCACTCAGTGTAAATTCGTTAACGCTGAAGAGTAAATTACATTCTCTTTTATCTGCAAACTTTTTGTCAAATGTTACTGTTGAGAAGTAAAATACGAAATGTGATACGTCAGCAAATACATTTCAGATGCAAGTAATGCATATGAAATGTATTTTGCTTATATTTGCTTATTATATTTTGCTTATTTTACTTATTATATTTTGCTTATTTTACTTATATATTTATTTCTATGATACTACTTATACATTATTAAGACCGAGTGATCAGTGATTAGTTAAGTGGGAAAATTTTTCAATGATAATAAAAAGTATTTACAAACTGTTTTTGTTTTTCAATAAGAACCAAGTGATACACCAAGTTATAACAAAGACTGACTGTAATTTTGAAATGTGGGATGCACCTAACATGAGCCGTGGGGTGCTCCATCCTGCTGGTAAGTTATTTCGTTTTCTGGTAAATTGTCATCGTTTCCTGAATACTAAGTAATATAACCTACACATTCTTGAAAGTCTTGGTTTTTCAAACATGCAAAAAAGTTTCTATCCTAGTTTACTGACAATCAGTTTAAACTGATTATCTATAATTGACAGTTCAAATCACAGGCACCGCGCCTTAAGAATTTTCCTGTAGTGCTTGTGTTTTGTCCGTACAAATAACCCCAAAAGAAACGCATTAGTGATCCAACATTGGAAAACACTGTTTCGACTCGTTTTATTACCCCCTATAGCACTTTTATGGTATTGACACGACACTGTTGTTGCCTTATGAAGGATATTGAAAATGTTGCGGGGAATGAAAATGCCGAATTTACTGGAGCTATTCATTTTCCACCCTCATTAGCTGATCATGAAGTTTTCAGCTACGGCACAGTCTACTTGGGCAGATATTGTCAAAAAAGAAGAAGAAAAACGGGTGCACCCTCGACCCTCACTACTCTCAAGGTCATGCCGGCTAGCCGCAGTCACAGAACACCCTAACTGGCAGTAATCTTGGCCTGAAAATACAGAAGGCTGTCACTCTAGGGCCCCATTATATGTCGATAGATATATACGCTGAGACCGCTGGACATATCGACAGCAAATGCATATGCATGCCTCGCAGCAGTTTCTGCATCTATTGTCAGGAACCTCTATACCCATCACTGCAGTACAGTTTAAACTGTACTAGTATTATTTATTGTGAATAAATAACTGAAAAATCAAGATCTAGCATTACACAGTATTGTTTCAAACTGCTTTCTGTGGTTCATAGGTTTTACCAGTGGCAATAGTCTTGGTCAAAAAGTTCACTCTAATCCTTGTCCGGGTTTTCAGTAAAGACAACCATGAGTTAAGGCGACTCCCCCTTTCAAGACAAATAAAAACCTAAATAATTGAATAGAACTGGCCGATACTTGATTTAAGGGTTTTACAAAAACCGCGGTTTTTGTAAAACCCTTATAGTGAAAATCATAGAATAAACTCTATTTATTAGTTTTTTAAAAACTTATGTACTGTTTGAAAGTTGAATAAGCGCTGCTGAACAGAATAAACACTAGGAATATTTCATTAATTACTGTCTAATTGAAATATGCCAGCAATAGGTATCACCGACGTACCCTATAAGGTTATGCTACCGACATAAATAATAAAATAACATTTCAGGTTATTTTCGAAAAGAATTCTGAAATATTAATTTCTGTAGGTAAGGTAATTTTTTCAGAATTTCAACATATCAAACAAATGTATGTGTAGATTATTATTTATTGTAATTTTTAATAAAAACTTAATTGTAGTTGTGTAAACTGATTAAAACAAAATGTACATAAAAGTTTCCAGGGTTTCTATATGCATTTGCCTATCTCTGAGTAAACATCAAATGAAGTTGGACATTTCCAAATTTGACATTGAATTTTTGTCATTTCTTTTCGTGAGCAGTGAAAAAAAATTTTATTTGTGAAAATGGGTAAAAGTGCAAAAAAACTCAAAAAAGTGAAACAATTCCGACCTCAAAAACAATTTCGTTATCTTCCGGGTTCTGTAACAGATGAGGCAAATACTATTGACTTAGCTACATATAACTCTTTCAGATATAGGGTAAGCATTTGTATAAAATTGAATAAAGAATGAATGAAAATTTCCAATCAACAATTTAGGTATTTTGTGCGAGGCCAATGGTAGATTGCTATCCATCAAAACTGAAATCTTTTAATTTACTCAACATTAGAAAACTAAGTCAAGATCTACAAACAGCAATGTTGATCGATAAAAAAAATAAAGAACTCTTAGCAAAAATAAATATGATCAACAGAAAGGGGGTCAGTATTTTGAATGATATATTATCTGAAGTAAGAAATATAATTAAAGTTTTAGGGAGTGGTGGACACTTACAACCCCCTGGCATACAGAAGGACAAATAAATGGATGTTTCATGAATTGAAAATGAAGAAAATAGCTGAAGAAAATTTGGCTATATATAAGGTGATCCAATCAGCAGTAAGTAATGCCATTTCTCAAATAATAAGTCTAGCATATTCTAGATTATGAAAATTATATTTAATAGTTTGACCGATATTGAATTTATGAAATGAAAATTCCATTGTTGCAACTCTACGCATATGTTGAGTTTTCTAGATTCTTCAGGTCATCTGTTATACCTAATAATTGCCTTGTGAGCGGCATCTAGATCAAAGTCACTTGATTTTTTCTCTGAGAGTTGTCTTTATAGAGATTGTTTGCAGTTCCAATTTAGTTCGGCAAGTTTGACTTCATAACGTTTCGGAGAAGTTTTTATTTTTCCAGTGTAGTATAATTATAAAAATTTAGATAAAAGAGAACAAAATCGAGAACAAAATACCAAAATATCCGCTCCGCTCGTGTGGTATTTTATTCATTACACCTTCTAAAATTGAAAAGTTCTCTTACGAATATTTTATAACGACGATCGCGACTAGGTCAGATGGAGTCAGTATATTTATTGACAAATGTTCTTCAACAGACCTCTTTTTACCAAACGAAAGAATTCAGAAGGGAATGGCAAACCACAGTAAAAGAAATGGATCATTCTTGCAAATATCCGTTGACGATTGTGTACAAACCAAATATTGATAATATACTTCGTAGCGAACCCTCTATTAGTGATGGATTGCAGAGAGGAAACTTCGATAGACCGTTGTGAGTCATTCGAAAATATATTTTTGGCAAAAATCCAAAGGAAAATAATTTGTATAATAGTTATTTTTTTATGAAAAAATTGTTCTTCTAGGTGTTTCTTAGAGTTTCAAGTGAGAAAGGGCGAATACTTGGGAGTAGTATTCATAGAATTATATTTTGACCACGTTCCCGTTACCGTACAAAATTTCGTAGGGATTTGTACTGGTGAAGGATTGACATACAAAAATTGTTTGGTACATAGGATAATCAAAGGGCAGTATTTAGAAACTGGCGACATCACTAAAGGAACTGGACGTGGTGGTGCTTCCATTTATGGCGAGAGATTTCACGAAGAAAATCATATGCTGAAGCATACCAAAGCCGGTAAATATCTCTTTTTTCAATAAGTTAACTTCCATTGTGTATATATGTTTCGCGAAAAGTTATTTCGCACTGGATAATAACGTATATAGATACTCGTAGAAAATTAATTTTTTGAAAAAATAGTATAGTTTTATTAGGAGGAAAAATGATGTTTTGTGTGAGGGATTCCCTGTAAAAAAAGTTCGACAACCACGCGAACAAAAATCTTTTTCACCGAATGAAAAATACAATTTTTTCCAGAGACACTTTCAGCTCAATTAAAATTGGTAACGATTATTTTTAATATCGACTGACGACAAAGGTGTCACTTTTAGTGCAGAAGACACTTGACTTGATAATCGACATTAACAAATTTTTACAAGTCTCAATTTGGTATTATGAGTAAAGAGTTAAAGAAACCTTCAATTTAAAGTTGAAATTGTCCAAGATACAAAAATTCAAAATGTGTCTTTCTTCTGAATTTTCGTAAATAATAACACAACCTTCTGATGTGCAGGAGTTCTTTCCATGAAGAGGTTGCCTCCAACTGATAATAATTCACAGTTCTGCATAACTTTCACGAAGATGGAGCAACTGGATCATAAAAATGTAGTGTTTGGAAAAGTAATTCAAGGAAATGCCACCCTTTTCAAAATTCAGGATTACGGACGTAAAATTGGAAAACCTTATGCCGAGATATATATTTCTAATTGTGGTGTACTGGACTGAATATAATTTTTTGGATTAACATTCAATACGATGTTTTCAATTGGGTGAGATTTTCATAAACATTTTCGAAATACATTCAAAACTCTCTAGTGTAGGTAATTATTCATACTAGCATCTATTTTTGAAGACGATTGTAAGTATTACTATAATCTAATTGACGACACTATTGCAAGTAGACAGACATATATTTATTTCCACTCAACACACACATTTTAAGAGTAGCGAGTTAACAATATACGTGAATACTTTCATTTTACGGGTGAACAAAAGGCACGTGGAAATATTCGTAGGAAGTGCATAAATAAAAACAAAATATTACAAATTTCATTGGATATTTTTTTGATATTACAGAACTATGACTATGTAACTGATTCAGTAATAGATACCAGATCTTTTTATTGAACATGGCGCAGTCTACACTTCACTAATCTTAATCTAATGTATACAGTTTGAATTGCAATTCATATCTTTTAACATTTCGACACCTTTTTTATTTTACCTGAAATTTGACACTGACAATCGAAGCTCACCTTCGTAAAAAGATTTGAAAAATCATTGTGTAAAACTTTGTGAAAAATTGTCAAATCAGTGTCATAAAATTGTTGAATAACCTTTTGGCTGGATAACTCTGGTAGCTCAGGTCATTACACGGTGAAGAAGAGAATAAACATGTCAATCTCGTTTATAAGCCTGTCAATTCTGTTGATGGTGTTAAAAAAAATTGTTTTACGGGTCTTTCAGTGTTTACATCAAAATCAAGTATAAATAGAATTGCATATCATTCAATTTATCTTGTTTCAAATAATTATAACACAGCAAGAAAATGTTATATTTGGAAGACTATTTGGAGAGTAAGTATTTTTCAAATTACTAGCCTTACCCAACGCATGCTAAAAAGGCGCTAAATTTGAAATTTGTTTAATTTTTAGTGATCGAACATTTACCCCAAGAATTACGAGATCGTTTTACCGATATGAGAGAAATGGACTTAGGCATACATAGTGAGTATTCAGAAAAATCGAGAACCTGAGTTGAATAAAGAATTAAAAACCAAATTGAAAAATTGTTTATCCTCTTGTATTGAAAATGGTATTTGTCTTGTATATTCTCAAACTAATTAAAAAACTAAAAAAATATTTCGAATTCAGTTCCAAAATCGAAAATAGTACATAGTAATTGATAATTTTAATGGTGATGAAGTAATTTAAATTTTTGGTATTTTACAAGGTTCTATTTAGCAAAAGCTAAAAATTTCTCACAAAAAATATAACTTTGAAAAGACTGATTTTCAAATATAAAATATTAAGCTAAACAGTTAGGCCTAATAATTGACAAAGTTTTAAATTTTGAAAGTCTTATTGATAAAATTGAAGATTAAGTTTTACTACTAGCAGGAGCAATTAAGAGAATAGATTTTCAGATACTTATATACAAATTATAATTCATAATGCCTATATTCTCCCTAGAATCAGATATCAGCTATAGAAGACATTGAAAAATCTATAGAATATTTTAAGCATTGTATTAAATAAATACATATGATTTACCGAACACCTTAGAAATTCCTGTTTTCATAAATACAAATAAAATACCTCTCAATTGTCTAGTGTGGATATGAACATAAATATTATTTGTTAGACAATATGGATGAACTTGAAAAACGGGTTAAGATCTTCTTCAATGATTGCAAGAGATGCCCTGGAGAAAATTTGCCCCAGAACCTTGATTCAGAATATCAGGCCATTCGAAAAGAGTACTACAAAACATTAGAAGATGCTGACGAAAAGGTAAAAATATACATCGCAAGATGCGTTTCTTTAGCATGATGTTTGTATTTACAGGTTACTTTAGCTGGTCAAATGTACGATTTAGTCGACAAGTATTTACGAAGACTAGATTCAGAGTTGCATAAGTTCAAATGCGAACTAGAAGCTGATAATAAAGGTATAACAGAGGTATTAGAAAAACGTTCTTTAGAATTAGACACACCTAACAGCTCGCCGAGTATTTCGTCGCTACAGCAGAAAGAGAACCGCTATGAGAGGTGAGCAAAAAATAGATTTTCAGTTTTGTTTTCATTCTGAAGTAGTGTGACTAGTAGTTTCAGGTATACACGACCTAGGAGTGAGAAAAGGAGGGAGAGTAACGTGGTACTACCTTCACAGTTAGTGGAAAAAAGGCAGGTCGTTGCTGCAGTTCCACCTACTATACCTGCTCCTATAATGGAGACAAGACATACCGTCTCGTCTCATTCGCAACCCACACCACCTGCAACGACTGCTATCAGTTACAACTTGGGCCATAGCCTAGGGGCAGGACCAGCTATTGCTGCTGCCGCATCTCAAGCTATTGCTGCTACTCAGCAGGTGAGCAATATTTATATGACCAGCGACATGAATTTGGTCTGGCAAGGCTGTCTCTGAAAGACGGCCTTGCCAGAACAAAAATGCTGTCTCTCTGAGAGACAGCCTTGCCAGAACAAAAATGCTGTCTCTGTGAGAGACAGCCTTGCTAGAACAAAAATTCTGTCTCTCTGAGAGACAGCCTTGCCAGAACAAAAATTCTGTCTCTCTGAGAGACAGCCTTGCCAGAACAAAAATGCTGTTTTTCTGAGAGACAGCATGCCCAAACAAAATTCCGTCTTGCCAGAACAAAATTTCTGTCTCTGTGAGAGACAGCAGAGAACAAAAATTCTGTCTCTCTGAGAGACAGCCTTGCCAGAACAAAAATGCTGTTTTTCTGAGAGACAGCATGCCCAAACAAAATTCCGTCTTGCCAGAACAAAATTTCTGTCTCTGTGAGAGACAGCAGAGAACAAAAATTCTGTCTCTCTGAGAGACAGCCTTGCCAGAACAAAAATGCTGTTTTTCTGAGAGACAGCATGCCCAAACAAAATTCCGTCTTGCCAGAACAAAATTTCTGTCTCTGTGAGAGACAGCAGAGAACAAAAATTCTGTCTCTCTGAGAGACAGCCTTGCCAGAACAAAAATGCTGTTTTTCTGAGAGACAGCATGCCCAAACAAAATTCCGTCTTGCCAGAACAAAATTTCTGTCTCTGTGAGAGACAGCCTTGCCAGAACAAAAATGCTCTCTCTGAGAGACAGCCTTGCCAGAACAAAAATGCTGTCTCTGTGAGAGACAGCCTTGCCAGAACAAAAATTCTGTCTCTCTGAGAGACAGCCTTGCCAGAACAAAAATGCTGTTTTTCTGAGAGACAGCATGCCCAAACAAAATTCCGTCTTGCCAGAACAAAATTTCTGTCTCTGTGAGAGACAGCCTTGCCAGAACAAAAATGCTCTCTCTGAGAGACAGCCTTGCCAGAACAAAAATGCTGTCTCTGTGAGAGACAGCCTTGCCAGAACAAAAATTCTGTCTCTCTGAGAGACAGCCTTGCCAGAACAAAAATGCTATTTTTCTGAGAGACAGCATGCCCGAATAAAATTCCGTCTTGCCAGAACAAAAATTCTGTCTCTCTGAGAGACAGCCTTGCCAGAACAAAAATGATGTTTTTCTGAGAGACAGCATGCCTGAACAAAGTTCCGTCTCTCTCTCATTGAATAAGATACTATTATGATCCTCTATTGTGACACTGCTTGAATTTGATCAAAATGTCTTGAAATTACTGTAACCATTTGATTATTTTCAATTTCAGATGCAGCAGGGCCGTAGAACTGCAAGCCTGAAAGCTTCTTACGAGGCAATAAATACCGGTTCACACGGACACGAGTTCAGTATTGGCAGAGAATTAGCAGGGGCAGCACAAACAGCCATCCAAGCCATACAGCAGGATCATGCTAACAACAAAAAGAAACAAAAGTAAGTCTGACTCGGCTACATTGAACATCAGTGAATGTGTTCTTCTTTCCAGGAAATGGCATAGTAGTAGCACGGGTAGTAGTACGTCGTCTTCATCGGTTTCTACAGTTGTTCAGGCTGCTGTGACTCCAACCGTGGTGACTCCAGCTCCGGAATCACCAAATGTTGAGGTATCTAATCAAAATGCCGAGGTGACCGACGGAGAATGGACATACGATCCGAACGAACCTAGATACTGTCTTTGTAACCAAGTATCGTATGGCGATATGGTAGCTTGCGATAATGAAGATGTGAGTCATTTCTATTCATTATATAAAAAAATAATTTGACAAGATATATTTTTGCCCTATGGTATTCAATTTCACAGTGTAAGATGAAACATATTTATTTATACTAGTAGCGCCCTCTGTTTGTTAGCCTACGAACTTATAATCCCATCCAGTATATTGCTAGTCTTTGGATAAGTAAATGGTAATTATTGTAACCATAGTTCGATGGAACTGAATATGAAAGATTTGACCAAGATTGGTGGTACAAAATGGTTCCTTGATGTGGTCTGTCCATAATAACATTGTATTTTCATATTTATGTGAGCTCTGTTGGAATAACATATTAGATTTCATTTGATTTTTGAGCCTGTAGCCCTTCAATTACCTTGTATATCTGGTAAATAAATGATGATTAATTGATAATTTGAACTGTTAATCTCAGTTCGATATCTGTTTGAGAATGTGAAATTTAATAAAATATAGCAATTTTTCATTCAAAAGTAAGGTTTTTGGTTTTTACTTCATCTACAGACAAAAGATGTACCAAGTCAAAAATAAAATAATTATATTGAATGACGAGTTATACAGAGAATAATAATAATCAAAGTATTTTAAACATCACCTAATTTGACCGGTTCTGTCCTCCGAAAACAACACTGCGTCATTGTCTCCTTATTAATAACATTATTACTAACCATTGTTGATTAGCACCTGCTTAGGTTGCAACATTTGGCCTTATTATCAAACTAATTTTATGACCATAATTGACAGTTATTAATTTTTTCAGTGTCCGTCGGAATGGTTTCATTATCCGTGTGTTGGTATAACTGCTCCGCCAAAAGGAAAATGGTTTTGTCCCCAATGTACATCATCGATGAAACGTAGAGGAGGTAGAAAAAATTGATGAAACCTTCATTTTAATGAATTTTGTAGTGTATGGATGATTGTGTATGCATGAAATATTGCTAATGTTCATTAGGTTTGTATAGAATACTTATCTAAGCTATACGTGACACTGAGTACTTGTGTCTTCATATTTTTTCATAGTGGAAAAGCAGCAGTTAGTTTGTATGATCTCCATTTTGTAAAAAAAATCATTCATCAGCCAAAAAGGATTTCCCAAGCCTTTTGAAAATTTACACGAGTTCAGGTATGTTATTCTTATAGATTTACCAATGCAGAGTACAGATTTCTTCAACAAAATTTGTCTCATCTCTTAGGGTTTCTGTAAAATTTCAATCCAAATGTCTAAACTTTCCAAAGTTAAGTTGAATTGTATAATAATAATAAAAATAAACGTTTTTGTTGGTAGACAATTATTACAAATTCTTTATCGAAACTCTACAAAAAGTGACGCCAAAGGGCAGGGTTCAACTCCTCTCTGAAAGGAGTTGTTCTTCCACCCATCCCGAATATAAGCATTGAAATATATTAAATACAGGGTGGCCCATTGAAAATGTACTGCAAGCAAAACCACCAGAGAAAGTACAAAAATGTCAAGTTTGTTAGCTAGAGTGGAAAGTTCAGATCTAAAATCCACTGCAAAACCTTCAACCCTCCACTTTGGTAGGTAGAATTACAACCCCTGATTTAAAATGAATCTATTGAAAACACACATATCGTTTTCTGGCAGTACTTATGGAATGTTTTTGTTGTCCACCCTGTATAATGTATTTATGAAGGGGAGGATTGGAACGCTTCTTTCGATGAGGCCCCCCTCATTGTATTTTTCCTTTTTTTGATATTCTACTGGATTCCTCGAGTTTTAATCTTAGCGTTTGCCAAAATTGATGTCATAGTGTTTTTTTGTAATGATTATGTAGTGTATCTGTCAAACATTTGTGAATTCATAAAAATAAAAAAAATGGTGTCGTTTTTTATTTCATTTCAACACTCACATTCAATTCAGACAAACAAACATACATACGTACAGGTGAAGCTAATAAAAACGTGTTAATAATAAAAATGAATTGCTGTTCGTGGGTCTCGCTAAAATTCGAGAACGGCTGGACCGATTTGGCTCATTTTGGTTTTGAATTATTTGTGGAAGTCCAGGGAAGGTTTCGTACAGGGCCATCTGCCCGCGAATAGGTCAAGCAATAATGTCGATAATTCTGTTAAATACAGATCCCGAGCTTGAGAGTGACAAACAAACATACATACATACAGGTAAAGCTAATAAAAGCATGTTAATAATAAAAATGAATTGCTGTTCGTGGGTCTCGCTAAAATTCGAGAAGGGCTGGTCCGATTTGGCTCATTTTGGTTTTGAATTATTTGTGGAAGTCCAGGGAAGGTTTCTTTCTTTTTAAATTAAATGTACCCTGCAGGATCAATTAAAAGTAGTTTTATCTTTCATGAACTTCAATAAATATTCCCTTTAATTGTAATTATCCGATTGAATTGATTATTTTATACTAAACTGAATTTAAACGATTTTAAATTAAATTTATCCTGATCTACAGGATAGATTTAATGCTTTTTGAAACTATTGTTTTTCTTTTTAAATTAAATGTTTCCATCCCTGCAGGATTAATTAAAAGCTTAATCAAAAAAATTTTTAAATTGTAATTATTTGATTGAATAAATTGATTATTTCTATTGAATTGAATTTTAACAATTCTAAACAAAGCTTCTTCAAAATAACTCAACTAAAATTTTCAAACTTACGAGAAGGAGAAATAAAAAAGATGAAAAATACAAGAATAATTTTTTTTAAATATATTTCTTCAAGTATTATTTTTCCACATTGGTAACTGTCACTTGAGAAAGATAAAACACAATAAACTATTGAAGAGTATTAAAAACTTAAAATCATTATTCTAAGACCAGAAACTATAACATATTAAGTTCTTGCAAGTCGAAACTAGTCAAAATTAAAAAATTGTAAAGGCACTAACAAACTGTATAAGGTCAGATTCACATTTTGGAAATTTACAGCAATCGAAACATTACTTACTGATGAGAAAAAAATTCTGAAGAGAAAGTACAGTTTTGCACTTTCTCTACAAAATTTCCTAGAGAACCAATGAATAAAAACATCGCTGATATCACACGTAATATCGAAATTTGTATCTTCTCTACTTCAAAAATCAAAATGTGCTGTTCATCTACTATTTGATATTATATATCAACATTAGGGACGGGTCCGGATAATAGGTTGCTGAAACTTTTTTTTTGAAGAGAGGAAGATACAAATTTGGGAATAGCTCTAGTATGTGCCAACTAAGATGAGTTCTGAGAACGTAAAATCGTTCTGTGTTAAGACTCCGCCCACTTAAGTCAATGTACTGTTGACATCAGTTTGTGTGACTAATGGCTATCTTCCGGAAAAGGGTATAATTTGGTTTCAAATAGGCCTCAAAATCTATCTTAATTGGCGAGTACCATAACTACCATATTCAATCCACAAATATTACTTGAATTTCAGCTTTTCAACAAGTACTGGAAGCATTGTTTTTGCAACGATGCTTGATCCAAAGACCACTTCTACCATTTTTATGTTCTTCAAGTCTCCTTCCAGTTGTCAATTAAATATTGGTGGCATATTCAAGCAACAATTATGGTTCTACATAAAAAAATGGGTGGCTAGTTTTTTCTCAGTTCACTAGTAGATTATGGGTACGAAAAGATTTGAAGGAAATATAACAAAAAAACAAACAAACATGAAATTTAAACAAGAAGTGTCAAGAAACGATATGTTGAAACCTTCTATTTTCTTTCAGCAACTTTCTGGATGAATGTTTTGCCTGCTCCTAGTTTTATTTTAGCCATCAAATCAGATACAACATTGCTATCTTCCACGGATTGTTCTGCTGCAGCTTGCTCTTGCTGTATGTCGGGCAAAACAACTGGTCTTTTACTTCTCTCGTCCCTTTTCGACCTTGATACATTAGAGAATGTCTCCTTATTTGATGAGTCAGATCTTTGAGGGTGTGATTCTGTTCGAGGGGCGTTCTCAGATCGTGATTCGGTACTTGAAAAATTTTCATTGATTCTTCGACGCTCTGAAATGCGAAAGTTTCGTCTGCTCCCTGCAGATGCAACGTCAAGTTTCCTTAAAACATTACGGTTCTCGCAATTTGCTTTTGCATCATAGGTAGTATTATTGCAATCGTCCCAAGACTCGTCTGGTTCTATGTTGAGGTTCTGGATAGGAAACCTGTTGGTGTTGGAACCTGCAAAAATTGCGAAAACGTGAATTTTTTACTTTGCAAAATATGCTGACAGAAATAGTTCAAAAAATTTTTCAAAGAGGTTGAAGCTGTAGATATATAAAAGTCGATTATAGTTTGTCAGACCCTTGATGGGTATTATACCTGAGATGAATTTATACAGTACGAATTCCTTTATTAATAATAACACTAGTCAACAAATAAGAAAAAAAAATGCGACTAATATTATACATACACTTAAAAATTATAAATACACTTAAAAATTTATTCGGAGCTTTGAACAGAAAACATCAATCTTACCAGCTTCTTCATAGACTGCCAATTCTATATTTCTCCTGCTTGGGCAATTCTCATGGTGATATTGGAGTTCTACTTCAGGTACTTTATGGGTAACATTGAAATCACAGTTTACAATTCTTGATTCAGGATAATTTTTTTTGCATTTCACCAAGTGAAATGCCATTCGTTTTCTTTGAATATGGTGAGATTTGTTGTAAGGACACATTATTAATTCTTCTGGATTCACTAAGATTTCCATTTTCACCTTATGAAAACAATTTATAATAATTAAGTGCCAAGAAGGAATATAAATTACTGTAGAATTGTAAAAAACAAGATGTGTCACTTTTTTCGCTATATTGGAAAATGAAATATCAAATACCAAAACCACCAAAAAAAATAGACCATATTAGTTAGGTTATGATTTTTCGAGCGCGAAATTCGAACTCAGGTCCATCACGGAAACCTGTCATTTAATTTCCCATGTAAATCTTATGGGACTAAAAATTCTTCGACTCGCCTTTTTTCAGGTATTCAATCTTATTCCTTAGAACTGATTTTACATAAAAAAGATGAAATGGAGTTTCCTTTACCTGTTTGATACAAAATAATTGAAAAATATGGATAATTTTCTATGAATTTGTCAATATAAAAATGCATTGCAAAATTCATGGAACGCATGTCTTAGATTGAAGAGTGGTATATTACTGGTGGGGCAACAAAGTTAGCGGGATATTTAAAATTCACGTGTTAATACCGACAAAGTTGAGCTGGAAAAATGTTATTTCGAAAATCTGAAAATGGTGCATTGTTTTGCTCCTGGATGTAACCATAGGTATACAAGCAATTGCAATATGTTTGCAATTCCAAGGAACGAAAAATAAGCAAAAATATATTAAAATACTAATAACTCTCATGAAGTTGAGAATGAATTTTCCCCACTTAGATCTTGCCACTCGATTTAATTGCAGCTCAACAACTATTACAACTATTTTTTTTACTTGGGCTCCTTATACATAAAACACTTTACAGTGAGTTCACGACGAAACTCCCATCGAGATGTAAAATTATAACATGTCTCCCTACTATATAAAATGATTTGGAATCCCTGAAACAACTAAAAAAGAAGAATTGAAAATGAATAGCTGAAAATAACAATTATATTAACCAAAATAAACCTGAAATGAAATAATAGTGAAATAAAATACAAGTAAAAATCGAACAATTGAATAAATAAAAATAAAGAAGATACTTTCATTGAAATGAATCATTTGATGTACAATATGTGTAGAAGATAAGAAATACAATACTTCTATGAAAAAAGTATAATAATAAATTTTACAAATAGTCTCTGTTGACCTACATATGTCATGTATCATTCAGAGACGCTTGATTCATTCACAAAAAGGAAGAAATAGTCATAGCCATAAATATACTTCCGAACCCACTCAATAAATAAAATGAATTTACATTCTATTAAATTGCCTTGATTGGAATAAATTATTGGTTATGAATAAAAACTCACCTCGATATCATAGCTCTTGTCCCTCATGCTTGCTTTCACTTTTCCCTTAATGATTTTTAATCCTGCATCAAAATTGCACATTTCTAAATGTCCAGATGAAAGACTCTGTTCACCTCTCTGTATGAATTTCAAATCGTCACGAAAATAATCATTGATTGCAGATAATTTTATAATATTTGCCATTGTTACTTCACATTACAAAGTGATTATTACTACTGGAATAGAAGCTTGTCTGGGTTTAGTTTGGAATATGAAGCTTACTTAAGATTACTATGTATTTATATTAATTTTTAATAATTTTAATAATTATCTCAGGTAACCGAATTGAATTTCAATGATGTTCTGACATTGATACATTTAGAAATCATGAAGGTATCTAGCCCAAGATGTTTAAGAGCTAACATTCATTATGTACTTGTGTAGTTTCATATTGAATTCAAACCTCCATAAGGTCCCCATGTAAAATTTTTTGAAGTTGGACCTCGCGCCAAAAGTGAATCCTAACCTAACTAATATGGTCTATATGGTTCTTCTTCTTCTTTTTTTTTGTTTCCTCATTCAGGCGCATTTTACCAGTGCACCTCTTATTATTCGTCTATATGTAATATCATTGTTGTCTGCTCTTAACTTGTCTGGAATTTTCGTGTGGGTAGTTCTTTATCACTTTTTGAACTCACTTATACGGTCTATTATATTTCTAATTTTGTGCGTTGTTGGGAAATGGTACACAGAACACAAATCGAAACAAAATGATGTAGTAATATTCGTAATCAATTTTGATACACTAGGTGCTCCTACTGTTGAAGAAATATGATAATCAAATGAATGATGCGGAATTGGAATGGAATTATGAGAAATATACCTAAATTCAATATTACAATTTGAAATTGCACATGTGACATGACTTACGCTGGAATTAAAACGATTCAGAAAGCGCTTTATACTTTATATTGATTCTTTTTACTTTTTCGTACTAGACGCCATCGATGTTATCAAATTCGATTCTTATACCATCTATCAACACACAAAAAGTTGTACCAAACCCTCTCTCTCTCTTTTCCTCTCTCTCTCTCTCTAATACTGGCTTTTGCTTCCGTTCAGGTGCAATCCCTTTCATCGCGGCGAGAGCTTTTAGACACAGAATAGTAACTAATAAAGCACATAATCTGGTCGAATGCGCCTGAGAAGGAAGCAATGGCCATACAGTATTAGAGGTAGAGAAAGCACAGTAAATTTTGACAAAACGAAAGCGAATCGTAAACACACCAGGGTTTTTATGCATCTTCAATAACTGTAATGGATTGTCAAAACTGAATCTGTTAAAAAACTTTAGTCTAGTTTTTCTTGTAAAATTTTAATTAAGTCAAATAGATATATTACAATGCGAAAGAGTTACTGACAGAATCATTTTCTGAAACCACAATACTATTGCAGGATTTACAACAGACTCTCCTGAACCCTCCCACTTTGCAGAATCTGTGAAGGAGATCGAAAGCGCAGTACTCCGACTCGTCTTTGTGGCACTTCTTTCTTCTTCTCCCTCTGCAAAGCTGGTTGGAGCTTCTCGTGTAGTTTCCAAAGCAGGAACGCTTTTGTGGAGGGGGCGTTGGACCGCAGGTGAAGAAGGTTTCGTCTTCAGGAGGCGGGCAGTGCGAGGATCTCGTCTGGATTCCGTTACCACAAGATGCAGAACACTGCGAAAATGATTGCATGTCGTGAAATGCGTGATATATTATATATTATCCAGTTTCAATGATCATCTCAGTCTAAACAGAAGCAAATATTCCAACTACAGTTAACTGAATCAATATTTAAAAACACTTTTTGGTTTAGAGAAGAATGATCGATGATTACATTTTTAGATTAATTTTATTAGCTAAATCACCTGTGACCATTCGCCAAATGTCCAGTAGGAGAAACAAGGCTTTCTGTTACAAGGTCTCACTGTAGATGGTTTTGATCGGGAACATCTGTTAGGATTTACCATGTATCTCCACGGATTAGTAACGGTCCCATTGAATTGGAGCAGTACTGTGGTGACAATTGATTTCGGGACACAGTATATCTCTCTGTGCTGCATTCCGAGGGTACCACAAGTTGTGCTGCATGGTTCCCATTCACCTGATATCCATTCAAAAGTGCAACTAAAAAAAAATGTATTTTTGGAACTGTTGTAATTTAAGCTACAATTTTCGAAGCTACAATGTATTACACGAAAGAACCACAAGATGTATTTAACAGCTTCCACTCCTTATGTCCACACAAAATGGTGTCAGGATTTTCCATTGATATTATTCAACAAATTGATATTTATTTGTAGTGCACATAGGAATGTGTGATACTGATTCATGTACTGATTTTCAAAGCGAATGATGATTCTGTATCGAAACCGATACAACTGGTAGTTTTTTCAATAAGAGAAAGAACTTCTTCTATCCCTGAATTTAGCAGCGCCATCTTCCGGTAATAGTCCCTTCAAATAGTTTTATGAATATAATTCAAAAGTTTCTGAAATTATTCCGATATCCATGTTGAATTTTGAAATATCATACGACAAATTGCATCCTTTACAAATTTTTTGCCTCTATTCCCCAAAGTTTTCTATGATCAGGTTATGTACTAACCCGAAAGCATTGCATTTTTGAGTTTCTTGCTTAGGTTTCTGCATCAATGAACAGTATGACCTTTTGACGATTTTTCCTAGTTTTTCATCCCAACAGGCTGATGTTCTCTGACGCCTGCCTCCTCCACAGCTTGTGGAGCATGGCCCCCATCCTCCGAGTATCCACACGAACCGTCTTGAAGGTACCACATGATCCTTATGAATGCTATATTCCGTACTGTAGGAAATATTAATCCCTGCTCTGATTTCCTTTTTTGGTACTATCGCCTACAACAAAAGAATGCGGTTATTGAATTGTGCTTCATTGCAGAACGACAACAAAACGAAAATAATGTTTTAATGACACCGAGAGTCGAATTAGATCTCTTATTGAAATCTTTGAAATTCTTTTACAATAGTCCTTATGTCCTGAAACAACATTTTGAATTTCAATTTGTACAAAGTAAAGACTTTGATCTAAATGTTCTCATACACTACGAAGAATATCCGATAGTTATTCATCAGCACTCGTACCTCATTTTGCATACTTTTATCTTTGGTTATAGTTATGAAACTGAAAGCCGTGTCGGCGGAAGCTCAGCTACTGGTAGTGTCTCCCAAACCAGAAGGATCGAAGAAAAGTCAGACTGCGGAACTTCCGATAACCTTCGCCTGTTGTACGAGGTAACTGCAAAGGAGGTTTAATCCAGTGATGTGATGCAATCCGAACCGAAGGAGGAATGATAGCTGAGCCTTCTTAGGTATGACTAATGAATAGCAGATGACTTCTCAGAGTACTAAGCAGGGGGCAAGATAGATGTGGATAATCCTTTCCCCACTTACTCGTTGAATTCATGTAGAATGCGGAGAAAGAACAAATCAAATTGAGGAGCGCTCCTTACAAAATATGACTGACCCCAAGACTCAAGTGGACTAGCAAAGACAAACAGTGGAAAAAAAAGCTCCGTCAAAACATTAACAATGGAATTGATAAATGTTGGACAGCAACATTGAGGTCTGTCAGGAGATCGAGAAAAATTACTGATGGGACATCTGTAGAAGAGGCCAAAAAGAGATATAAAGAGAACATAAAAACTCTCCCCCAGGGAAAAGGAAAAAAGCCCAGGAGCTCCAAGCAGGGTGAGGTTCGCGGTTACTGAAGGAACAAGCTGACCTGATTTAAGAGAGATTGGAACTGTGAATTGGACAACACTGCCTCAGGCAGTCATATCAACCTCCAGTTCAAAAGAACTTTATTTAGTTCGAGGATCATATCCAGGAATGACCTGTGCTAATGATGAAACAAAAAGATGACTTAGGGAAAGCATCGGATCCCTGGGGCTACCTTGGGAGGAGCTGGACTTGACCGTGGTCGAAGCCAAAAAATATCCAAAGAGACCGAAGGTTCTGGTTTTCATACCAAGCCAAAACGATGAGAAGGAATGATACTTACAGATATAGTAGGAGTTAAAATTGAGGTTACTTCTTCAGAACTACTTTGGAAGATGTGGAACATAAAGAGAGACATATAATTGTCGAAAGGAGAAGTTTTGTGGCAGAATTTGTGAACACATGTATAATAGGTCAGAGAAATATATCAGTGGATACCTAACAGAAGCGAATGGACTTAGGCCAACAAGCAATTTTTGGACATTATTGCTTCAGGGAGTGCTCTTAACATCGCTTGCATCCGATATTTATGGATGCAAGCGATGCAATCATAAAAACAATGTTGTCGCTAACATTAACAACTTGACTATCGATGGTACAAACTATTTCCCTTTTCGGATGGTAGGGCCCAACTTAGAACTAGAATAACGCAAATATCCTTCTTCAAACCCCCTTATTCGTCCACATCAAGACATTAGGCCATCAAGATATTGCAATGCATGCCTGGTTCAGCCTAGTACTACTGATTAGACCATGAAGCGGGTCGAAAGAGCACTCCCATCTAGTTGTCCTGCAGTTAAAGTTGCAGTGAAAGCTGTGGTGAAAGACAGAGGATGAACCTTCTTCGGCAGTCGATGTTGAAAAATAAATATTTCTCACCAGTATGACCATCTCATTGAAAAGCGGCCCTTTCGCCCATATGGTGTGTTTGTTGTTGAACTTCTTGTAAGAAAACTTCGTTCCTTCCAAAATTTTTGTATGCACGACAGTGTTCGGTATGGTGACAGTATATTTTTTCTTCTTGCGATTCTTCAGTATCAATGCTAGGACAGGATTGTCTGAATGGTACATAGTTACGTTGATTTCCACTTTTATCTCTCTGGACATTTTCGGTAGGATAGCAACGCGGCTGGATTCTGTAAATAGAAAGCTCAGTTGTAGGCCGAGGGTTGAATCGGGTCAGAGATATTAAGCGGATAAATTCCTGTTCTTTGACGTTTCATTTGGCAGAGCAAATTCGTTGGGTCTTAGATAATAATAAAAATAATAATAATAATGTCTTTTATTTACCAAGGTAAAAAAGAAAGTACGTAAACGAAAATTCAATGAGTTTGGTCAAATCCTGGAGCAGAATTCAGGAGACAAGCGTGTGCAACACGCCGAATCCTGCTCTTCCATTCAACTCCTTTACAATATACAAAATGTATTACAATCTTCGATAGGTTCGTCAGGTAAATATATTTTTAAATCATATGCAAAAACTATTACTGAGGTCAGTAATAAATGATAAGGATAGAAGGGATCCAAGATGTGAACCCTGTGACCGTGACACAAGAACTTCTGCTGCAAAACGCTACGGTAATTGAAGAAAACAGTGAGCAGATTTTGGATGACACTCAAAATCATCCTGTACGCACTAAAATCATGTTGAAAATGGATAAGTTGTTCAAGATCATACTTTGTTAACATTTATGCAACTGAGTGTATCAATTTGTCAAACTGTTCATTATTGTTCCACCTTCGTATATAACTTATCTGTACCCAATTAATTTATTATATTGAGTTTTTATAACTCTATGATGAATATAAAATGCATGAAAATATAAAGGATTTTGTAACAGAAGCCAACATTTTCTAGAAGAGTTTGTGATACATATTGAATTTAAGAAAAGTCCGCCTTCGCCAAATATTAGGAACAGAACAGACCGAACATCGAAATCAGCGCATTCGCCAAATATTGGAAACCCCGGAGCCTTCGCCAAATAACACAAACAGAGCATCCACCAATTGCTAGATGCATGACATCCGCCAAATATTAGAATAGTTCCGCCCACCCAATAATGAAAATTGAGCATTCGCCAAATAATAGAAATATGGCATTCGCCAAATATTAGACACGAAACATTCGCCAATATTCAGTGGTTGTACGCCTTTCCTGGGAGGCAAATGTATCCCTTACCCCGTCTCAGTTTCCTATCAAAAGACACCTTCATCTCCAAACAGTCTGAATTATTTCCACCACAGATTCCGCATCTATCTCTTCTTAGGGTCGAATGCAGAATCGCGTCGCAGCCCACAATCTGACACGCTCCCTGAAAAGGTAATCAGATGATTTTCCGGATGGGTGAACCTAAATTGGGAAATATATTTAGATGCATATTTTTCAGCATGACTGCTGTTGTGACATAACCTCGGTTTTATTCGTTTGATAGAAATATCCATGAATTGGAATAGAAAGTGGAAAGCGAGTCAATGTTATTTCATCGAAAAGAGACTGAAATGTTCATACACACAAATAATTGGTTTACTCCGAAAGGTATTCATCTATACTAATGCATAAATAGTGGGAAATAATGGGAAAAAGTAAAAAAGAAAAAATTATAATTCAATTGAAACTTTTTATGGCAATGTTCGGACTTTGCACAGAAATGTAAAACAACCGAATTCATATACAGGGCAGTGTTTTTGAAGGACATCTGCAACTGTATTGTAATTTTTTTGTATATTAGGCTCGTCTACCAAATAAAAAATATCATGCAATAGTTCTTTTGAGTCGATGAAAACTCACTTTTACATGTACAAAGTAAGTGTTTGAGAAATCCTAACACGTGTGGCGATTTTGTGAACATTTCATAGTGGAAAGCTTACATTGAATTGATTCTATTTTTTTTTTTGTTTTCAAAAACAGACTGTCGAATACAGGAATTTCAATAATACAGTCAATATAGATGTTGACATACCTGAACACAAATATTGTCTTGATTTTCGTAAGAACATGGAGTCCCATCAATCAGATTTTCATCGCTGATGTACAACTCCTTTCTTTCAGCATTCACACAGATGAACTTGCATTTCTTTGCATCTGTAAATGAAACAAGTCTCGGAGAGAGTTACTATGTGTCACTTTTCATTGAGAAACATTTCTGTCTGTATACAAGGTGTAACTGAATAAGTGTAAAACATTTAAGGAGGATATTCCTCATCGAAAAAAAGAATTGAAACCAAAAAAAAACTTAGCCAGTAATTCATTTTGTTCACCCTATGGTTGTAAGGGGTGGAAAACAAACGCAACCTCTAAAATGTATTTTAGTACAAAACGTCATGTTGATTTCAATATTGTAACTTCTTCAGTGCTTGTGAAAAAAATTGTTATACAAATTTTATGTACCCCCTTCAAGGGGCTGTATCTTAACAAGGGATGAAGTTTCTTTATATGAAAGATCCTATCTTTTTTTCGATGAGGAATCACCTCTTTGAATGTTTTACACTTATTCAGTTACACCCTGTATATCAGTACCAGGTTATCATTTCTTATTTTATGAATACATTGCCAACTTACTGAATGAAAATTAATAACTTTATTGATGATAATAATTATATAATTTACAAAATACGTTTTATTGGGGATGCGTTTCGCTATACGGTGACTTCATCAGTTTTACGAGTGCATCAACTATCCTACATTGTCTTTTTTTATAACAGAGGGTGAATACAAAACTTGATGAAATAAATGATTAATTCTGGTAAAAAAAACAGATCTTGAAATAAACAATAGCATTACAATATTACTTCTAGGAAGACAAGTAATTTATAGTTATGTTGAGTTTCGGCATTTTATCTTATACCCTCTATACTGAAAATCATACAATAAACGATATTAATGAGTTTTAATATGGATTTTAATCAAGTAATGAGAAGAAATGAAGATTAAACAATTTGATCTTCCTCTTGAAGATCATTACTTGGCGATCGAAACACGTGTCGAATTGTTAAAATAACGGTTTGGTGTTGTGAAAAACTCCAGTATTATTCGTCATGCTTAATATTTTCATTTCTCATCAAGTAAGGGGTTAGTGTATTTTTACCAAAGTTTTTGTTGATAAATAAAAACTCATCGAGAACATTTGAAGGTCTTGTGGTATAAATTACGATGAAATTGAAGATCATTTCTGAAATTTTTATTTCACATTCTGACCTAGCATACTTCATTTGTTGATTATTTTTCTGCTCATGTTTTCAAATCTAGGTTTGTATGTTGATTTTTTCCCAATGTAAACGTATATTTTCATTACGAGTTCAAGGGTTTTACATTGTAATATCTTCTTTGTCTACAAGAAGTGAATTACCTGTCTTCATGACGATAAAATATACAGTGCATTTCTTTAATGCCCCCCCTTTTATTTTTTGAACGGGTCAAAAATTGAAATTTGGGATAATGGAATTGATGCATGAATACTTTATTTTGAAGTGAAATTGACAGATGAAACTTTCAAGATGGCGACTGAGCGCCATCTGGAAAAAAATTAAATGTAAAGGGGGGTCTTGTGACACATCATTTTGAAGCTCCTGATGAATACTTCACAATCATAGAATATGAAGTCAATATCTTCACCTACTACAAAATGGCGAAACATTTATTAATTTCCTAAAGGCAAACACATTAATATCGATATTTCTGGAAATATTCTTTTTTATCTGTCATATGGCAATTCCAACAACCGAGATAAGGTTTGCTAAGTAACTTTTTGTTTATAAAAACGTCAAAAAATGTCAGTACGACAATAAACATCATTGTTCAGTTAGAATATTCGGCTAAATTATACTTTATGGGATATTCATGGATTTTCGCGATTTTTTCTGAGATGATGTAACCTGTCAAAGTTTGTATGACGTCATATTTTACTTTTTTTTTAAAGCAATAAACGATTGCAATTCACATATCTTTTGATTCAACACAACTTTTTCCATATCATCGCACCTTTTTCTATCCATTTTAAAACACTTATTGCCGAGTTTCCTGAAATTAGAATAAAATTCCATAATTTGTCAGGTGCACACATCGACATAACCTTATAGGTTATGCCGGTGGGTGCGAGTGCACACAAATAACAAATCACTTTTTATAAATTGCATTAAGTTTGACTATTCGAAAATACGTTCCTTTTAGAATTCGGAGGTCATGTTAGATGTTGAGGATACATAGTTTTTTTAAATTCTGAAGTAAGGTTAGACTGAGTTAGGTTAGGTTAGGTTAGCATGTGACAAATTATGGAATTTCAATATACTTTCAAGGAACTTGGCAATGAGTGAATGAAAAGGGATAGAAGAAAGTGCGATGATATGGAAAAATATGTGTTGAATAAAAAAATATGTGAATTGCAATCGTTTATTGCTTAATGAAAAAAGTAAAATATGACATACAAACTTTGACAGGCTATATCTCGAAAACTAAGTGAGTCCGACAAAAAATAAAAAGTGTTCTAAATTCCTACCATCACGTAGTATCATCACAGAAAAAAATCGCGAAAATCCGTGAGTATCCTATAAAGTGAAATTTTTTCGAATATTCCTAATTGGTACACCAATTAACTGAAGATGACCCTGATCGAAGAAGAGAATTCTGCGAATCATGACTTATCTCCACAAAATTTGTTTGTGACGAATGTATTTTTTTTTAAACGACAATGTTCACAGACAAAATTGACGTTATTGGAGTGACACCAACCCTCACGTTTTCCGAAAAACACATACCCAATATCCAGAAAACATCAACGTTTGGGCAGGAATATTGGGAAACCATATTGTAGGACCTCTATATATTGATCAAAATTTAATAGGGGAACTGTATTTGAATATGCTGGAAACTACTGTTGTCCCTCTACCACTGAAATTGTCGAAGCGAATCCTAATGAATTCGATATGGATATTATATTGTAACAAGATGAAGCACTACCACACTACTAATGACAAGTAAAAAACTATTTGTATACTACTTTTTCCGGTCGTTGGATTAGCCGCCGAGGTCCTACAGAATGGCCAGCCCTCTCGCCAGATTTGACAACTCTGGACTTTTTTTATGGGACTATTTGAAGCAAAAGGTGTACGAAACTGAACCTGCTTCAATATTGGATATACGGCAGAGAATAATTAATATTTGTAGAGATACTGACGTTATTGTGTTCGAAAATGTTCGGCTTGAAATATTGGATAGGCTGTTCATATGTCAAGAAATTCAAGGCAGTCATTTCGAGCATCTAATGAACTGACCTCAAGCTTATTACATCATATTATGTAGTCAAATGTCACTGCAATTCATTAAAGTTCCGCCATTTTGTGGTAGTTGAAGATATTGACATTATATCCTAGGGTTGTGAAGCATTTGGAGGAGCTTATGAAAGATGGCTCACAGTCGCCATTTTGAAAGTTTCATCTGTCAATTTTACTGCAAAATAAAGTATTCATGCATTAATTTCAACATCCCAAATTTCAATTTTTTGAGTTGATCCGTTCGAAGAGTAAAAAGGAGGGGGGAAATTAAAGAAATGCACTGTATATGATATGAGAGATTGAGTCTCCTAAATGAATTTTCGATAACTGTTCTTTGTATGTTGATTTCATTTACATCATCTGTATTCAAATTCTCCATACAGTCATTGTTCACTGTGGTTCTGGAGTTGAATCTGGCCATTATTACGCATTGATCAAAGACGACACGGACTAGTTTGACGATAGTCGTGTCACTAAGTGTTCTGGCGATGTCTTGAATTTATTGGATCCTCTGGAGACACCCTACATTTTATTTAACGAAAGAGAGGACATTGGCAGATCAAGATCTACAGATGATGTGGTGCTGCAGGTTTTTTCGGGTTTTCCCGCAGTGAAAAAGCAAATGTGCTACTGGAATCAATGAAGTCGTCCCGGAGCGCCAATTAATTATCGTTGTTGTATAATTTCATGATTTGTATTACTGTCTTCGTTAATATGTTTTTCATATTCATATTCATAAGCAGCTGAAAAAGCAAATGCGCCACTGTAATCAATGAAGTCGCCCCGGAGCGCTAATTAATTTTTGTTGTTTCATAATTTGTACTACTTTCTTCTTTAATATGTTTTCCATTATAATAATTGCGGTAATCATAAAAACTTCCAAAGCGGAAAAAACCTCCAAACCCAGCCCGACGGAGTGGAAGTTTTCATTATTAACTGTACCCTCAGAATTAATTTCGTACTTTCATCGCTCTCATATGGGAGCCACGTGAAGTTCATCTCTTGTTTACCATCCAAATCGAAAAGCTTAGGGAGTTGTTTGCATTGCTGAGCCCTCATGTCAACAAGTGGTTCCTGACAATCGGTTTTCCTGCAAATACGCCATTCCTCGGGTTTGCCTTCGCAAGGTTTGCCTCCATACGAGGGTCTGTGAAAATAATATCGTGTGTCAATAAAAGAAGAGGTTTCGTTATGCAAGAAAAGCGAACGGTCTTTTGAACGACCATTGGAAAATCTCCATGTTAGTCAAGGTTTTAAATAACTGAAATATGAGTCGGGTTAATTCAGTTTGATATTTGAGTGGAATTATGGATGGAAGTTTCCTGAAGAACGTGAATGTGTAATGATAACCCATTTGTATGGTTTGATGTCATATGCTTTTGTAACTCCATATATAAATCAATATTCATTTTACTGTGTCGTGGTGTACAGGGTGTCAATTCGAAAACTTCCCACACACAATATCTTCCTTCCAGTAAACAATATGAGGAATCGAAAGAACGGCTTAATTTTATTGTATTTTATTTTAAGGACTATTTGTAGTCCTTGCAGTTCAACCCCCTAGGGGGTAGATGTTACCCTTGGAATTTTAAATGGGAAGGGGGTCAAGTCGCAGATTATTTTGATTGGCGTTTAATTCTGCTTCTAATAGTACTCTGACTTATCATTTTTTGATGAGCATTTTCCGAAAAATAGTGTTCTGAACAAACAGAAGTAATTATTAGTACGCCTATACCATGGTTTGAGAGAGAGAGAGAGAGAGAAAGAGAGGTATACGTTTAATGCCATAAGAAATACATCTTGTCGACAAACATTTTTCTGCAAAAAAAATAACTATGAATATTAATAAATTGTTAAGTGAATATATAAATGTACTAATATACACAAATGAGCACATACACGAACAGTATCATTTGTTAAAGTGTAATCTTGTACATGTACATACATATACAGGCTGATTCACGGTGGATGGCACATTAGACGTTTCTGTGAACCAGACAACGGATCACTTTGAAAATTTAATGGAGGGCATATTCGGACATTCTCTAGCCAACTAAAATATTTTCGACAATGCGGTGTTGCCGCTTCTATTAGAAAGCAGTAGCAACTTTGATTTTTCAAATGGAACACTCTGTATATAATATTATTTTTGGAATCTCCAACAATTGCCCGACAACTTTTCTTGATATTTCCCTATACCTATCTGTTACCGTTTTCGAAATAAAAATTAATTTCAATTTTTTTCTTCGAAAATCATGACTTCTAAAAATGCCGATATCTTTTAGTTAAGAAGTACTATGATATCGAAATTTGGTTTGGAGTTAGGTGATACTTGGACACTTCCCACACGTCAGCCTAATCTCCGTTACTTCAATACAGGGTGGTAAAAAAATACAGTTTTTTCGTTTGCTTGAAAAAGTTGCTGAAATTTGATTATTTTAAATGGGACACCCTGTATATTATTGAAAATTCGGAAAGCTGCTGAAATTTGCTTTCTTTCTATGTATATCATACCTATACCTAACTAGTCAAGTTTCGGACTTGTTATACATTTTCACTCCATTATATATAATAATAATAATAATAATAACTTTATCCGTCTTTTCGATCATTTACATGATATAAGACGTCATAAATAAAAATATAAAAATTATATAAAACAATGATAACGGTCCACAGTATAACATAGATCGGAGACTTGAAACAGGTACTTAACTATATACATATATAAAAAATGAAACAAACACACATACACATGATGAAAAAAATGCAGTGAAAGCAATAATCATGATAATAGTGTATTCCGTTCTAAGAATTCTTCTACCCTATAATATCCCTTATTAGTTAATAGCTCCTTTATTTGTTTTTTAAATGGTATAATATGCAAATCTTTAATATCTTGAGGCAACGTATTGTATAATATTATGCCATTATATGCCAGTAATTCTTCGAATGTCGATGTTTTATGATTTGGGATAGTTATTAAATGTCTATTTCGTGTTGCATAGTTATGAAATATTGATTCATCTCTCAGATTGGATACATAATTTTTCACATGAAGCAGAGCTTTATATATATAGATACATGGTAACGTTGGCATCTTGTTCTTGCAGAAAGCAGGTCTACAGCTATCCCTGGGTGCAATATTAAAGATAGTTCTAATTATTCTTTTTTGAACAATAAAAACAAGTTTTGCCCCCACAGAAGAACCCCACATTAATACATTTTGAGCCATATGTGAGTACGCCAATGAATAGTAAATTGAGTTCTTGATTTGACTACTTGTTCGGATAGGAATCTTTAATTGGCTAGCTTGTCTACTATTATTGTGGTGAGGCGGAGAAGTAAAAGTACCTTTGTTCTTGTGTGTTCTTGTGTCTGATTCAAGAATAAACAATAAAGTCACAGTTGAAATTCCATGCATTAAAAACAGTGGCTTACAAGGATCATTCCACTTTTTTCCACAGAGATATCGTACCGCACTTTTTTGTAATATGAAAATAGATTGAAACAGCTGTTTACTGCATATACCCTAAAATGCTATGCCATACCTTAAGTGAGAGTCTATGAGGGCATAACAAAACATTTTTTACTGCGTGAAATCTTAGTTCACCACAAAAGTGTGGTATCATCTGCAAAAATGGTGAAACTACCAGAAATACAAACAGTAGCCAGGTCATTTACATATAGTAAAAAAAGTATGGGTCCTAAGATCGATCCTTGGGGTACTCCTGCTTTCACGTTCTTTGTACTTGAGCAACTATTGGTTTTAACAAACTGTCTACGTCCTGTAAGGTAGGATTCAAATCATTTCAGGCAGTTTCCAGCAATTCCATAATTATGTAGTTTCCGCAGCAGTATTCTGTAATTAACACAATCAAATGCTTTTGGTAGCATTGTGCATACGGTAGTACCTGTTGAAGCAGCTCAAATTTGAGTTTGGGAACATTTTCTGCAGAGCTAACGAGCTCGTTACGATCAGTATCACAGCAGATGGAAATGTCCAGCGAGACTGTAAGAAAAGCATTGAAAATGCATACATTTCATCCTTATGAAATGCAGATTCTTCATCCTCCACGAGGATGATTATGATAGAAGAATAGAGTTTTGTACAATCATGTCTTATCGAGTCACTAATCTTCTGTTAACCATCTATTTCTGCGATGAGTGCACGTTTTTTCAGAATGACAATGTTAATAGACAAAATGTCGCTATTAGAGTGACGAAAACCCTCATATTTTTCAGGAAGGGTATACACAACACTCACAAAAAGTTGATGATTGGGTTGGTATTCTTAGAAATGCCAATATTGGTCCATTATTTCTGGAAGAAAACTTGACTGGCAATCTGTACTTCGAAATGCTTGAAGAGACTATAACTTATATCTCACGAGCTAAAAATTCAAATGGATACAGAAGATAATAATGAACTTTTGCAGGAGGATCTGTTATATTTCCAGCAGAATGGTGCTCCACCTCATTATTTTCTTCCCGTCCGACAGTGGTTAAGCGAGAGATTTCCGGATAGATGGATTGGCAGAAGGGGAGCAGTTGAATGGCATCCGAGATCACCGTATTCAACTCCCTTTGATTTCTTTCTTTGGGGGCATATTAAATCCGTTGTTTATAAAACACAACCTTCTGATATTGAAGAACTTAGTCAACCTCTTTGGAGTTTGAACCACGATGGCTACAAACATTCTTTGAAAGTGCCCCCCTTGACCTATTATTTCGATTCCTCATATTATTTACTGGAAGGAAAATATTGAGAGTGGGAAGTTTTCAAATTAACACCCTGTATACTGATCGATAGAGAATTTTGTACCCTATACATTGATGCTATTCTTTTTGTCTAAACGTTCATTGTAAACAACTCAATATAAGTTGCCATAAATTCAGAAGGGACAAGAGAGTTATCACCATAAGATGGTGGTGGATATTAACAATCGAAACGTCGTGAGGTAACTCGATTTCAAGTGGATCAATGATCAATTTTTTAGAAAATAGAAGGCCAAATCTCTGACATTCGATATTTCCTAAATAGTTTTCAGTATCTACCCCAAATTAGTTTTTGAGCTTTGCTGAATTACTTCTCAGGTTAGGTTAGGTTAGGTTAGTATTTCAGTGTGAAAAATGAAATTTGGATCCTAACATTGAAAATCATTAATGAGTTTTCAATTCATGGCACACTTCGTTAGCTCAACTGAATCTGAATGTTATTCTTGAAGTTTAATAAGTTTTGTGTGAGAATAATTGGAGATAATGAAGGTCGGAGAAATCGATGCGAACCGTTAACTAATAATTCAGGATATCCATTTTCGAGTTATTTGGCTTCCCCAAAGTTTATTAGTTGTTTCTGAGAAACTTTCTTGATTAAAATTATGTTTAGTTTGTGGGACTCTAAGTCAAACTCGAAGACCTCTCCCTTCTTACAATCTCCTATTAAATGAGCTTTCATCGAAAACAAGAACAGGTTTAAAATTTCCGAACTGTATATTTTCACTCAGTGGAAATTGAAATTGATGGTAAATACGGAGCTCTAGTTCGTTCCACCGTTTTCCATCTTTTCAAAAATGAAGTTGATGACGAAATCTAATGTGACTTTTTTACGTGTCCTTCTTTTCTTTTCAATTATAGCATTTGTTCGTTGACAATGTCGTAGTGTTCACATATCATTATTTGTTTATTTTTGTTATTGTTCCTCAATAAACATTGTATGTTTCTTGGGATCGATAAACGTTAGTGTGGAATTAAAAAAAATGAAATCAGTTCAAAACTGAACAAAACAACGCCAACAAATGTTTCTGAACACAAACAAGAACAACATAAGAATAGAAATAAACAGTGAGATGATCTGGCCCGATATTTATATATAAGGTCTTTCATTAAGTGCTTCCTATCTTTGAATTTAAGATATCTTCGAAATATTTAATTCGTTTGAGAGACCTATTGATGCTACTATGTGTGTAATAAAACCTCTTTCAAATGTCCGTCATCAAATGTGCACCCGAAACGTCAATTTTTCCATAACTCTGGTACATAAATCAGGCTGAATTTGACCGATGGAATGGGTTATGTTGGCTTCGAGGACCACTGTGGTCTGTGGCTTATTCCCATACACCTGCGATTTGAGAAAACTCGTCAAGAAAAAGTCTAACGGGGTCAAATCGTATGATCTCGGTGGCCATTTCACATAACCTTTACGTGAGATGACCATGTCCTCAAATCTGTCGTGCAGAATATCCTTTGCGTCATGAGCTGTGTGGCACGTAGCACAATCCTGTTGGAAACACATATAATAAGTGTTCAGAGCATCCAATTCAGGCCAATCATCGACCTTCAGTGCTCGCGTTGACAGTGATGGCCTGGTCACCATCGTTCTCAAAGAAATACGGATCGATGAAGCTGCCAGCTCAAAATCCACAACAAACAGTGACTTTTTCGGGATGCATGGGGTCACTTACTCTTATCGCCACGCAAACATAGTTCAGCCCCTATTGAAAGACCCTATACTATAGAAACGCGATCTGATTTTTCTTTATTTTCATTGAGTAATAGTCATTTGTATACAAACGAACAAATCGCTGATATTTTGGCTGCATGAAAAAGCATAGAAGAGCGTCTGTATATTTTTTATACATCTGAGACTTAGGTAAAAGTGGGGCCACTCTTATCGCCACGTAAACATAGTTCAGCCCCTATTGAAAGACCCTATACTATCGAAACTCGATCTGATTTTTCTTTATTTTTATTGAGTAATAGTCATTTGTATACAAACGAATAAATCGCTGATATTTTGGCTGCATGAAAAAGCATAGAAGAGCGTCTCTATATTTTTTCTTCATCTGAGACTCAGGTGAAAGTGGGGCCACTCTTATCGCCACGTAAACATAGTTCAGCTCCTATTGAAAGACCCTATACTATCGAACCTCGATCTGATTTCCTCTATTCTTATTCAGTGATAGTCATTTGTATACAAATGAACAACTCGCTGATATTTTGGCTGCATAAAGAAGTAAAGAAGAGAATCTCTATATTGTTTCTTCATCTGAGACTCAGGTAGAGGTGGGGCCACCCTTATCGCCACGTAAACATAGTTCAGCCCCTATTGAAAGACCCTATAATATCGAATTTCGATCTGATTTTCTCTATTCTTATTCAGTGATAGTCATTTGTATACAAATGAACAACCGCTGATATTTTGGCTGCATGGAAAAGCGTAGAAGAGCGTCTCTATATTTTTTCTTCATCCGAGACTTAGGGAGAGGTGGGGCCACTTACTCTTATCGCCACGTAAACATAGTTCAGCCCCTATTGAAAGACCCTATACTATCGAAACTCGATCTGATTTTCTGTATTTTTATTTAGTGACAGTCATTTGTATACAAACGAACAACTCGCTGATATTTTGGCTGCATGAAAAAGCAAAGAAGAGCATCTTTATATTTCTTCTTCATCTGAGACTTAGGTAGAGGTGGGGCCACTCTTATCGTCACATAAACATACTTCGGGCCCTATTGATAAACACTACACTATCGAAACTTGATCTGATTTCCTCTATTTTTATTTAGTGATAGTCATTTTTATACAAACGAACAACTCGCTGATATTTTGGCTGCATGAAAAAGCAAAGAAGAACATCCCCATATTTTTTCTTCCTCTGAGACTTAGGTAGAGGTGGGGCAACTTACTCTTATCGTCACGTAAACATAGTTCAGCCCTAGAATGAATCAATTCATCCCTCCAACTTTCCGAACAATTTAAAAATAAATCGAAAAATAATTGAATTTCTTACGGCGGATCGTTACATTCCCTGGATCTGAACTGAACTCCTGTTCCACAAGTCCGCGAACAAGCTCCCCAGGGCGTCCATTCGCCCCAGCTTCCGTCCTGAGGATTGAGAACGATCGGCACCCTCTCCACCCTTCGGATGGCGAACTCCTCGCAGTATCCGTTTACACACCACTGCGAAACAATCGAACAATAATAATTCTACCCTATCGGGAAATGTCGGACATTAGGGAAAATCAATGGGAATCTGAAAGGAATTCGAATGCGGGATAATTTGGGGGAAGTTTGGTTTATTCGAGTTTCACGAAGTCGTTTAAAGCTATTATGGAACTCGAAACTATTTGCATTATGAACGCCTAGGTGAGATAATGTCAATAGTAATCAACACGGCGATCCTCAATTGACACAGACACGTAGAAGGCACTGGCATTGACATTGGAAAAAGTAACAATTGAAACAGTTTTCCTTCACGATTTTACAACTTTTCACATCCATCATAATACCTCTAGAATTTTCACAATGAATTGTATTTAAAAAGCGTTTCACTGAAAAGTAGCTTCATCCGTTACTGTTGAATCAAATTACTCTACATTATTTTTTTTCTACACCCGTACTATAATAATACACTTATATGTCCAATACACTTATATCCATTATGATACAGATTTTTCATAACGATATAGTTTTTCAGTCAATGGAAACCCGTAAATAATAATAGTAATAAGAAGTGGGCTTTATTATTAACATACATTGTTCATAAAGAAGAAGTAGATACAAAAATCAATGAAAGGGCAAAGTTTAGCCGATGCTGTTTTACAACTTAACTTAGGGGATAGCATGTATTATATAGAAATATAAAAATAATTACCTAGTATACATAGATAAGTGATGAATCTTTGTGAAACCAAAAAAAAGAAAGGTTATAAATTTCAAACTAAATATTAAAAATCTATTCGGCTTGAATAAGGTGAAATATATAGCAAAAACATACATAAAAGTGAGACAAAGGGAAAACCACATGAGCAAGGCATAACACGAATATACATACATCGGAAAAGTCTAGGGATATTTTTATAACATACTAAATATCATAAAAATAAATGCATGAGGTCGTTTAATTTCGATTAAATTGGTACACTCGACCACCCTGTAGATTTCTATGGGTTGAACAAAGCCTGCAAAAACGATAACTAATCTTTTATCAAGTTTTTTACAAACTGTAGGTTCTCGGCTAAAATGAATAATCTGAAAGTGTCGAGTTTGTACATTCTATGCAGTTCTTGCTCAGCAATTAAACTGGAAATATTGTGCTTTAACATGGAACGCCATCACTTACCATTGGCTGAGATGAATAGAGCTGTAGGGCTTCTTCAAGGTGGCATGCGACAAAATGATGTAGCTCTTCGTTTGGGGGTCTCCCAAAGTGTTACCAATCGATTGTGGCGGCGTTTCCGTGAAACTGGCAGTCCAGCCGAATAACATCCAGGGCGAGGACGCGCTACAACTGCAGTTCAAGACCGATTTTTGGTCTTGAACAGCACCTGAGTTGGTTAACGTGTTGCAGCAGACGCACCAGGTAACCATTGGTCGTGATACTGTCAGAAATCGACTGCATGAAGCAGATCTCCACAACAGAAGGCCACTTAGATGTCCACCTTTGTCGAGAGGCAATCGCAGTAGAACATTAGAGTGGTGTTAAGAACATCAAAACTGGGATGCAAATGATTGGGCCACAGTTTTGTTTACAGACGAATCCAGATTTGGATTTCATCCAGATTCTCGTCGAGTAAGACTGTGGAGACGACCTGGAAATAACGAACGTTTGAGACACGTCCAGGAAGTCCGCACATACAGAGGTGGTACAGTAATGCTATGGGGCGGAATCATGATCGGCGACAGAACCGATCTCGTTTTTCCAAATCGCTCCCTCACAGCTCGACAGTACCTCGACACCATTCTTCTACCTATCGTCCGTCCGTTTGCTGGTGCTGTTGGTGAAAACTTCCACCTAATGCACGATAATGCTCGTCCACATGTCGCGCGTCTAGTGACTGACTGGCTCACCAACGAAGGAGTTGATGTATTGCCATGGCCAGCACAATAACCGGACCTGAATCCCATCGAGCATGTGTGGGACATGCTTCAACGAAGAATTACTCCGCATATGGGGAACATTCACACAACGTTTCAATTGAGAGAGCTTTTAATCGCTGAATGGGCAAATGTACCTCAACAAGACATTGACAATCTCATTTTGTCGATGCACGATAGATGTAGGGCCGTAATAAACCAGCGTGGAGGCCATACTTTGTACTGATTCCAATTTTTTTTGATTATGATTTTTTTTCGGGGTGCCAAAGAAGAGCCATATTTTTTTTTAGTTTTGCTTATATGCGCACTCAGTATTTTTGACTATTTAATGAATTTTGTTGTAAGTTACATTCGTTTAATAATCACCCGTCAACTTTTTTTTCCCTAAAGCGATCTAAAAAAAAATTATTCCCCTTTTTAAAAATATCCCTAGACTTTTCCGATGTGTGTATTATCTATCCAGAAGACTTCAGATATGTTTTCAACTTTTTCTTGAACTTATGTATGGAGTAGTGTCTAAATTCACTGGGCAGAGTGTTATATTCTTTGATAGAGTTGTAAATAAAACTACGAGAAAAGCAGGCTGTAGAGTGGTTTGGAATAATAAAAGTGTGACGGCTTCGTGTCCTCGAATTATTCTGAGATTTGAAAGTTTTATATCTTTCATAAATATAATTTGGCTTTTTGTGAATGAGGAATTTATGACTATTGACGAGTAGGTGGAACTGCCAAGTTTTAGCAATCGGTAACCAACCTGACTCCTCGAACTTGGGGGATATATAGTCGAATCTTCTCACAACATAAGAAAGACGAATGCAATTGTTTTGTATTTTTTGTAAGCGATTTACATCAAATTGTATGAAAGCAGGCCCGTAGATTTCATGCAATATACTAATCTAGACAGTATGAGGGCCTCGCAAAGTTTCAACTTCAATTTGGAAGTCATCATATCTCTACTTTGATAGAGTTGACGTGAGATACTGTACGAGCCACGACAAAGTGAATTTATGTGTTTGTGAACTCTCAGATCAGCATCTAGCCACAAACCCAAGTTCTTGCTTTCTGTTATTATTTGTAGTAAGTCTTGTCCAAGTTTGATTTCAATTCTTCCTTCAATTTCCCAGCTTTCGTGTTTCGGGCCAAAAAGTATCAGCTGAGATTTTTTAGAATTCAATTTCAGGTTATGGACTATAGATAGTTCTAGTAACTTTTGTAGATCGCTGTTAATTTTTTCCATTGCCACCTGCCAATTACTTGAAGGAAATCGGTTATACAACTGAGTGTCACCTGCATAATGATGACTTATACAATGATCAATTATTTTATGGAAGTCAGATATATATAGAAAGGGGCCAAGGATATAACCCTGAGGTACTCCATAGTCAACAGGTAAAGCACTAGAACACTTTCCATCCAGACATATTGACTGAGTCCGATTTCTGAGGTAACTTTTCAATAGATCCACAGTCCTTTCACTAAATAACATGGAAAACCACTATTTACCCGACAAATTCCACGCTAGACATTGAATTATATCCAACAGACATTTAACGTAATATTTGAAAAAAAACTGACTTCACTAGAAAAGTAAATGCTCAAACTGATAGTCAACACCATAATTATGGTGATACAAATTTTCAATTTCTTTTTTTTGTGTCTGTCAAGATATCAATGATTCGTCTTCGCCATCTTTCAGTCGGAGGGATTGCTGTAAACTTTGTTTCCCGTAAATTATACAGGAATTGTTATATAAACTGTACAAGCAAGCAGAATATCTTTAAGTAAATGTAAGATTTGCACTCACTTTTCCAAAACCGCATTCCGTTCCTTCCAGAGGAGGACCTTTTTTGGTTTTGCAAACCAGCGGGGTGTTTTGATGACCGCACCACAAATGAGAGCAAGGTTCAATTATTTCGAACGCTCTGCACATGAAATACCTGAAAACAATAAAGTAGAAAGCCAAATGCTAAGAGAGTTTTGATTCAATTCATCGTTTTGAGGTTCAATTCAGTACACCTCGAGCTTTCATTTGAAGAACTGCGTTTATGTGGAGTAAACTTTCTGAAAACGTTTTTCCAAATGGTTTCAATCTCCAGCGATTCAAATCCAATGTGAATCGCTTCTTTCGCACAGGCACTGCTCTCAGAGCGCCTTAAGGATGTTTCTGTAGTGATCGTGTTTTGTCTTTTGAAAAAAATCAGCTTGTGACTTTATTTTCATTGAAATACTTTACGTATCAGAATTTCGAGACACATTGCTCAATTCGAGCATTATTCTTAGGTATCATTATATTTTTCACTCTGCTTCATCAATAGATCACAGGCATTATGGAAGCGATAATCGAATTAACTGAATTTTCATAGTTACATTTTATTCATATAGCTATACTCAATGTAAATTGATGGAATTCTATAAACTATATTTTGGGAAAGAAACTTTTTGGTTTTCTACTACTCCATCTGATACAAAAAAAAGGGGATGAGAGAATCTTCCAAAAAAAGGAAGGAAGTAATCAATTTGAAAATAAGTAACTCTATACATGGATGTGTAGATCATGCAAAGAAGTAACTTTCAGACACAAACTGAAAGAAAGTACTCCTGAAACAGCTACTTTCATATAAACATTGAATTACACTATTTTTGGGCCATTAGGGGTAGCACAGATTCTGCTACCACACTGCAGAATCGTCTTATAGAAGCTACGGGAACGCGAATTTCGAACCAAACGATACGAAACCGACTTCACGAAGTTCAACTCCATGCAAGACGACCTGCTAGAGCCCCTAGATTAACTCCAGCTCGTCGAGAAAATTGTAGAAACTTTTGTCAAGAGCATCGTAATTGGAATTTAGAGCAGTGGGCCAATGTAATGTTTACAGATGAAAAAAAAATCATGTTATTCAACAATGACGGACGTGTTCGGGTATGGAGACGTCCTTGTGAACGCTATTTGGATGACTGTGTGCAAGAAATTGTTCCATTTGGAGGTGAATCGATAATGGTATGGGCTGGTATAACTTTGACAGGACACAGGAACCTTGTGTATTTCGAGAAACGGACTTTAACGGCTGTCCGTTACATAGAGGAGATATTGGAACCTCATGTCTTCCCATTTACCCAAAATATAGGCGCAGGGTTCATTTTACAACATGATAATGCCAGGCCACACGTAGCCAGGGTCGTGAGAAATTTCCTACAGGAGCACAATATTAATGTCATGAGATGGCTAGCTAATAGTCCGGATTTAAATCGTATTGAGCAGCTCTGGGATGAACTGGAAAGACGTTTGAAAGATCATGAGCCCTTCTAAAATCTGAACCAAGTTGCAGATGCTTTTTTGACGATTTACGAGCACACAACACAACAAATAATTAGCATGCCTCGTCATTGTGCCGAACTTCTTAGAGCCAGGGGTGGACGCACTCACTATTAATGTACATTTTTCTCAATTTTTTTCTGAAATAAATTTTATTTGTTTTTTGACACTCATTTGTATTTCTTTTCAATCGTATTACCAAACAGCATTTTGAAAACAATGTAAGTTGAATTTAATAAAGGCATCTATAAACTATTTCATAAATATAAATGTTTGACAAAATAATACCTATATTTTTACTTATTGCATTTCAAGGACATGTCTCTATATTCATTTTGAGTAGTTTAGTATATACCGTCCTAACCTCAAATTCTACAAACGATAAAATCTGTTTTTCCATGAAGTAAACAGTGAATGCGAAAACTCAGAGTGGCAGCATTGCCTTGACCAAGACAGCGGCGCCCCCGCAGAAAGCTTCTGTTCACTATGGGCAGGAGGAGTCTGACCAAACGCGCTCGACTGAGAAGCAACAGCCGTGTAAATTAAAGAAGAAGAAGAAGCTAACTTCAGGGTGTCGGTTTTTGGTGACGATGTGCGCGCGCATCGTAAAAGGAAGACAGCAATGAATTTAGGAATAAAATCTTTACACAAATTTGTTAATCACGAAAAGAATCAACTTTCAGACCCAAAAAAAATTATTTCCAACAGGAGTACCCAGTTACAGGAAACGCTATTATTACAGAGTATATATGAAATCAATAAAAACAATAATGGAATATAGAAATATATAAAAGTAAATGCTAAAACAAAGCAGAATTAGAGTGGAATCACATAACATACCGGCTGAGGCCATTTGGAATTCCCTAGATGGGTTTTACCATCGCCTAGAAGCCTGCCAAGTACAGGGTGGAGGCCAATTTCAGTATCTGTTACGTTAATTCTCCCGTAGATCGCACTAAGTTAGGTATTTGTAACTTTTCAAAAGAGTTTTTTCTCATTTCGTTGTAACCACAAAAAAAAAATAAAGGGTATGGTCAGAATCCATTTTTTACAAGTTTTTCAATGAGCCCATACAAGACATAGGTTTGCATTTGAAAAAAAAAGTTGGGGAGGGTTGCAGTTAAGGGGTTGGAAAAAAAAAACTTCATTATATTCTCAAAAAATGCGTATAACGTGAAATCAACTGTCGTGTTTCAGCGTTTCTTTCCTAAAATACTGGTTATGAAGATATTAATTTTATTCCGGACTTTTGCGTCCCCCTGTATGTGTTGTAGATGTTAATTTACTGTCGTATGTTATACAAAGATCTTTTATCTCAAGTACGCGGTTGATTGTAGTATTGTTGATTGAATAATTGTACATTAAAGTTCGCTTTTTTGTTGTAAATTATATTATTTTACATTTGGATACTTTCATTTGTAGACGATTATTATTACACCAAAGTTTGATTACATCTAATTCATGTTGTTGACGTTGGCAGTCAGAAATGTCGTCGATTTCATAATAAAGTTTCAAGCCGTTTGAAAATAATATGCTAGGAATATTGAAAGAGGTTGCCAAGTCATTGATGAAAATAAAAAATAAAAGATGTCCAAGATTAGAACCTTATGGCACCCAATATGTAACAACGTGTTTAGCGGATTTGAAAGATTCATATTCGACGAATTGTTTTCTGTTAACTAGATATGATTCAATTAGAGTTGCTTAGAGAGTCCCAATTTTCCCAATTTGCTGAGAAGAACATAATGGTCTTTTTGATCGAGGCTTTTTGAAAGTCTAAATAAACAACATCAACTTGTTTTTGCTTATCCAGGTATGTACAGAGATATTGATTTAAACACAAATTGAAAGAAAGAATTGAAAGAAAAAAGTTAAGTTAGGTCCAGAGTGAGAGGGTTTATTGTGAATTCATTTAATTCAATCTTTATATGAAAATATTTCTCTCAAGAGGGCTTTTTCTTTCAGTTTGTCTGAAAGTCACTTCTTTGCACGATCTTAACACCTTTGTGAAGAGTTAATTTCAAAATTCATTGCTCAATCGTTTCCTTCGAAAGATTCCCGGACATTTTTTGTATGAAGATGAAGAAGTAGGAAGCCGAGATAAAGTATTTTTAAAAACACTTGAAACACACCTAATTTGAACGTTGCTGTGGTTTTGACAGAATCTCGTTTCTCCGCGAAATCCACCCTTCACTTTCCGCGTCATTTCAGTCAATAAAGCCAATTTATCAAAGTCCGCAATAAATTCCTTTCTGTAGCGCAAAATCGATGGGACGAAATCTAAGTTCGTTAGGAAAATATAAAGCATTTTTACCCGTCCCCGAACTCCATTCTGCACTGCTCGTCCATCGTGAAAGATGCTTGGAGGGTGGCATTTAATATAATCTCATCCGGCCCGGTCGGGGGATTCTGCAGGCATGTCCATTTGCTGTAAAAATAGAAATACGGAGGAGTAGGAACATGAAAGGAAAGTGCTCAATATCAGACGATATTGAACGAAATGTATGACGTCGAAAAAAGCCACAATAATTTCATAATGAAACAATAACGTTGACTGAATTCTTCTTCAAGGCTCTGTAACAATTGATTTTCATAAACACACTTCCCACAAAACTTAAACGATTATTATCGTTTCAGTTCCTACTTGTGATGCACTGTTTGAAAGCTTTGGTGTAGTACTGAATGATACTGGGGTTTCATACATATGGGATACATTAAAAAAATAAAAAACATTGCAACAACTAGATTTTCGTGACAACACCAACACAAAACGACATGAAATGAACGAAAGGTCTGTGATTCTGATAAGGTGGTGTCTGTTTACAACAAAATGAGTTTTTTGTAAATATATCAGCAATATAGCTGCAAGAGTTCTGGCTCATTCCTTATGGAAAACACAAGTGTAAATTTGAGCAGGTCTATTCTGGCGTTTGGGGACGAAGGTCAGCGACTCGACTTTGCCAGATGTCTATTCTGTGTGAATGGGGCTTTAGACTTTCAGATCCCACTCCTTCACTTCAAATTCAAACCACCAGTAGATGAACAAAGAGACTTCTGACCCAAAATCCCATGTATTTTCTTATGGAGCTAAAATTTTTGCAATTTTCACTCCATCCTGCATTGATTACGTTACAAGTTTCCCTCTCCCACTCTCCGAAATACACTTACCTCGAGTTGGGTGTTCCACTAGGTTCCACTCGGATGTGATGAATGAAAAAAAATCAGCTCCATAAGAAAATACATGGAATTTTGGGCCAGAAGCCGCTTTGTTCATCTACTGATGGTTTAAGTTTTCCGCTGTATGCGTGGTAGCTGATTAGTTGACTGAGTGACATTAAAAGTCTAAAGCCCCATTCACACAGAATTGACGTCTGACAGAGACGAGGCGCTGACCTTTGTCCCTTCTGTTTGAACTGGGTCTGAGGTCCAAAAAACGCCAGAATGGATCTACTCAAATTTACACGTGTTTTTCCCAAAAGGAATGAGCCAGAACTCTTGCAGCTATATTACTTAGATCTATTCAGATTTCAGACTTATTAGAAGACATTAGTTACATCAATCCATAGGACTTATTATCGACCCTTTTTAAACTATTTTTTTTTTAATATAAAATATATGTACATGCGCAGACAGTATGGTTGTCTCACTTGCTCTCACACAGAGACTGTGAGAAAATATTATTCAATCCTGGCGATCCTGATCAGGATAATGCGATAAACTCATGAAATTATTATATTGTCACCGATTCTTGAGAAGTTTACGAAGTTCAAAACGAATCTGTTCGTTTGAAGTTAGTCAAAATCGAGTCCAAAGAAGTCGCTTACCAACGAACATATAAGAAGAAGCCAATGGAAGCGTGTTAAAAACGATTGAGGAGGAATCGACTAAGAAAAAACCTACAACACTGATCCAACAGAGCAACCACAGGCTCAGAATGATTATAGAGATACACATAAACAAACGTTCAACACAGAATATCTAAAAACTAGTGTAGGATGTAGTATTATTTCTGGAACGGCAAGATGAGAGAATACGCCCACTGTTTTCCGAAGAATAAACGAACTAATCCAACTACTCCCAAGCAACAAAAACCTACCTTTTGGAAGACCTACATACATTAATTTCATAATGTTATTGCTGAGAATCTCAGAAAGCAATCCGAAATATTGTCACTTATGTGCAAGATTTTCCATTACCCAATGTCAATGATTGAACCTACTAAGCAAAAACCTCATCATCATTCTAATGGGGAATGTTCTTCCTGACGAAAATCAAGTAGTTTTCATAAAAAAGCTCTGAAACAACGCATTTTAAACATACCATTTCAACCTTTTTCTTTAAAAAATTATTCAAATACTTATAATGAATTCAACATTTAAAGGAATTCGTTATTATTTCACCATTTGGCAACATCGGTTATAGCTAATGAAGGACAATGAATATGTAACCTGTATGAGACAAAGATGACATATTTCAGAGGCATGCTGTTCTGTTTACTTATGTTCCGGGTTCCGAGACATTCTGTGAGATATGATATTTTGTGCAACTAACCTATCGTCCTCTACATAAATAAATAACAAAACAACTGTTGTTTATGTGGCTTGTGGAGGTGTTATTGAACTATAATAATATAATAATGAATATAATTTATATTTTGCCTCAATTGTTGATTTATAAAGATAATTTTCCTTTTTTAAAGTGCTAACTTGATTTACGAGCTGTTGCCAATATGTGAATTAGAAAAAAATCCATTCAAACATTAAAACCCAACATTTGAAACATCAATTTGAATACTTTTCGAAGTGAATTTGAAAAACTCATGAATCAAACTCAACTTTATTTTGTTCAAACTTGCATTTGCTGTAATAACTCAAATTGAGGAACATTCCCCATTCTGGTAGAACATTATAAGTCAGTGTAATCAGTTAGTTTGGAGTGTCACTTATCCGAACGTTATTTTGAGTTATCGCCAACATTTCCGCCATAATAATTAGCAAGTACTCACCTGGTATATTTCTCAAACTCACGCTTCGAACATTCTGACCAGGAAAACTTATTAAAAGTTGCAGACACCATCGGGGCCATAACGCTTCCATCTAGAGCTTCGTCTGAACAATTATTTCCATTTTTCTTGTCTCCGTCGTGGCTCAAACCGAGGCTGAAAAAGAGATTAGCATTTTCATCACGCGTACACGGATGAGAAATGTCAATAGGTGGTTTTAATGAACGATGAAAAGTTGAATAAACATCATTTTATACGCCTTGTTGCTTGGAAAGTTTGGTTCTTTTTCATGTCATGTGTTTTTGATGAATGGTATTTTTCAGGGATAACTCACATATGGGCGGTTTCATGAGCAATTATGAAAGCGCTAGTTAATCCTTCGTCCCGGTTCAAAGCGCAGCTCCTCTTAGGATCGCAGGTTCCTCCTACAGGTGCATATCCGGACGGTCCCCCGATGTCAGATCTGGTCAACCAAATGGCAACATCGTGCCGGGGTTCTCCTGGTTTCAAGGAAGCATGCAGACGTCTGTTCCAAATGTTGACATTTTCTAAGGATCTCTTGGCATTTCCTCTTCTGATCACATTTTGTTTTTGATTATCGTATATCATTAGTTTTGTGACGACGAGTTTCATGTTGGATCCCAAGGACGGATCTTGGTAGATCGCACTTACCTTGATTCAAAAAATATTTATTAATGTGACATATTTCACCAAACAAATACTTACAACGATCCTTTCAAACCAAACAACTCCATTAATGTTTAAAGGAGACAAGAGTCTCCTTTTTTTAATATCGGACAAATTTGAGCCGTTTTCCACTGTTCAGGGAAGGCACAAGTTGTTGAAATTGAGTTGAATATGCCTATTAGAGATATTAGAGACCTATAAAATGTCTCAACATTCAGAAGAAATGCCTTCGGCCAGTGGATTACACTTTTATTTCTTCCCCCTCAATGTCTTTACCATCACAACGCCATCTTTCACGAACCGGTGTTGTCAGATTTTTTGCGATCCAGTCAAAACTTGAATCTCTTGACATTTCAAAGGAAATGTGGAGGCAAATTTCCGTTGGTGTTAGCAAATCTAACAAAATGATATGAAGAATATTTAATTTTTCTAATTATCAGTTTTGATATTCAATGATAGATCTGTCAAAGAGGATTATTGGATTGGCCCACAAGGTCGCTAGATTTGAGTCCGTTACATTTTTTGTCGGTCCATTTGAAGATAAGAAGAAAAATGAAACTTAAGAAAATCACCGGCGAATTTGGCAGGTAATAACAGAACTCAGGCTCACCATCTTGTTATAATTAGAAAGATGAAGGACCGGTGAATTCCCAAACAAAACATTAGGCTTTACTGCTCTCAGCAACACTGGAGGGTTGAAACAAGCAATGTGAAGCGTGAGATGCATTCTGAATCGAAAGCTCTTTGATAAATCTAACGTTTCAATCGTCCAACATTTCTGCATATGAATATCCGTTTCACTTCGCAATGTATAATATCTCATCTCTTTTGACGATCTCAGAACCAAACCTGTTGTAAACATACATGAAACGAAGATATTCGATATGCCTTCAAAGAATGATCAATGTTTCGAACACGAGAAATCAAGGAAGTCCTAGACAGCAAGTTATTCTCGGATATGTTTGATATTTCATAACAGAAATGTAGTGAACAGTTTGTAGGTTTGTAGATAAATGATTAAATTTAATTGATCTGTTGTTCATTAATTTGTCCAATGAGCAAAAATTGATATTACTGACTATCATAGATATAATTTTTATATTTGTATTTGAATTTCCTGATATTGAATCTCTTCGATTGCTCGGGCAATGAATTATAGAGTTTTACAGCACCAAAAAGAAATGATCTCTGAAACTGTGCACTGCGATGTTGCGGCATAGTTAATATGTTTTTGTGTCTAATGTTTCTTGAGTGAATATTTTCACGCAGAATTAGTTTCTGTATTTAAAGGGGAGAATGGGGAAGGGTAATCAATTTATGAACAAAACAACCCAAATGGTGAATCATACGGTTTTTCATATTAAGCCAGCGGGAGTTTTTAAAGGATTCAGAAATTGAATCATACTTACGAAGTCCATACATTAGGCGGTAACAAGAATTTTGCACTTTTTGTATTCTTTTTCTTATCTGAATCATATAAGTATGGCCCATATATGAAGTCACAGTAGTTGAAATGGCTTAGCACCAAACTATCACAGAGCATTCTTTTCAGAGGTTGGCTCAAAATAAAACGATTACAGTGTAACAGTTTCAATGACATATAAGCTTTTCATTAAATTTTCAACATGACTAGTAAATCTAAGACCAGTGTTACGCATCGCCCCTAAGTTTTTAGCTGTGTTGACAGGAGTCAAGATAGTATGACCTAGTTGTAAATGTAAATTGTTTTCTGCAAATTTACGATTCTTCTGTGATTCAAAATGCATCATCATTGTTTTATTAGGATTAATTTTCAAATCATGTTCACTTGATAGCCCATTGATCAAATCAAGATCAGTGTTGAAGAGATTTTGTGGCTCAGCATACTCATCGATTTTGAAGTGCATGTATAATTGTATGTCATCAGTATACGCCTGTATTTTACATTTCTTGATGGACGAGATAATGTCAGTAGTATAAATGATGAACAATAAAGGTCCCAAAATGGAACCTTGTGGTACTCCTGATAGTATATCAAGAGGTAAGGAGTGATGACCATCAACAACAACTTTTTGAGATCGACCAAGTAAATAAGACCAAATGAGAAATAAGGCAGCACTATCAAAACCATAATATTTGAGTTTCATGCAAATCAGCTCATGATTGATGGTATCGAATGCTTTTTCTTCTATAACCGTGGCGTAGTGCATCAGGAGTTCTAGCCATATGGTCGTACGATTAATAAGGAGTATTATCTTGAAGTTATGCGCCGCTTGCGAGAAACAATACGATGAAAACGTCCGGTTTTGTGGAAAAACAATTCATAGCTTTTGCACTGTCATTGCTTATACGTAATTTATTGACAAAAAAACACCGAACTCATACCTCAGTCGTCGTATTTAACAGATTTGGTCCTCTGCGACTTTCTCCTGTTCCCAAGATTGAAAAAATTCATGAAAAGATGGCGTTTTGTTACAATTGAGGAGATAAATCTGAGTGGGACTACTTCGAAGGGGACAAAATAGACATTGATGAATAAATAAATATTTTTCGAGAAAAATTAAAATTCTCCATATTTTCACTGATTTCCATAAATTAGTAATAGCTCTTAATCACAAAAATGGCGACGAAGAGACAAAAATATTCTTCCTGGAATGATGGTCACTTAAGCATGATTTCCTCTCTATCTATGCCGTTTTTTAGCTGATCTCACTGTTGCTATCATGGAAACGGTAAGGCCGACAAGGACGGTGAAATTTGACAAAAGTTTATTTTTTTGAGGAACTAGAATAATCTCTTTTCAGATCGACAATATCATGGTTGTTTTTGAAATATTCGCCAAAATCTAGAATTGTAATATTCAGTTTTCGGCTCTACCGCCTCTATTTAGAATAATATGAAAAAATGGCAGAGGAACTCCGTTATAATATGATATAAACTGATTTGCACTGCGACGTTTCGTTCATTATACTTCAACATCAAACTTATTCTTTAGTAGGTCTTACTGTTTCCGATATAGCGATGGTGAAAACAACTAAAATAAACGGGCTGTATATAATAAATTCCTAGCAATGGTAATAACATTTTCGAATGGTTCCTTTTAGTCTCGGTTGTTCTATAATCGATAGTGTCCGACCGAAAGTTCGATTTCGGTTCCAGTTTCGGTCGAGTTTCGGCAAAAAAACGCATTTCGGTTTAGTTTCGGTTTCGTCGGCAAACCTGCCGAAACTGCGACCAAAACCGAAACTGCATTCGGGAGTTTCCGCGCTGTGATCGGTCATGTTCGGCGCGTTGAATTTCATACAAGCGACATTTTGCCCGTCCACGTGCCTAATTATGTCGTGACTCGTGATTTATTTTGTTTATTACATAAATATTGAGTGTGATATTAGGTAACAACTTAAATAAGTAATTTTATGTTTAATATTTTTGAAAAACCATCAATAATTTCCAAAAAAACGATATACACCTACTCAAATAAACACCTCACCTATTTTAAGTACTTTTAGGGTGCAAAGGTTTGTTATGTTGAATAACAATAAGTAAAAATGTCGAAGACTGCATAACGTTGTGATTTAAAGATAAAAAAATAGAGACTGACTGATTATAATAATGTTTTCTTCATTTTTCCCTCAAAATATAATCCTTGTAAGGAAGTTTCGGTTTCGTTGCCGAAATTTGTTTTCGGTTTCGGTTTCGGTCGTGAAAACCAGTTTCGGTCGGACACTAATAATCGATAAGTTCAACAAAGTGATAAATATATTCTACTCACAATATTTAACAGGGACAGAACATATTGTTCCACTTTACCATTGCCGTGGAAAGCTACTAGGGTATAGTCTACTGCAACTGCGATTTCCATCCAACGTGGCGGCAGGTTTGAGCCTGTCGATTTCCGTGCTGGAATGATGGAAATGTCTTATTCATTCAGAATTTCAATATCTGTATATGTCTAGGACAGTAGTTTTAAAATACTCAAAGTAAACCGGTTTACAACGAATTCATTGTACACGGTACCATTCACTAAAGTTAGAAATATGAAATTCGGAGGTATTTCTGATGAAAAACAACTGAAAAACTATTTCGGGTCAACCGAAAATGAACTCGTTACAAGAATTCCAAACAGAAATGTGTAACATCTACGGCTTACTAACTGGTTACTACCAGCCGTGACTGTTTTGTTAAATTGATTTCTCCACATCAAATTTTGGATGTTACTAAGAGATACTTCTTTCTAAGAGATTACTATGCTAGAATTTGACATAAAAGCCGGCTCTAAAACTAAAACTCATATATTCAATAATATAGCAACAAAGAAAAATGATACAACAAAATAGAAAACTAAAAGAAAATAATAATAATAAAATCTCGCCGTCATTTCTACTATGTACGAGAGTGACTATAATACGTAGCTAGGCCGACAGTTTCAGACCGCTACTTTACTATGATTCAAATATTAGATCCACTTTGTATACTGAGTTTTATGGCTAACTTCGTCCCAAAAATCCAAATAACGGTTATTACAAATTTACAGCTGCCTTTCCTAGCTCGTCCGGGCTAATCCTGCAAGGTTATCCAAAACAATATCGGAACAACTTCACCTCAATTTTAACACGATTTCGGCATATGGAATTTTCATCTGTTTTGATTTTTGCACTACACTGTTCGATTTCCTCTCGAATTTCACACTTTTGGTCTCCCTTACTACAGAATAAAAATATACAAGATCGCATCAGCCGCCCGTTTCCACACATTAAACCAGAGTATTTCATTCCTCATCTTAGGTTGGAGCGAACATCTTGCACTGACGAGTGGCTAACAGGCCCGAAACCGGCCTGCAGGTGTGCCCGTTCCAAAATTGAAGGTCGACTCTTTCATTTGTATTGCCAATTACATTTGCAGGAAATTTTCTGTGAATCAAAAGATGCAGTCTTGCCAGGATCACCCTGGGCGATCCTGTGAAGCTGGCGCCGAAGAAATATCTGGAGATGACCAGGAAAAATCTACGCTTAACAGTAGGATTTCTGACTGGCCACTGTCAACTGAGGAAACACCTCTAGATTATGGGGCTAGTGGACACACCTCTATGCAGGATGTGTGAACCGGAAGATGAGACTGTCAGGCATGTCCAATGCGAGTGCCCGGAGTTATCGTCAATAAGAGAGTGTGTGTCCGGCGAGTCTTGGTCTACACCTGCCGATATGAACGAGACGTCTCCCAGCGACCTGTCCACCTTCCTGGAAAGGAAGGATGGACGATGACTCAGGAGGACAACTCCTCGGGAGGATATACAATGGGTCACATGTGGCCTAAGTGCTCACCCTTTCTACTCTACAAATACAGATAGCTGTGCTCTCTAGAGATACAAGGTTTGACAGTTGATATATTTTCGTCTGGTCTGACGTTCTCTGACTACGCGTCTAGCGAAGAACCTGCAGATTATTTCTTTAAACATTCTCATAGCTTACCCAGGCCTTTAAATTTTATGAGGATAAGGGCAGGGCTTTTAAATTTCTGAATTGAAAATTATTCGGTCTATTCTCGTGGCTAGAAATACACACATCGGAAAAGTCTAGGGATATTTTTATAACATACTAAATATCATAAAATTAAATGCATGAGGTCGTTTAATTTCGATTAAATTGGTACACTCGACCACCCTGTAGATTTCTATGGGTTGAACAAAGCCTGCAAAAACGGTAACTAATCTTTCATCAAGTTTTTTACAAACTGTAGGTTTTCGGCTAAAATGAATAATCTGAAAGTGTTGAGTTTGTACATTCTATGCAGTTCTTGCTCAGCAATTAAACTGGAAATATTGTGCTTCAATATGGAACGCCATCACTTACTATTGGCTGAGATGAATAGAGCTGTAGGGCTTCTTCAAGGTGGCATGCGACAAAATGATGTAGCTCTTCGTTTGGGGGTCTCCCAAAGTGTTATCAGTCGATTGTGGCGGCGTTTCCGTGAAACTGGCAGTCCAGCCGAACAACATCCAGGGCGAGGACGCGCTACAATTGCAGTTCAAGACCGATTTTTGGTCTTAACCGCAAGAAGACAACCGACAATCACAGCACCTGAGTTGGTTAACGTGTTGCAGCAGACGCACCAGGTAACCATTGGTCGTGATACTGTCAGAAATCGACTGCATGAAGCAGATCTCCACAACAGAAGGCCACTTAGATGTCCACCTTTGTCGAGAGGCAATCGCGGTAGAAGATTAGAGTGGTGTCAAGAAAATCAAAACTGAGATGCAAATGATTGGGCCACAGTTTTGTTTACAGACGAATCCAGATTTGGATTTCATCCAGATTCTCGTCGAGTAAGACTGTGGAGACGACCTGGAAATAAGGAACGTTTGAGACACGTCCAGGAAGTCCACACATACAGAGGTGGTACAGTAATGCTATGGGGCGGAATCATGATCGGCGGCAGAACCGATCTCGTTTCCAAATCGCTCCCTCACAGCTCGACAGTACCTCGACACCATTCTTCTACCTATCGTCCGTCCGTTTGCTGGTGCTGTTGATGAAAACTTCCACCTAATGCACGATAATGCTCGTCCACATGTCGCGCGTCTAGTGACTGACTGGCTCACCAACGAAGGAGTTGATGTATTGCCATGGCCAGCACAATCACCGGACCTGAATCCCATCGAGCATGTGTGGGACATGCTTCAACGAAGAATTACTCCGCATATGGGGAACTTTCACACAACGTTTCAATTGAGAGAGCTTTTAGTCGCTGAATGGGCAAATGTACCTAAACAAGACATTGACAATCTCATTTTGTCGATGCACGATAGATGTAGGGCCGTAATAAACCATCGTGGAGGCCATACTTTGTACTGATTCCAATTTTTTTTGTATTATGATTTTTTTTCGGGTGCCAAAGAAGAGCCATATTTTTCTTTAGTTTTGCTTATATGCGCACTCAGTATTTTTGACCATTTAATAAATTTTGTTGTAAGTTACATTCGTTTAATAATCACCCGTCAACTTTTTTTTCCCTAAAGCGATCTAAAAAAAAATATTGCCATTTTTTAAAATATCCCTAGACTTTTCCGATGTGTGTACTAGAATACGTAGCTGTGGCTATGCATTACAACTTCAAACTTTTACGGCCGTAGATAACTGGGTGAGAGCTATTTTCCGGTTTTTTGGCCATGGTCTGCATGGTTTTTATGTTTGACGTTTCGTCTACTACTACGGTGGATATTATCAAGGGCGATGTGGTAACTTTGTCGCAGTGCACGACCGTTACCACATCGCACACCGCATATACCCATGATTCTTCAGCAGTTATAACCCTTTTGAGCAAATCTGGATCGCCGTTGATGTCATTTAATAATTCCTGAGCGATGCTCATGCGACGGTTATTTCACAAAGTTGTGTAGGTCCTGCACAAAAGTTTCATTCAGATACAAGTTTCTGTCTGTACCTAATGACGGTACTGCTATGTCTGTAGAAAGAGTGAAAGCAGGAAGAGTGGGGAGTATAAGGGTAGCAATGAATCAGCGAATGATTGAGGAGAGGAATGATAGGGGAGTACGTACCGTGATCACGCGGAACAGTCGAATATAAATTATTGGATCTGTCGCGGAAGGCTGTCCAACTGCTCACTGGGCATGGGAATTTTCCGGGATACCTGGCAAGATTTAACCTGGGTCCGGAGGTTCCCTGCCCCCGTGAATATGGGGAGCCTGAAACGGTAGAATACGTGATTCATAGATGTATGACTGGGGACATGATTGGTTGGCGAGAGTAGAAGGAGAGGACGGAAAGGATGAATGGTGAAATTATGTTGAGAGATGTAAATGGGAAAATGGAAGAATGGATTCGTTTTGTTAATGACTCGGCGGACAATGTGGTGAGGGAAGAAAGGAAAGGATAAGTGTAGAGCGGCACACACGTAAACACGATAACTATGAAGAAGGGTCATGGTCTCCCCAGTCATGGCCGGAAGTGGTACTGCTTGATTGTAAATACATCCAAGGATCTGCAAAGATAACTTTGTACAACTGGGATATACGGGTTGGGTCAAATAGAAGATTACCTTTTTGGTTCATTTCTTTGTTATTATATCTAGGAGCCAGAATTTTTCAAAGTATTAATTGATGTACTAGGGAGTAAGGATTGATTTGTAATTTATTGGGAAATAAAAAAAGATCTTCTACTCCGCAAATTCGTCTCTCCGTATGGCCGGCGCCTTGCACCGGTGGTACGGGGAGGAGATGAGTTCGGAGGAATAGGGGTTCCCTTGGCAGTGGCGGCGTTAGATAGAGGGGAAAATGCCTGATGTAAGGTCCACGGGCTAGGGTATCAAAGGCGTTATTCATGTATCTAATGACTGAGGAGTAGAAATCCAATACGTTTTTCCCCAAAAATTGAGTCTTTTAAAACATTTCTTTTTTCAATGGGCATGATGATTTGATAATCTTTGACTCTAAAGACACAGTTGATTGATACAATTTTCATTATTATCTTGATGTTTTTTGGGGTAGTTCCAATTAGTTACTGTATATACTGATGAGATTATCAATGTCAGTTCTCTCATTCATACAATCAGAAGACATTAATTTCAACTAGTTGAAGAGAAGATTCAATTTTGGCGATAAACTAACTTTATTCTAAGTTAAACACATCATCACCTCTCTATCTTCCCGACTTTTCCCCGTATCATTCCCCACTCACCTTGCACCACGTTGGCGGACCAAGCCGTGTCATAAAAATAACCGTCTTCGTCGTCCGCAAATTGTTCCCGGTGCCATCCTCCCACGTAAAACGGGACGGAATTTCCTGCGGTGGATGAATTGCCTTCAGTGGTCTCCCTTCTCGAGTCCTCCGCTTCGAAGAAGGGATCAGTTTCTTCCTGGAAAACGTGTTCAAATTCAATATTCTCCTCGCCGCTGTCGATATCTATGGTGTCTCCGGTGAGATTGAACATCCACTGAGCGGTAGCAGGTTGCAGGACCGATGGAGAGCGTTTCAGGATAGTATGGATGTTCCTGCTGTGAATTCAGATTTTTTTCAGAATATTTTGTATAGAAAACTATCCTGATTTACAGCGCATTTCTTTAATGTAACCCCCTTTTATTTTTTGAACGGGTCAACTCAAAAAATTGAAATTTGGGATAATGAAATTGATGCATGAATACTTTATTTTGAAGTAAAATTGACAGATTGAACTTTCAAGATGGCAACTGGGCGCCATCTGGGAAAAAATTGAATGGAAAGGGGAATCTTGTGACACATTTTTTCGAAGCTCCTGACAAATGCTTCACAACCCTAGAATATGAAGTCAATATCTTCACCTACTATAAAATGGCGGAACATTTAATAATTTCCTGAAGACAAACACATTAATATATTTTTTTTTTGATTGATGCAACTAATTTTCCTTTATTTTGAGTATTTCAATAATAAATTCTACAAAATGGATTTGAAGCTTTATATCTTCTATTAATTATCTGCGAGTGCTTTCGACAGTTGGTAGTACTGTCATCATCTGGCACTTTTCAAACTGAACTGGTCATCCTGTTGTCTGTCTCTTTATACGGTCAGAGCGTCTTAACTCAGGTATTTCAGGTACTTTAGGTAAATTTGCCTGTATTTGTTCTGCATCAGGTTTAAAATAGAACAAATTTTGCGAACAATCGTTTTTAATGTGTCGAACAAATGCATGAATCAATTAAATTCAAACAAATGAATTGTTAGTTGAATAAATTGAGGAATGAATATTTGTGACAATAAAAAGTAAAACGGCGTTCCATAGATAAAAGTTGTTTTTACACTTCACTTTGAGTACGTTCGTAGAATTTGAGGTTAGTTGGCGATATATATTATTTATTTACATCATAAACTCATATTATTTTATTATTATCATTATTTAATATGTAATGAGTGTACAAATAAATTGAAAAATTAATAGTATATACAAATATTAATTATTGAAGTTCGGAAAAATTCAAATATTCCAAATAATAAATTAAATTGAATGTTTTTTTGAAGTAAATTTAAAAGAAATTTATCGTCAGGTTGTCTCATACACAGTATAACATGACAATAGTATCAAAATAAATTCTAATGGATTTTTGAAATACATGATTGAACTTAAACGAATAATCCAATAAAGCACAGCGAGAAATAATTTTTAAAAAAGTATAACTTCCCACGAGCTTATATAAGTACACACACATTCATTTTTTGTATTTTTCTAACTTGATATTCAGTAGTCTGTTTCGGGTTAGGTGGAAGAACAGACGGTAGTTTGCACCTTCCGGTGCCAATTGCCAAAATGAATCTCACACAGTTATTCAGTTCACATGTATGAATACAACTGAAAAGCAATAAAGACCTTATTATTATTATTTGGTAACGATAAAATTGCTTCTTTTGTCAAAGTACCCAATCAATAAAGTACGAAAATCTCATTGAAAAAAGTTTATTATCCCTAGTTATTAATGATTGAATGAGTGCTCCATATTTTTTCGACATCATTGTAAAAAGTGGTGCAAAGTTCACCGGGTCAGTTAGAGAGAAGATTCAATTTTGGCGATAAACTAACCTTTTATACAACACGTGCTCCCCAGTGGCTTCATCGAACGGCTCCAGAAAGTAAGCCACGTCACCAATTCCAACATATGCCCTCATAAGGTCTCCGCAAAGGGTCACAGCGGCCGTAGACAAGCTCTCCAGTCCTTTCACCGCCCCCTTATGGTAATCGCATCTTTCAACCGCCTTCAACTCTCCACGGCCGCCCAAATTGATCCATTCGGTCTGTAATCCGTCGGCTACAACTAGATTATTTTCGGGACCGAGTTCCACCGCCCAATCTCCAATCTCGACGACCTTGAGGAAGAGTTGATTAGGCAGTTCTGAACTTTCTTGATGGGAAAGTGAGAGTAACTTTCTCGAGACATGCATGCAAGTCCAAATGTAAGTTTTTGTTGAGAAATTCCGTGAAATGGATGTGGAGGTGAACAAGTTAACACTGATCTCTCATCTCTGAGAATCATTTATATACAGTGCGACTTAAATAGTCCCCTCCACCTTACTTGTTGAACGAATTAGTATTTTTTTGTGATCGACTATGTGGATGAGAATCTACAACTTTTCACCCTACTAAAAGAGCTTGATAGCTCTCACTATTGATTCTCAGAATTCGCTTCCTATCATTTCGTTTAAGTCTTCAAAAATGGTTCCAACAAGATCTTCAGAGGTAAAAACAGAAGCATGCGGCTTACTGGGATCGCTACTTTCACTTAGCCAACATATATATGGAGTGGTTTGAAACTCTGGCCATTGAAGAAGCCCCGAGACTGGTTGAGATACGTTGACGAATTGCCATTCTCAGACGTGTTGGTGAAGGGGACCAATACTAAGTGGGAAACATCTGTATACCGGAAACACACTCACACGGGACAGTATCTGAATCACGAATCTAACCACCACCAATCTACCAAATAGACAATCAGACAATCATCAAGATTCTGGTAAACCGTGCTTTCGGGTTCTATAATACGAAGGAAGGTCTCGAGAAGGAACTGGGCACCATCAAAAAATATCTTCAACGGAATAGTTACTCCAAAGTGATGATGCAGCAAATTTTGACAAGAGCATCGCAAGGAAGAGAAGCCGTCACAACCAGTGTTTGCTCTTTCCTACTCCAGAGAAGTGTAGAAAAGGATAGGAAGAATTGAATCCAAGTACATCATATCTCCTCCAACTACCTACACAGTAGGTTGTGGTAAACGTAAAGGCAGTTGCCTTTGACCTCTCTAAAATCAAAAGACCTCAGAGATGTACATTAGTAGTACCAATACCACTTCTAAGTTTTCATTAGGTCTGATTCCCTAACATGTGTTTTCAGTTTCAATAATGTATCAAGACACATCCTCTTCGTCTGTTTACCAAAAAACAAAACTATGGTATGGGTCGATGTCAAGCGGTTGGAATATTTATTCCGCGTGTCCTACCCCCGAACAATGAGGATGCTGACTTCCTTGCAAAGGAGGGTGCTGCAAACAACTTCATCGGACCAGAATCTTTCACTAGTTCGGACTTGCATTGTCTACTATATAAAATGATTTGAAATCCCTGGAACAACTAAAAATAGAAGAATTAAAAATGAATAGCTGAAAACAACAGTTATATTAAGCAAAAATAAACCTGAAATGAAATTATAGTGAAATAAAATACAAGTAAAATAGAACAATTGAACAAAAATAAATAAAAATAAAGAAATGAAAGAAAACAAAAATAAAAAGTTGAGAGATTCCAAGTCACGTTAGTTCACGACGTTTCGATTGTTAGTATCTACAATCGTCTTCGGGTGATGACTGGACTGAGAGATGACTATTTATAGGTCGTTCGAGTACTTTCACTTATCCCCGATTTCCATTTTCCGCTTCACTGGTTCCGTGGGAGATGACCGTTTGGCGGGAGTTGGCCATTTTTCGCTTGATGATGGGTTTCCATATGGTGCGTATTTCTACGCTGGCTTGGCTGAATAAGTTGTTGGATAAGATGTAAGCGGCTTCCTTGAATTTTCTCTTAAACCAATGTTCCTCTCTGTGGGACCCCTCGATGTTGTGTTGATGAGTCCAAACATGGTCTGCTATTCCTGATTGGCTGGTTTCCCCTCGCTGTGTGTGCTTTTTGTACTCGGCAATGCGAACATTCAATGGCCTCTTAGTTTCACCAATATAGGATTTTCCGTACTCACAAGGTATTCGGTAAATGCAATTCTTGGAATCGCAGTCCGCGTTTGGTGGCCTGGTTTTCGTGAGGCTGCTACGGATAGTGTTGCCGGATCTGAAACAGGTTCTGATGTTGTACTTGGAACCAATTCTTCTCATCCTCTCCGATAATCCTCTGATGTAGGGAAGTGCAAGCACTGGTTGTGGCGGCTTCTCTTCCTTGCGAGACTCCTGCTGTCTTTTAGCCAAGGTCTTTTCTACCATCGCTTTGGAGTAGCCATTCCGTTGAAGATCATTTTTGATGATATCTAGTTCCTTCTCGAGACCTTCCTTCGTGTTACAGAGTCCGAAAGCACGGTCTAATAAAGTCTTGATGATCCCTCTTCTAGTTGATTGATGGTGATTGGATTCGTGGTTCAGTTACTGTCCCGTATGAGTGGGTTTTCGGTATACAGATGTTTCCCACTCAGTGTCGGTTCTCTTCACCAAAACGTCTAAGAATGGCAATTCGTTGTGGATTTCCTTCTCCATTGTGAAAGTGATGGAAGGTCTCACGCTGTTGATGTGTTTCAGGAAGGCGTCTAGTTCAGTGTTGCCATGGTTCCATATTATGAAGGTGTCGTCAACATATCTCTACCAGAATCGAGGTTTCTTGTGGGCTTCTTCAATGGCTAGAGTTTCAAACCACTCCATATATATGTTGGCTATAACTGGTGAAAGTGGCGATCTCGTTGGCAGTCCCTCATCTTGTGAAAAGAATTCGTCCTTCAGTTGGAAATAACAGTTTCGTACACAGAATCCTAGTAATTCCATAATTACTTCTATAGATAGATTCGTTCTCTCTTTCAGGTTCCCGTCTTCGGATAGCTTTCTCTGTATGATTTGGAGTGCTTCTTCGACCGGAACGTTGATGTAAAGGCTTTCCACGTCGAAACTAATTAGTTGATCTCCCTGAGTGACCTCAATTGACCCTAGTAGTTCGACAAAATGCCTTGAATTCTTCACAAAAGACGCTGTTTTTCCTTGTAATGGTTGTATTAAGGGAAGTACAAATCTAAACAAGTTTTGAGCAGCCGAATCTCTGGAGCTGATGATCAGTCTAAGTGGAACGTCCTTCTTGTGGATTTTGGGCAGTCCATACAAGTGAGGGGGCTTACTGTGGTGTGGTGTTAGCGATGATCTTTCCTTGTCCGAAAAATAGACTTGGTGTTTTTTCAAAATCTGCTACAACTTCCCTTCGATTGATGTAGTAGGGTCCCGTACGATCTTTGTGTATCGTCCCTTTTGAAGAACCTCTTCGATCTTCTGTTCGTAGAGAACGATATCCATTACCACAGTAGCGTTTCCTTTATCTGCAGGTAGGATCTTGATGGTGTTGTCTCTACGTAGGCCGTTCAGAGCTCTACGTTCTTCATTGCTGATGTTAGATGTTGGAACTGGTTCTCGATCCAGCTGTTCTCTAATTTTCCATCTGAACTCTTCTGCCTCGGTCTGGTCAATAAGGGAACTGGTGGAATGCACTGCAGTAATTATTTCTAAAGTGGGCAAAGATGTTGGCGTAATGGCGAAATTCAAGTCTTTCCTCATCAAGGATTCCTCTATTCCCGTGAGCGGGCGGGAACTCATGTTGATGCGTTTATTGATACCAAACAGTGGTTGGACTATAGTAGGAATGAACTACGATATCTAAGAGGCCTTTCTTCAGGTCACTGTAATTTGAATCGTCATATGCCAAGACTCGGACAGTGAATGTCGCCTCTGTTTGGAAAATGATGAAATAGCAGAGCACATACTTTGTGCCTGCCCCGCTGAGAACTGAATCAGGTTTTTAGAGTTCGGCAGAGCCGTACTCTCACCATCTGACCTGAGAGACCACTCACTTTACAAACTAATCGTCTTCGTTAAGAAGCAGGGTTTATTTGGTCGAGTGTGAATATATGTGAGCCACAATAAACCCTTGCGGATTGCGGTGGAGGGTCCAATAGACCCAATCACTTCGGACCTAACCTTACACAACCTACCCCCGAAAATAACAAATACAAGAGGATTTACAAAGAAATAATTTCCTAAATTGGAGAGTCAAGGCGGCAGATAGGAATGGAGAAAATAAATACATGCATGATGACTTACTGTATAAATACCAGTGTATTTTCATCAAAAAATTGTTCATGTAGATGCCCGCCACATGCAGACTTGTGACGTCAACAATCAAAAAGTGTATTTATGTGCCGTGGAATTCAAAGCGATTGTATTCATCTTTAAGTGACAGCGTGGACACAGTGTCATAAAAATGATGAAAGACACGGTTCAATTGGCATTTGAGTGTGTCAGTTTTCGGTAGCTTGTGACCAAGGTTCTTGTGTTGAAATATTTAATATATGTTTCGGTTTTGCTTTTCTGTTGTCGGTCATTTTGAGACGTGTTTCACGCCATTCAGAAAATAAACTTACCAAACTTATGATCTATATACCCAACAAAAATTATTGACAATATATATTTGATCACGGAAGCAGAGGACATTTTTATGTCCCATTTACCTTCACTTTCCCATCATCCACAGATTGCTCCTCAATAATGTCCCTTTTTCTGCGCACAGCTTCCACATTAACTCTGGGATATACGAATTTTATATCCTCGGCGTGCGTTAAATCCACCACTTGCTTGGTTATCACGAAGTTCCAAACAACTATAATTAAAACAGGCACATAGTTACACATTGTATCAGCCGAAGCGAGGCTCCCACCGAACTGGACCAATTAATGTCGGGATAATTGTAATTTCCTAGCGAAGATGACATGTGCATGTGCTAAGTGGACTGATGAGTTATTGAAGTGTATTCCTCGAAGCTATTTTAATTTAAATGGCGTCAGTTTGTTTATACAAGGAGGTCTAAGAAAATATTCATTTGGTGTAAGTATAGTGAGAATGGTTTCCAATAGGGTATGAATTCACCACGTTTAATAAGGTGTACTAAGGTTGACCCAAATCTGGAACAATTTTACAGTAATGATGTGAATGATTCTATCACATCATTTCTTGAATTGACATTGATCACCGAAAATGAATTGTTAACCTTCATGTCACAAATAAAAAGTAGATCAAAAGGAATCGATGATCTCGATATTTTTCTCTTAAATCTCTGTTGTGCCCGTTATTTTACATATTATAAACTTTTGCTTGGAGAAGAAAGTTTTCCCAAGTATGTGGAATCAGTCCATCGTGGTACCAATAACCAAAATTGAAGAACCTAAGGAATTCAAAGACTGGCGTCCTATAAGTCTTCTTCCATTTCTTTCTAAAATTTTGGAAAAGGCTATTGCTCAACAGTTGAGAAACCACCTTCACAACAACAATGTACTTCCAATTATGCAATCTGGTTTCAGACCAAACTATAGCTGTGCTATAGCTTTATTGAACATATTAGATGATATCGTCACAGCATCGGATAAAGACGAAATCACTGTCCTACTATTGATCGACTTTAGCAAAGCTTTTGATACATTGAATCATCAACTACTTCGATCTATATTACATTGTAATGGACTTTCTCAAAACACTTTGAAATTGTTCGATTCATATCTTTCACATAGACAACAAATTGCTAGAGTGGGAACCACATGTCAGATGTCAGGTGTCCCACAGGGTTCAATCCTTGGACCGATCCTCTAGATAATTTACACCTCCCATTTGACAAACTGTTTGAAAAAACTCAAATATCATAATGCCAATGATACACAGCTGTATTATTCTTTTTTACTCCTGACTCTGTACAGCAAAACAAAAATATGAGGATTTGGATCAATTCGTTAATGTATCGAAGAAACATGCCCTGGAAGTTAATAATTTCAAATGCTCTGTGATTGTATTTGGAAGGAAAGTCACAAGGTCGAAACTTAGCGATCTGATAATAACAATTGATGACACTGTTTTACCAGTTGTAAATCAGATTAAAAATCTAGGAGTTTTTATCGATGATGAACTCAAATTCAAAAAACATACTTCAACATTGATTCAAAGAGCATTTGGGAAAATGAAAGTATTATACCCTCATATGCATGTCGTGAGCCTGAAAACCAAATTACTCATTTGTGATTCGTTGATATTATCTATTTTCAACCATTGTGACGTAGTGTATCATTATTTTCTGAATAAAAATGAGCAATAACGAATTCAAAGAGTTCAAAACTCTTATTTGAGATTTTCATACGGTATCAAGAAAAGAGAACCATACACTCAAAAAAGTTAGGTGGCTGAAAATGTACGATAGGCGGACTCTTCATTCTTCGACATTATTTCATAAAGTTATTGTCAATAGAACACCTCCCTACCTATATAACAAAATAACTTATCGAACTGATGTTCATAATGTGAACATCAGGCGCAAAATGATCCATGTTGTTAGACACTCCATAGAACTATTCAGAATGTCATTTACATATACAATAGCTGACTTCTATAACAACTTACCACCTTCTTTTCGGTCGAAATATGTTTCCAGTTTCAGGTACTGCCTGAAAAAACACCTTCTGAAAAAACAATAATACCCGAATATATTCTACGATACATTGGCTCTTGTAGGCCATAGCTAAAATATTTGTAGTATTCTTATGTTTATATCGATATCCGCCTCATCTCCCCTCTTTATTCGAATTAAATGTTGTACCCGCTATCACAATTACAATAACAATTTTGGGTCCTTTGTTATTTTTTTTTTGTTTTTCATCTTCTTCATATTTTTTTTTTCGTAAGATGCAAGAGGAAGAATGAACTCTGTTCAACCTTGTATCCTATTGACAAATTTGTATTTTGTTTTTCTCCATATTGTATCATGTTGTTTCTACTGTCAACAAATTCATTCTTTTTTTACTCCTGACGACTTCACAGGCTGTATCCAGCACCATTCTGTCATGTAGACACTCCAAACTCAAAAGTCCACGGCCTCCCTGTTGTCGGGGGAAGTACAACCGTGGAACGGACGATTTGGGATGTAAACTCCTATAGAGATGCATCATTTTTCAGGTCTTTACGTCGAGTTGATACAGCTCCTCTCGAGTCCACTTCAGTACCCGAAACGAGTAGAGTAAGATTAGAACGGCAACTATATTTATTGCAGCAACTTTGCTCTTCCCCGACAGTTCCGATGACCAGATCTGTCAAAGTTTGTGCTGATACTTGCCGCGGAGAGAGTTTTTCACTGCTGTTACCTCTTGTGAGTGGCGTTGTTCCACCCCGAGGTAAGTATACGTCTCTCCGGCATCCAGATGGTGTAAGATGCTTCCATCTACGAGCTGCACATCATCTTCGTAGTATCCGCATCGTCCTCTTTTGAGATGGACCATTGCACATTTGTCTATCCCGAATTTCATACCGATAGCATGCGTGTACCTTTCCACCACCCTCAAGGACTGATGGAGATCCTTCTCTCCAGAGGCATAAAGTTTAAGATCATCCATATAAAACAAATGGGTGACTTTGTGCCTCCGGTTTCCGGGGGTGCCACAGTTATACTCTCTAGTGTTTCTGAGCGCAACGGATAATGGCAATAGTGAGATACAGAAGAGAAGGTGACTGAGGGAATCACCCTCAAATACACCCCTTCTGAAAGTGACCCACCCTAATTGGACTCTTACTTGACCAGATGTTATGGTGAAGCGAGTTCGCCAAAGTGGTATCAGTTGTTCAATGGATCTCATTATGTTGTCGGGTACCGCAAGGCATCTGAGCATCTGAGCATCTACGTCTACGACGTAGGTATGGCCATTAACTCACCAATGGCAGCTGTATTTTTGTCTCACAGGGCTGGAATTGTGGCTACAATCAGACTTCGAAACGAGAAAATTTATATCGATCGGTCAAATCGTGGGGCACCAGCTTTTCGAGCTTCTTGACCTTCCAACACGTTTTAAACCATCGAGAACCGCATTGGAGCTGACGCATAGTTCTTCCGCCACTTTATTGTGAGATGTTCACTAAACAGTATCTACTTGTTTCACTATACAATAGTGTTTTGAAGAGTATCTCTACCTAAGACGCGCCTGAAGAAGCTATTGCATAGCGAAACACATGTTACGATTCTTGAATAACCTAATAATACATGGAATTGCTCATTTGAAATTAGACGTCAACACAAAGTTGCTCTTTATCTCTTCAAAATCTTCAAAAATGGATGCCATTTTCCAACTTTCTTGGACGAGGTCTACTGATTTATTTTATGCTTAACATTTCGTCTACAACTGCGGTAGGCATGATCAAAGTATGCATATACTGTGAGGACAAACAGAACAAAAACTTCGTACGAATAGAACGCATGTCAGAACCCTCAGATCGTGGTCAACAAATCCGAAAATATCTTTGACAGATTTATCTCCGACCGTAAAAATGTAGATACTCACATTCTTCAATTTCTGATGGTCTCTTCCATAAACTGTAGGCGTTTCGTAACTCACTTCATTGGAATGGTTTCGGGGGCATTAGGAAATAATTCGTTTGGATTTTTTTGAAATTATTTAATGAAGTTGAGCGGTACATACATTAATTGAGATTGATATATATCTGGAAGATCAGGAAAATATATTCAGGGTATCTGAATGCACATTTGTTACCATATATGGGAGAATAAAAGAATACATATGCGTCATCAATAAAATACGCGATGAAACACATACTTACTGTATGAAATATCATTATTAATAATAGTTGACGTTTGCGCTTGATCAATGAGAACTCTTGTTTGGATGATGGCTAACATCCAGTATATCGAAAAAACAAGCTTTACAAACGTGAATCGTCGACAATTTTTGAATCTTCTGACCAATTATTGACCATAATTTGACAGCTTACATACAGTTCACATTGTTTAAATGTTGATTTTTGAAAAGTTTCTATGGTTCTGATTCTTTCATACTACATAAATAGTTGTTTTCAAAACTAACAAACAGTGGGCATTTCCTATTTCACGATAAGTATGTTCTATAAAGTAATTATAAATTATAACCTCAAATTGGAAATAGTTTTGTCTAACATCCCGCATACCGGAATATTCATATTGTCAGATATCGGAGTTGAAAAATGAAACACCCAAAATTGCAACATGAGATTAAATATATTTCAGTGGATTTCAAAAATAAGTGCAAGTTTTCATTAAGAGTTTAGTTTGTCGCCTAAAATCGGATGCATAAATTGATGACTACAGGATCCGAATCTACCAGATTAAACATATTTTTCATTCAGCCACTGACAAAAAAGCCTATATTTCATATTTTTCATATTTCATAGCAATTCTTGATTCCACCCAGAAGTAATAAAATTATGGAATTTTTTTTGGATAATGGCATATTTACAGTGATTTCCTGAATGAAATTTGACTTTCCTGTCGTTATTAAAAAAAAAATTGACCAACTGTTTGTATCGTACACTTTTTTGACAGACTTGATAACACTCGACAAATAAATGGCGTGTGACTAATGTGAGAGTGAAAAAAGTATAATCACTTACCAACTGGTATAAGAAATTTGAGGAATTTGTTCAAGTTTGAAACATCAGTAAAATGGTTACTTTCAACTGACGCCTTGATTAATTCCACTGTAACAATTGTTTTTAATTGATTCGTCAATTTAGATTTATTATAATGTTAAATGTGACGAGTATCAAACGTAGTTATTTGTGACCAGTTTTTTCAATCAAGATATTTAATTTTATATTCTTCTGATTATTTGGAAGATTAAACTTCCAAAATACAAAACATGAAGTTATAAAACAGCAACAAAAATTGATTGGCGCTCCGGGACGATTTCATTGATTCTAGTGGCGCATTTGCTTTTTCATCTGCAGGAAAACCCGGAAAAACCTGCAGCACCACATAAAATGAAATGTAGGGTGTCTCCAGAGGCTTCAATTAATTCAATTCATAGCCAGAACACTTAGTGACATGACTATCGTCAAACTTAAACCAGTCCGTTTCGTCTTTGGTCAAGGTGTAATAATGACCAGATTTAACGCCAGAACCACAGTGAACAATGACTGCATATAATATATGTATCCTACATGTGATCGCACCTACCATATTTATGTACCTACTCTGCTTCTGTAGCTGAACTTGAAACCCAGTACTATATGAGAAATTGAAACTACCTTCATTTGGTGGGATGACCACCTGGTGGGATGACTACCGACAAACCTGTTTCGGAGTACTAGTTCCTCATCAGTGTCTGGTGAGTCATTCCAGAAGGAGTGAACCGTTTGAATGTTCCGAACAAACAAAATCAAGTCCAACTAGTCGTTAGTTCTGCCTGCAGTTGATTCAGTAGGATATAGCACTGCGCCACCTGTAGACAATGTCTAGAAGGAACTTCACAAACACACTCCGGGGTGAGAGTCTGAATAGTGGTTGAAAATATTCCGGAGAGGCGCCCTCCATATGTTCTGGTAAAAATACCAGATCCATGTCTTTCACGTGAGGCAAATTTATTTTTCATATTTTTCACTATTCGTCAATGCAATATCATATTCCAGCAACAACAACGAATAAAGTTTGATAAAATTTTTTTGTCACTGAAATATTAAAAAAAATTATTGATAAGGGCTGAAAAAGCACGGAGCGGACTCAAATTCACGGTTTCTTCGGTTACTTCAAAGTCAATTTTTTTTTTATCACGTTTGTCACTTTGTCTTTTCGGGAAAATGAGTTTTATCGAAGTGAAACTGGTAAATACTGTATTTTCCGTAGATTTTTCGAAACCTACTTGATGCAATTGAATGAATTCAATTTTTTGTAGCTTCAGTAATGCAAGAAATAACGGCGGTTTTGGAAAGTCGTAATTTTATTTTTATAATTACGAAACAAGTGCAGATATCGAAATTTTCGACCTGTAGAATACAATCGGGCTGTATTTTCCTGTACATGGAATTCAATAAACGATATTTTTCATCTGGTAAAGAGATGAGCGAAAGCGAGAACTTCTCGGATCTTAGACTCAATGTATTCTTTCATTGTCCCGACTGTACTTGAAAGAGGCCATTTGATAACGATAATACTGAATCGATTCTTCGGGAAGCACCTGCTGACAGTCATTTTTGGCGAAACACCCTCGAGTCATTACCGCAAAACAGTTTCTAACCACACTATCAAATCAACGCAATTAGACCTCTGAGGAAATCAACCAAAGCGAAACGTATTTTATCCGAACCGCTGCCGGCGTTACAGTAATTATGTTCGTCGCAGCAAGTTATACACGAGTGGAGTTTAGTTCGTTCCCCTATGACTATGCAACCAGGTTCGCACATTTCGGAACAGTTCCTTTGCAGCAGCCACAGTTTCGGTTTGCCTGTTATCTCGTCAGTGCTAGTCGACATGGAGATCCTCCTCACCTGAAAATGAAATTCACTGATGGAAAGCAGATACAGTAAAGGCGTATTCGAATATTATTCAAAGACACGATATCATGAATATATTTTTGGCAAAGAAAGGTTTTGATTTTCTACTTCTCCATCTTTATACGAAAAAAAGTATAAGCATAAATCTGAATATTATGGGGAGTTCCTCAGGGATCGATCTTGGGGCCGCTTATTTTTTGTTGTTCATAAACGATATACATGACTATATCAGTTCAGATTCAGTAGGTCTCTATGCAGATGCTACTACATTGGCCGTTGATGCAGATAGTCCTGAAGACTTACAAAAAAAAACTAAATAATTTAGCAGAATAATTCAAGAACTGGTGTGAAATAAATTTTTTGATAGTGTATGTAGAGGAAATAGTCTGTATGCAGTTCCATTCTAGGTGGAGATCTGTGATTGATATTCAAGTGGTTGTCAAAAATAGCACTACCCATCTTCTGAAGTTACGAAATTCCTCTGCCATAAGCAAAAAAGTAAACACAGGTTACTATGCTATATTGTAATTAGAAAATATGTTCAATACCAATCAATTCATCAATATACAGCGTGACTCACGGTCGATGGTAGGTTAGACGTTTCTGGAAAACGCAAAATATGATTTTTCTGAAAATTTTACCTCTCACATTTCTGTTCTATCGTTCTAAAATATTTTCAGCATTGCGGCGTTGCCACTTCTATCAAAAAGTCCTAGCAGTTATATTTTTTTAAAAGGAACACCCCGTATATTAATACATTTTTGGAATCGCTCTAGTATTTTAATACTTTTTTGTTGATACTATCCTATACCTATCTCTATCTGTTATCGAGATAAAAAATAAATTGTGCTAAATATGGTCCAAAACATAGCCTTAATTGAAATTAAGTACATCAGTACTCTCAATTCATGAAAAGTTGATATTTTGATGATAGTTTGGACAAACTCGAAATATTCAAATAACACCAAGAAATCGACTCCATATCATACAGGGCGTGCTAAAATTACTACTATTTCCATTGTGCATGAAAGTACTCGAAAGTTCATTTTTTCAAATGAAACCCCCTGTATATTACTCGATAAATTGGAAGATGGTGAAAAATGCTTCAAGATTATATACATGTCCCTATACCTAAATCGTCAAGTTTTCGTAATAAAGCCGTTTTTGTGGAAAAATAGTTATTCACGTTTTACCTACAAGTGTTGAAAGTGGCATTTTATTTTGTGAGTGGGGATATTTGCAAAACGAGCGTCAGCAAGTGGAGCAAACTCACGAGCAAAATAAAATCACTTTTAACTAATGTATCATACACATTTTTTTGTATAACGTTACTGCTGATAATAAAAAAAATTATAGGGTCCATGGGATTTGAATCTTGAAAATTTGCCTTTAGAGGAATATAGGAATTCGTGGTTTTAACTGGATGGAGAGCCAGCTCATTCCACCCAGGAAGTTTCCAGGAAACTTGACGAACTTTCAATCATCACTCTGTTATTTGAATCCCTACTTTCCCACTCATCTATATAAACGAAACGAAGGTAGTGTGCACTATATCGTTTACTTGAACTATACCAACGGAATTGTTAACGGCTACGTTAATAATTTTCAAATTACCAGAATTACTCTTTCAAAAATCATCGAGGGAGAAATTACCCTTAGAGTAGTCCAAAGAATAGTTCCTCAATTTTCTGCAATAAACACCTTGTATTTTCGCTGAGCTTTATCAAACCACCTCTAAGTTTTAGTGTCTGCACATCTGAAATAATATTTCGCTGAAACTGTGCCTTGCTATATCAAATTATGGAACTCATGTCACGACAGTAATCCATTAATATATTCAAGCAGCCGCGCACAATGATGAAACGTTCACAAATAATTAAGCCACATGGGGCTTTGACAGCCTACTCCTGTACACAGAAAGGGCGTACTGTTGAATTTTCCAGTTAGCTTACGCTCTTCCTTTAAAAGCAATTCGAAATAACTCGTTTATCTCCATAAAATTTATGACATATGCTTTCATATGGAACACTTTCATCACCTACGAGTCTATCGGGATCTTATTATAGTCTTTAGATGTTATAAAGATTTCAATTTCGTGAAATCATCTGTGTTCTGATATAATAATACAGTGTCACCAATAAAGTGCGCACCATATGGGAAACTTTTTTTTCGAAAAGTTTCAATGAAGTTTAATTTCGGCACTTGTTTGTGCTTTAAATTTAACTTAAAATGATGCGGCCAACTGCGACCCACTGACGTTCAGTGTTTGTCAAATTCAACTTTTTTTTTTTAATTGAAAAAATGCATTTCTAGATCGAATTTAATGAAAAGTTACTCGAAAAAGTTGTGTCTATGATAATTTTATATCCATATGCCAAATTTTATGCAACTAGGATAAAGTTAACGTTTTGCTTATTTTTGACAGATATTCCCTTTATTTTGAAAAACAAGTTCGGTTAATTGTCATCAATTCATGTATACATAACAAACTCATCATGAAGTTTAGACGGTCAGATCTGGATAATAAAAGTTGCTGGGAGTCTGATCTTGAGAATACGGTGGATACGGAAAGAATTACCATTATGTTTTTCTCAGCAAATTGATAAAATTGGGACTCTCTAACCAACTGTTTACTCTAATTGAATCATATCTAGTTAACAGAAAACAATTCGTCGAATATGAATCTTTCAAATCGGCTCAGTACGTAGTTACATCTGGGATATCACAAGGTTCTAATCTTAGACCTGTTTTATTTTCAATTTTAATTAATGACTTGGCAACCTCTTTGAATATCCCTAGCCCACTATTTGCAGACGACCTGGAACTTTATTATAAAATCGACGACATTCCTGACTGCAAACGTATACAACATGAATTAGATGTAATCAAACTTTGGTGTAATAATAATCGTCTACAACTGAACGTATTCAAATCGAAAAAAAAAACCATTTACAACAAAAAAGCGAACTCCAATGTACGATTATTCGATCAAAAGTACTACGCGTACGTGAAATGAAAGATCTTGGTATAGCATGCGACAGTAAATTAATATTTACAACTCATATAATAGCAGGGGAGCACACGATGCAAAATGGGGATTTACTCGAGCGTCATTGAGACATATTAGGTTGCAAAGATTAGATGATAAGAAGAAAAAAAATGTTATGTAATATATACCTTTTCATCGGTGGGGGAAGCGGCTATAGATTTTTAAATATGTTAAAAAATAGTGTTGCATGGACATACTGGTACGCGTCAGATATTGATAACATCAATGTCCTAGGTATTTTTATTAATATTGGTTGATGTGGGTGGTTGTACGTGAGGGTTAAAAGTGAAAAGAAAAAAAAATCAATCGAGTGCGTCAGATTTTCTGAGGGAGTGTTGAGTGCAACAAAAAAAAGCTCTCATTCAATGATCTGACGATTTTGATCTGACGCAAACTCGCGGCCATTATTTTAATGTGCAAAAAAAATTCGCTGTTTTGAAATACTCAAGCGCGTCAGATTAAGATATGTATGGTTCTTTTTTATGTTTCAGACGTACTGTCTCATAATCTGCCGATTATCTAGAGGAATTCGCTTAATTTGACAAAAACAATATTTTTTTTAATTCATTGAACTTAATTGAAAAGCTCAGGAAATAGCATGCAAATAAATAAGTGTATGTTTTTTAAGTAGAAGTAGAAAATAATTCAATTAATTAATGAAGAAAAGAGAAATGAAACTTTCTATGTTTTTTACTACTTTCATTTGTAACTAACGTTCAGCTTCGTCCAATAAGGACATTTTCAAACTTATATATAAGTTTAATTTCTCTTTTCTTCATTATGATTTCCTACCACGTAGTAACGGCTACATCCATCAATTAATTGATCAATCAATCATCATCTTCATCTTCATCACGAACGAGTCTCTGTGAGCAGCTGTGATGGCGTCATGGCAACAGAATTCAGAGTGGGGACGGAGTGAGAGAGTAATAATATATAGAGAAAAAGTGAATAGAGCAATAGAAACTCGAAGAGGGAAATATAGGTATCATACAGCTGCACGCATTAAACTTTATCAACGAATTTTTTGTATTTCGGGTTGTGGAAATCGTCAGATTATATATTTTTCGTTATCCTTGAATTATTTCCTTCAAAATAAGAAAAAATTAGCTACGCTCGAGAATGTCGAAATGACGTTATTTTTTATAACTTTGCTGCCCTCCGCTTTCTTCACGTCACTCTCAAATTGTCAGATTACCGGAATATACACTTTTCAGCAGGTAATTACCTCACCCTACCTTAATCTGACGCGCTCGAGAATTTCTGATGATCAATTTTTTTTACTAATCTGATCCTTTATCCTTCACGGGCAGCCTAGTATATGGGGCTCATATTTGGTGGAGGTACTTTACCGGGTACAAGGTATCCCCCTGTATATAAATCTGCCGCGCTTTAGTAAATCCCGAAATCCCCACTTGGGCTTCCCTATTATAAGGAATATGACTGCTGATGCAAATAGGATGCTTTGATTCATTTACAGAAATGGCAAAAACTTCGAAAGTATTGCCACCTGGAAATTGCTATATTTTGCGTATGCCATATCTAAGTTAGAGTATGGCTCTGTGAAATGGAATCCAGTTTACGACTACCAAAAAACATCAATTGATGTCTAGAAGTTGATGGCATCGATCATAACATTTTGTTGACACGATTGATATGACATGTTTGGAAAATAGGAGAGCTATCCTTGGTATAGAATTCCTGCATAAATTACAAAACAACAATATTGGCAGTACGGTTATTTTACCCGAGATCAATTTCTCAGTACCAATAAGTGAATGTGGACACAATCTGAAATTCTTGCGAAGCATCACCCACAAATATTATGCTAAGATCACCATTGAATTTTATATGGAGTAGCTTCAATAAAATCTGTGAACACTGCGATATCCATTTCGACTCTCTGTATGCCTTGGTATCATGTATCCACAAACATTGTGTCTGTGATAGCCACTCAGTGATATTCCGCCTCTTCCAGCTGTAATCACAAACACACCTTTTGAGCCAATGAGTGTATCAGTGAATCAACACTAAGCAAGACTATCGATTGAACAATCACAACATGCCGAAACGCAGATTATCGATTACTGACATCCAATATGTGTCCCTGATTATCTCTCATCACTTAAGCCGATGAACATTAACTATTGAGTAATCTCCGGATGGAGAAGTACAGAAATGTGAAGTGTTGCTTTTAGTTTCTCCAGTTTCTTACCCTGAATCTAACTTTTCCTGAAAGAGTAATGTGGTTCTTTGATAGGGATATAAAGCGACCTGAAGTTGATTATTTCATGAAAAAGGCAAACTTTCAGTTTACCCCAATCATTTAGGAAAAATTTTCTACTTTTCAGTAACTTGTCTTATTCAAGAACTTTGTCTATCATAAACAGAGCTAAGAAATAATACAGATCGACTATTTTTCCCATTTGGAATTTTTGACAAGTGGGTTGTTATGAGGAGGGGGTGGTTGACAAGAGGTTACGTTTTACATAGTAATGTGTTGACGTATAACACTATTTTTTTAAGTCTCTGTTGGAAGTGTTAGGAATGCTTCATTGGCTAGCAACGATATGAAAACACTTATAACACCACCAACTTTACAATATTGTGACAAGATGATGACTTATGGCGATCAAGGGCTCTACCTTTAATTTAGCATCAATGCAACGACGCGACGCGACATAATGTAACCATGACCAGCAAGAGGCGTACGGAGCGAGAGGGGACCGCGGTAGCTGATTCCTCGACTTGATAGTTTTGATGATGTCAACATGTTTTATATTTGATGATGATGTATTATAATAAGACAGTTGTTAGTAAGACCTGATTGGGGAAGGACCCCCTTGTACAAGTTCTAGGCAATAAACCTAGTATCTAAGGATTCTGGTGTTTCCCTCATGGTATTTCCCTCATAAGGCTACCCCTGAGCCACCCCCCAAACCGAAGTTGTAAAAAATTTGTCAAATTTGTTCGAATTTCTACATTTGATACTAATAAAAATCAAAATATTGGAAATTTTGTTCCACAAAGAAAGAAATTATAAAGAATTGTGTCCCATTGAGTTGTTATTCTAGACGGTTGCTATTCGTCCTAGAATTTTTTCTGTTCACCAAAAAAAACTGTATTTTTTGCACCCGTTACGTAAATTACTTTTTTGTTCATCAGAAGTTATTTTTTTAATGGTTGTCACGGTAGCCGGTCGGTTCGACGTGGGTGCTTTGTTCACTCACTCGAGAATTGACTGCCGTGTTGGTCGGTGGTTCAAGCACCAGGCTGAATGATCGATTTTCACTTGCTATCGTCCAACCCGTGTTAGGAATCACACGTTTAAAGCTAATACCTTGTTAGTCCTTAGCTCGCACAAGTTTCGACTTCTGAGGGTTGTTGTTCGTAGGGGTGCGACAGCTGGTTAACGGAAAAACAGATTTTTCAAACAGTATAAAAGTAGCATGTTAAAAATATTTTTAACGCGATTTTTTTTGACCAAATAGTAATAAACAAAACATAATTATTATAGCTTGGAGACCACTATAGTGAATTCCAACCTAGGTGAAAAACATATTCATTTTTGGTACAGATATGTAGACGATATTCTCTCCTGTTTCAGAGGTACTACACGACAGCTGAACCAATTTATGACATTCATGAATAATCTCAATAGCAACAATCAGTTCACACTCCAAACAGAGATAGAGAAACAGATACATTTCTTAGACCTGAACAATACACACAATCAGAATAAATTTGAGTTCAATGTTTTCAGAAAATATAGCTATACAGACATCACCATCCCAAACGATTCTTTCCATCCAGACAGTCATAAATTAGCAGCCTACAATTCAATGTTGCACAGAGCATTCTCACTGCCTTTGTCTGCAGACAATCTAGCTAGGGAAATTGTTATAATTACACAGATAGGTCATAATAATGGTTTCAGCGCAGATACTATCCAGAAGTTAGTCAGGAAATAAAGCCGGAAATTCACTTACAGAATAATATACACTCGGGTCAAACAACCAGAAATCTAGAAATGGGTAACTCTAACACATTTTGGAAAAAGAACAGAGATAATTGCGGGTTTCTTCAGAAAAAACAATGTGGAAGTGGCATTCAGACCTCATGCCAGGTTATCTGATTTCCTTTTCAATGCCAAAGATAAGATGGACAAGTTGGATAAATCTGGAGTTTATAAGCTCAAGTGTCCGGGGTGTAATAGTGTTTATGTGGAACAATGTGGTCGAAATTTCCAAAAACGGTATCCTGAACATGAAAGGTCCTTCAGACTGAGAAGAAATGATTCGTTCGACGTTTTCAAACCATTCCTTGACATGCAACCACAAGTTACCGAATCTAAACGATACGGAAATTGTACACTATGCAAGGAAGGGTTACAAACTCAATTATTTAGAATCCTTGGAAATTCACAAGCATAAACATTGCGGGTGCAACCTGTTGAATGATCAAATCGATTTAGTTTACTCATCGGTTTTCAAATTAGCATATCCGCATTGTAAATTGTAAATTCAGATACTCAATCAAGTCAAGTACCTTATATAGCACCTACAGAGGTTCTATATAAGGGCTAATATAATAAACCACTCATACATCAAACTAAGTTTGAAAATGTCCTTAGAGGACGAAACTGCAGTAACATTAGTTACAAATAAAAGTGATAAAAACGGAAAGTTTCGATTCTCTTTTTTTCATTATGATTTCCTACTCTACCACGTAGTAACGGCTACATCCAGCAGTTCATTGGAAGTTTTATTTTGTTCGTGGAAAATAAAACTTTACTTTTAACACTCATATCATAAACAGCTACTTCTATATCAGTCACACATTACTTTCTTATCATGTTTTTTGGACTCGCAGACTCTCAGGACTCGCCTACTTATCCAAAAAAACTGCATATTCCGGACTTGTTATGAAACTTGTTTCACGTATAGTCAGTGGGCATACTTGAAGACTGGCTATAAATCAAATCATCTATTGAAGAATCCTGCACTGACACCTGTCGGATATAATCCAACGCTCTTCGTGGTATTAGCCAGGGGAGTAGTTGTTTTCTGATAGGTGTCAGTCCATTAACCTACTGTGTAGGGTGTTGAGACTGGCCTGAACGAATTGTTCCTCTAGATGATTTGATGAAACTTGTTATTAAACCGTTACAAGCAACACGTTACCTGACACTTCTTCTGCTCCTTGGTACACTTGTGATGGATGGCGGTGTAGTTCTCCCCTAGGTCCATGCACCTTTCTCCGTCCAGCATGGTGTCGCAGCGATAACACCAGAGGTCGTGCTGTTTTTCAGTTGCCGCTTTGGTCTTGTGATGCGTTTCGCATCGGCCTGAAATCAATATCCGCCGTTACCAGGACAACAGCTGTTTGGAATTCCCGCTCAAAGGGAAGTCAAAGAACTGTTGAATGTTATACTCGGGAAACCACGAGCTCCTATTAGCCGTGTAGTTTACATACCGTGGGCTTCATGAGAATGCGTTTGAATCTCAGTAGGGTGCTGAGAAATTGTGGATATTAACAATGGATATTAACAATTCTAACACGAGTTAGAATTGCCGGGAAAAAAGTTTTTTCGGCAACCGTCCGGAAATTGGGTACTTCCCAGACGCTTTTTCTATGAAAAAGTAGCATTTTCCCGGACTTTGTCGAGAAGAATCACATCGTTGTTGTCATTGTGAGCATGGAAATCTTGGTATTCATGGTTTTGATAAATGCGGTTGATCATTACCGTAGCAGCGAAATAACGACTGACAGCTATTCGATATGGAATTGGTGGTCCCATAAATACCCTGCCCAACAAAGAAAAAACGAAAAGTTTGGAAAAAAAATTTATTTCTTTTTCAACATAATCTCCTTGCAGCTCTATACACATCTCTCAGCGACGTTCAATGAGTTCGATACCGTTTTTGGAATAAGAACTGCCTTTCTCCTCAAAATAACCATTAATTGCCAATATCACTTCTTCATCGTTGGAAAATCTTTGATCACTGAGCCATTTTTTCAAGTTTGGGAACAGAAAATAATCCGAGGGGGCTAAATCTGGCAAATAGGGTGCATTGGGTGGATTGCGTCTTTCCTGAAAGACATAACATTTCAGGTTAGAGTAGAGGGCTCTTTGTCTGATAACAGAGAGATGCCCGCTGGAGTGCCACAGGGGGCCGTGCTCTCTCCCACGCTGTACTCCTTTTACACCAGTGACCTTCCGAGGTCTGAGCGTGTGAAGATATCTCTGTACGCTGACGACAGGCCTCTCCTGTCATCTTCCACGGGTCGGGAGCTCGGTGTCGTTTACATGCAACGTGCATTGGACGACCTCGAGCGCTGGCCCCTCGAATGAAAGATCCGAGTGAACCCGGACAAGGCTCAGGCTGTAACCTTGGGAAGATTGTTATCTTCTCCGGCCAAAAAAGTGAGAATCTCTGAAAGGGAGATCGACTGGCAAGCGTGGTCTTCTGATAGACCGCAGGCTCACCTGGAACCCGCAAAGAGGCAAAGATCGAGGATCTGATCAGAAGTCTGTAACCTCTGATCAACAGACGTTCTAAACTAAGCCTTAAAAATAAGCTTACGATCTACAACATGACGTTGAAGCCTGTCATCATGTATGCTTCAGGCGTCTGAGGACAAGCGGATCCGTCTAACATCTCCATTCTGGAGAGAGTACAAAATGAGCTATTACGGATGATTGTGAATGCTCCTTGGTTCGTGCGGAATGAAGTCATCCTCAGAGATTTGCAGCTGCCTTCCATTCGGCAGTCCATCCAGTCGAGGAATCGGCGAGTTTTTGATAGTGCTGAAACTAACGAAAATCCATTAGTTAAGGAAGCTATAGATTATGCTATAGACGACCCCTCTCGATATAGGAGGCCCCGACATTTTGTCGAACGAGGTCCTCATGTCAAAGTTTTCTTCCATCCCACACCAGCCAGGTAGGGGTATCCGGTGAAGGGCGGTACTGATGTCTGAGGAATTTCATACCGCCACCACCTCTTAGTAATGAACCCATTTGTCCTCCTGACACAAATCAGCTACAAGGGTAAGGGAGCTGGGCTACAACCTGATTGAACTGAAGACGACTGGTTAGTAGTACTTGCCGATGATAGTTTTACCTTTTTAAAGATAGTCAATGAAAATTATCCCACGCGCATCCCAAAAAACCCATGCCATGAACTTACCTGCAGATGAAACGGTTTTTGTCTTCTTTGGAGCAGGTTTTCCCTTTTGAGTACACAGTTTTGATTGTTCTTTTGTATCGGGTGTGAAGTGAACCCAGATTTCATCCATGGTTATGAAACGACGCAAGAATTCAGCTTTGTTCCTGTGAATCTTCGCTCAACACTCAATTGAAATATCTTCACGACTCTGTTTTCACTCGAGTGTGAGCAAACGCGGAACCCATCTTGCACATAGCTTTCTCATGTCCAAATTTCCAGATGACATACGATGTACCACACTTTTTGAAATGACTACTAAGTCTGCTCGCTCTCGCAGTTTCAGTCGATGATCATCCAGCACCGCTTTGTGGATTTTCTTCACCGTTTCTGGAGACGTCACCTCATTTGGTCGACCACTGCAATGCTCGTCTTGGCAAATCGTACGGCCTAGTTTATCTGGTATCTGTAGAGTATGGAATGTGAGTGTAGATTCACAGCACTTATGCCACATGAGGAGTTGTCCTCCTAGGTCATCGTCCATCCTGTCCTTTCCAGGAAGATGAACAGGTCACTAGGAGACATCTCCTTTATATAGGCCAAGACTCGCCGAACACACACTCTCTTTGGCAACCTTGAGGTGTCTCACGGTGGCCTCCGCGAAGGTTTTGGAAGGTGCAGCGACATTACTGTCTTTGCGCGGCTTCTTCAACCTTCTTGGGGTTCCCTCCGTGGAGGTGCACAAGTGAGGAAGCTTCCTGCAGGGGAAGCCAGTTCCTTGCATTTATTCAAGGCCGAGCTCTTGGTACACGTCGCAGGAAGTGCCCTTGCTGTTGGAGGTGATTTGCTATGTCCAGCTTCATTCCAAGCGGTAGACTGTGGTGGACATTTCTGCTCATCCCCAGCCACCGCCTTAGATTGAGGTGAGCACTTCTGTAGAGCCTCGGGATTGGTTTTGTTTTTGTTGTTTCTTTTGTTTCATTCATGTGTGTTCCCACGAGTAGCAAGGGAATAGTTGGTCACCTCTGGCAGAGCCCCGTATTACCAGGAGTCCGGCGAGGCCGTCCGTAAGACCACATTGGCTTCCCGGACAGGGCCTCCCAAGCGGCCTAGTTTAAACTCTGCTACCCAATATTTTACTGTTATAAACGAAGAAACAGACTCACCCAGAGTAGAATCCAGTTCAGCTTTCATATTGGTTGAGCTAAGGCATTCCCAATGAAACTATTGTACCACCTAACAATGACCAATTTTCACCATTTCCACAAATTCACCGAAAACGTTTGCTGTTGTTGGCTGCCAAAGAAATAATAAACAACGCAGCGTCTTCAAACTCGAAACATATATTTTATAGATTGTGTACTTTCCAATACAGTGATATTTTTCAAACAACTATCGCCATCTCTGGGTCAGGCTGGGTACTTCTGGGACCACTCTTATAGTTGACATTTTGATATTTGAAAGTGTACATGGTTTTTGTTTGCAATTACCTCAATAAACAGTGGAACGCCGCGGCGATAGTGAATTTGAAAATATGCCATACGAAATAGCTGCCGCTAAAGTACAATTACTGCCTGACAAATGGATGTCTCGGTGAATTTTTCGAGTGATTGCTGTGATGAATTTTGTATAATTTCTACTGAGATATTTATTTGTTACGATCGGTTTTGGTTTATTAAACTTTTCTCAAGTAAACTGACGCATTATGACAAACAAATCCTCAAATATACCATTATACAGTCAATGTCCTCTAGATACTTGCAATATGTACCTGAAATAACTTGATAGTTATCGGGATGTTTTTGAATCTATCCAAGGCATATGACTGCTTGAATCATCAACTAATGTTAATTAAATTAGAAATATATGGAATAAGAGGTTTAGCGCTAAAGTGGGTTGAATCCTACCAATCAGATCGCCTTCAATCTGTAGAAATAAAACGAAATGGAAGAGTCTATAAATCCGAAACCCTTCCCACGGACGTAGGAATTCCGCAGGGAAGCATTGCCGGCCCTCTTTTGTTCGTCATTTATTTGAACGACTTATGTAATCTAAACCTAAACGAACGTCAGTTCAAAACTATCTTCGCAGATGATGGTGGTGGTGAAACCTTCCCAGAGATGATGGTAAATAGTACAGATCTATTCAACAAAACTAAGGACTGGTTCAATAAAAATAAACTTGTACTAAATTAATCGAAGACACATATGATTTTGTTTAGAAAAAATCAAGACAACATTGATTATCCTGTTAGGGTGGACCTTCAAAACTCGTCTTTTGAACTGTCCCACGACACCAAATTTTTAGGAATCCACATAGACAAGAACATGAATTGGACTTCTCATATTGATAACCTTGCAAACAAACTAAGTGGAATATCGTACTGAATTGAAGTTACATCAAAATATCTGCACAACGAGGCTATGAAAACAATATGCACGGTATTCAAATCCACCAATATAATGACAATCTACGCGATTTATATCTATGAATGTCTAATGTTCATTTATAAAAATTCACTCCTCTTCACTGAGAATATACCTGCTCATAAGTATCCCACTAGAACAAATGAATATATGTATCCCTTTTATAGACTAACGGTAACTGAAAAAAGCGCTTACTATATGTCAATCAAGCTTTTTAAACATCTTCCTAACAGGTTGAAACGAACTAAGAATATTGGAGTTTTCAAAAGAGAACTAAAAAAACTTCTCATAGACTATGATTTGAATGCATATCCCACTGGAACACTTGTTTGACGCCATTTTATTCTATATTACCGACCTTTTGCAATAAAAGTTTGTAAACTACTCTGAAATAAAGCTGTTTATTATTATTATCATTATTGATCTTTCATTATCCCAATTGTATTGAGATCTACAACTTTTCCTTTCTGAGATGACATTGGAGGTTATTGTACTTATTTTTCAGGCCATTATTGAGACTACATGGAATTTTTAGATATGACAACTTGAGAATCACGTTGTTGTGACTACTTTTGGACTGTTTCATCAAAATGCACGAAGACCGAAATATAGCCCAATAACCCTGAAAAAAGCCTACATTTTGTCAACAAAACATTCGAGCCGAACATTTGGAGTTGTACAATCCTAACTTTTGTTTCACAGTATACATAAAATAAGAAATATCGTAAATTACACCCTACTCACATACGACCGAGACAATGCCAAGTATAATTGCCCGAATCTGAAGGCTCCACCACTCCATTTCGACTGTCACCAACGTTTATATTCGTGTCCATCACCAAAGTTTCCACAAAATCATATCAAAGAAGAAAACATCAAAGAGTATTGAAGTCAACAACGAAAGCTGCTGAAAACAGCCGCCATATTGAAAAGTGTTCGGCGCAGGTCCTTATCGAGTTTCCTATTTCGTTTCTCGTTAGTAACAGCTTACAGGGAGTTTCGCTACAAAATGAAGGGAAACCCAATTTTGCTAATTGGGCAGGATAATCATGTTGAGCAGAGCGGAAGAAAATGGGTCAAAGGATGTGACAGAACGAAGAGGAAGATTTGCGATACTAAATTCAAACATTCAAATTAACTTTTCATTGATATACTGTGAATCTGCCAGATATTTCCAGGAGAATTTTCTGACAGCAAAAACACTGTAGTTCTCAAAGAAAAAATGATATCTTTTCCTCTTGATAGGAACCCTACAGAATTAATTATTTGCTCAAGTACTCAGTGATTAGGAATACATTCAAAGGAATGATAAAGTCACCATAGTCCCTCTTTTACCACAAAGAATTCAAAGAGGTAACAAAGGTTGTGGAAATGAATAAATCAGTCCTCAGGCCGTAACGAGATTTCAAATTATTTTTGTAGAGAACCTGGGAACATATTCATTTTGTTTGTTTTGAATTCAATCCTTATGTCCAACCCATCTTCGACCAATTCATGGATAATTTCCATTTTGATAGGTTCATTCATTGGTTCCGGCGTATGACAAAGAATGCGGACATATCCGTACTGAGAATGAACCTTTCATTGTCAGCTGTTTGTTGCTGCCAAATAATTACAGCGGAACGATATGAAATTTTCGGCATTCAAAAAGAAACCAATTTGAAAAAAGTCAAGAAAAACGGGTGCAACCACAATTACGACTAGTGTATAACACAATTGTTGCAAGCATCACTCTCGAATTTTCTTGTTTTCAACAGGTCGCACGGTACAAATCTCTCTCGCTTCGAAACCTTCTCGTTCTGTGAATGGATTCTATTTCACTTACATTGAAAAGGCACCAGAGGCGAGAACGTTTCAATCTCAATCTCACTCGTTTCGAAACCTTCTCGTTCTGTGAGTTATAATCTCAAATTTCTGATTATCCGAAACCTTCTCACCTGTGAGTGAATTTCAATCGATCTACACAGGGAATGAAACAGCGGCGAGAACTCTAATCTCGAATCTGTCTCGCTTCAAAACGTTCTCGCCCCGTGAGTGGATTCCAAGTCAATAACATAGGAAGTGGAATAGAAGCGAGGACGTTTCAATTTCGAATCTTTTTCGGTTTGAAACCTTTCCGTTTCGTGAGGGACAGAGGCGAGAAGGTTTCAGTCTCGAACCTCTATCGTTTCCAAACCTCCTCGCCAAGCAAGTGGATCTCGATTCATTTACATAGGAAGTGGAACAGAGATAAGAACGTTTCGATTTTGAATTTGTCTCGCTCCGAAACCTTCTCGTTAAGTGAGAGAATTCACTTATATAGGAAGTGGAACAGAGACAAGAACCTTTCTATTTCGAATCTGTCTCGCCTCGAAACCTTTTTGCATCAAGAGTGATTGCTTATTCATTCACATAGGAAATGGAATAAAGGCAAGAACGTTTCAATCTCAAATCTCTTCTGTTTCGAAACCGTCTCGCTCTGCGACTGGATTTCAAAGTATTCACATAGGAAATGAATTTATTCACATAGGGAGTGAAATAGAGGCGAAAACATTCTACACTTGGGTCTCACGAAAGTTTCTTGCAATATTTTGTAACCATTATAATTAAGAAGACGTAGTAACCCGGGTATTCCAAAGTTGCGTAACAATGATCTATTGAACCTACAGAAAATATCGCTGACGTTATGAAACTTGTAGAATGCATCATAATATAGGAATATTTTTCAAATAAAATTCGGTATCCTTTTATTTTTTGTTATATCTACAGTCTATTCGGATATACAGGGCCTGATATTTTTTCGGAAATTTATCTTGACGCAAATTCTTACAAACGACGGATGGTCAAACAGACAAACAGATAGTAGTAGTAGTAGTAGTAGTAGTAGTAGTAGTATATATTTGGTGCTAATACAAAGTTTACACAGGTCATACCAGATATTGCTTATCTATAAATACAAAATATAAAATATTCAGATAACTTGAATGGTTAAATGGACAATTACTATAGATATACATACATTTGTGCAAATAACACAAACTAACTATGAAATAGAAATATAAAACAAGTTAAAATATATATGATTAAGTGGTATTACATGTCTCGAAAACCATCACTAAAATATTCATCTGAGGAATAAAAAGCTTTTTTAATTAAAAAATTTTTGATTCTGTATTTGAACTCCTTCAAAGGTAGATTTTTGATATTTTGGGGAAGCGAATTATACATTTTTGGAGCAAAATAATTTACGCCAGTTCTGGTTCTGTTGACTCTATGGTTCTGGAGATACAGATTTGAATTATTTCGAGTGTTATAACTGTGGATTGCATCATGTGTAGTATAACCTCTTATATGTTTTTTAACATGTAGCAGGCATTGCAATATTTATAATGATGGAAGTGTAAGTATTTTATTATTTATGAAGATACTTCTACAGTCTTGCCTGTAAGAAAGGTTATCAAGAATCCTAATTGCTCTTCTCAGGATGCCAAATAAATCTGATGCATTGGGCACATGGCCCCAGACAAGTACAATACGATATGTGAGATTGAATAATCCCATGGAAAGCTGTTTTCAGAACTGGTTTTGATACCGCTTTTTGTAAGTTCCTCAGGAGATAAGTATTTTTGGATATTTTGACTATAAGTCTATCAATATTTACATTCCAAGTCAATTTGGGGTCAATGTATACACCTAGAAACCTAACATATTCAGGGTTACTGATATCTGGCACTTCGCGCAACGAAAAAATGACTGTTTGGCTCTTATCTTCATTAAGTTTAAGATTATTTACGGCAAACCATTCACTGACATTTGTCAGAGTATCCTCGAATATGGTACGCAAAGTATCAATATTATTTCCAGAAATTGATACAGTTGTATCATCAGCAAACAACACGAAGTTAGCACTTGTGTCACTAAATCTTATATCATTGAAGTGAATCAAGAAAAGGATCGGTCCCAATATCGACCCCTGGGGAACTCCATACTCAATAGGAAGTAAGCTAGTAAATTTGCCATTCAAGTAAACAGCTTGCTGTCTGTCGTCCAGATAGGACTTCATCAGTTTAAGACTGCCTGTAGATAATTTATAATATTGAAGTTTTGAGAGCAAAACTTTAGGGCAAACACAATCGAACGCCTTACTTAAGTCACAAAAAAATGACATTGTGAATCCGCCGGATTCAAAACTATCAGTTATAGTCTCAACAAGTGAATTTATATCCATTGTTGTTGAGTGTTGGGATCGAAAACCGAACTGTACAGTAAATAAATTATGTTGTTCAAAGTGATTAGTTAAAGGTATTTTCAGCAGTATTTCGAATATTTTGGCAAAATAAGGTATGATAGAGATAGGTCGATTATTTGATATCAGATTTGTTGCGCCACCTTTAAGTATAGGAATTACACAACTCAATTTGAGACAAGTAGGAAAAGTTCCTTCTTTCACACACTCATTGTATAGGTTAGTAAGGGGGTACACTATGTCATTAGCAATGCCTTTGATAATTTTGGTATTGAAACCATATATGTCCTTTGTCTGTTTGTTTTTTAAAGTGAATATGGCATCCCTTACCTCTATGTATGTGAATTCCACAAAGCTCTACATTTGATAGATAGACAGAGAGAGAGACAGAAAACACATTCCAGAAACTTATTTTTTTCATTCCAAACACATCGTAGACTATCAAGTCGTAGAATAGTCATACATGACGAAGCTATAATATAGATAGCGAAGCACGTATTGAAATAAATCGTGTATGTTAAATTTTCTGGTGAAGTGTTTCCATCTTTACTAATGTAGATTTTCATTCTATATCGGCCAAGTTCATTAAAAATATGGAATTCTTAACGTATTCAAAAAACACTTTGTTGTGAGATTTTCACACAACAGTTTTACATAAACGCAATACGTGTTTCGCCATACAATGGCTTTTTTAGGCGTGTAAATTTATATAAAATATAGCGATTGGCTTGTTTAAAAATCACAGGAGCCATGTGAACAACAACCACGGTAATGGAATTAATTACTGGTTAGACCCTTCTGGACCTGTACGATTAGGAGGTTGCGTCAATGACCTTGTTACGATTGCGCACGGCTGGTGTAAACCTCGAAGTAGGAATGGGTCAATTGACTAAGTCTATGGCGAGAAGCGCTTACTGCGCAACCTCTGCTGCAGGCAGCCAGTGATGGGTTTGAACCCAGGTTTGTGTTTAATAAACCCTGCAAAATACAAATAAAACAGGACACAGAGTCAGATGCTGCAAATGCAATACGCATATATAAAGACGGCTCAAAAACCAAAGAAGCCTCAGAAAGTGGAGTGTACTCCAGATCCTTAAGCCTAAGGATTGAGTGGGGAATGAGAAAAAATGCCAGCGTGGTCCAAACAGAATTGGCTGGTATCTCAATCACCACAAAGAAAATAACCAGGAAAGGAATTTCTGACAGAAACATAACAATCTGCACTGATACTAGACAAGTTCTCTTGAACAGACAACGTGTTACCTCAGAGCTAGAACTAGAGTGCCACCAAGATTTAGCCAAAGCCTCGGTAGATGTTAACATTATCCTGAGATAGGTTGAAGGGCACGACAGAAGTAAAAATAATCGCATTGCCGACTCGAAGATTAGGCAAGGAAGCGGCTGGACTAAGAATTTCAGGACCTAGTGACACCTACGGTCTGATTACATATTATGGGGCTAGTGGATACACCTCTATGCAGAATGTGTGAATAGGAAAATGAAACTGTCAGGCATGTCTTATGTGAGTGCCCGGTGTTATCGTCAATACACACCTGCAACATACACCTGCTGATATAAAGGAGATGTCTCTTAGTGACTTGTCCATCTTTTTGGAAAGGACAGGATGGACGATGACCTAGGAGGACAACTTGGGGGGATGTACAATGGGTCACATATGGCCTAACTG